GGGAGCAACGAGAGATATGACCCCACACCAGGAGGGCATAGGAGACATGGGAGCAAAGACCGCGCACCCAGGGGGCATTGGAGACATGGGAGCAACGGGAGCAACGACCCCGCACCAGGAGGGCATGGGAGGCATGGGAGCAACAGGCACGCACCCAGGAGTCATAGGCGGCATGGGAGCAACGGGAGAAATGACCCCGCACCAGGAGGGCATGGGAGGCATGGGAGCAACAGGCACGCACCCAGGGGCCATGGAAGGCATGGGAGGCGTGGGAGCAACGACCACGCACCCAGAGGCCATGGGAGGCATGGGAGCAACGGGAGAAACGACCCCACACCAGGAGGCCATGGGAGGCATGGGAGCAACCGGAGAAATGAGCACGCACCAGGAGGCCATGGGAGGTGTGGAAGCAACAGCCACGCATCCAATGGGCATGGAAGGCATGGGTGGTATGGGAGCACCGACCGCGCACCAGGAGGCCATGGGAGGTGTGGAAGCAACAGCCACGCATCCAATGGGCATGGGAGGCATGGGAGCAACGAGAGGAATGAGCACGCACCGGGAGGCCATAGGAGATATGGACTTAACAGGCACGCACGCAGGGGCCATGGGAGGCGTGGGAGCAATGAGCATGCACTTTGGCGCGATGAAAGATAATGACTCCGACATATACTATCGTACAGGGGGCTCCTCGTCAGACACTGAAGCGTACGGCAGCTATGACAAGTTTTACAGTGACTATTTAGAGAGGTACACGAGAAAAGAAGCCAAGAAGCTAGCAAAAAAGCAGGAAAAAAAGGCGGCAAGAAAAAGGGAAAAAGAAGAGAAGGCAGAGCGCAAGAGGGAGAAAAAGCTGGCCAAAGCAGCACAGAAAGCGAAAAAGGCAGAAAAAGCAAGAAAGAATAAAGACTCTAAGGAAAGCGATGTCGAAAATGACGCCTCTGACCCGGAAGGAAATGAAGCTCTCGGCGAAAACATAGAGCTGTCAATAGAGGAAGAGGGCGCGCAGGAACACGTAGAGCAGAAAAAGGCAGCCAAGAAACAGGCAGCGAAAAAGGAAAAGGCTGCACGGAGAAGAGCAGCTAAGGAGGAAAAGGCACAGAAAAAGGCAGAAAAGGAAGAAAAGGCTGCAAAGAAACAGGCAGAAAAAGAAGAAAAGGCTGCAAAGAAACAGGCAGAAAAGGAGCAAAAGGCTGCACAGAAAGATGCAGCGAAGGAGCAAAAGGCAGCAGAGAAAAAAGCAGAAAAGCAGGGAAGGGCTGCACAGAAACAGGCAGCGAAGGAGCAAAAGGCTGCACAGAAAAAAGCAGCGAAGGAGCAAAAGGCTGCAAAGAAACAGGCAGAAAAGGAAGAAAAGGCTGCAAAGAAACAGGCAGCGAAGGAGGAAAGGGCTGCACAGAAACAGGCAGAAAAGGAAGAAAAGGCTGCAAAGAAACAGGCAGCGAAGGAGCAAAAGGCTGCACAGAAACAGGCAGAAAAGGAAGAAAAGGCTGCAAAGAAACAGGCAGCGAAAAAGGAAAAGGCTGCACAGAAACAGGCAGCGAAGGAGCACAAGGCTGCACAGAAACAGGCAGCGAAGGAGCAAAAGGCTGCGCAGAGAAAGGCAGCGAAGGAGGAAAAGGCTGCAAAGAAACAGGCAGCGAAGGAGCAAAAGGCTGCAAAGAAAAAAGCAGAACAGGACGAAAAGGTTGCAAAGAAACAGGCAGCGAAGGAGCAAAAGGCTGCAGAGAAAAAAGCAGAAAAGGAGGAAAAGGCTGCACAGAAACAGGCAGCGAAGGAGCAAAAGGCTGCAAAGAAACAGGCAGCGAAGGAGGAAAAGGCTGCAAAGAAACAGGCAGCGAAGGAGGAAAAGGCTGCAAAGAAACAGGCAGAAAAGGAAGAAAAGGCTGCAAAGAAACAGGCAGCGAAAAAGGAAAAGGCTGCAAAGAAACAGGCAGCCAAGGAGGAAAAGGCTGCAAAGAAACAGGCAGCGAAGGAGGAAAAGGCAGCAGAGAAAAAAGCAGAAAAGGATAAAAAGGCCCAACAAAAACAGGCAGCGAAGGAGCAAAAGGCTGCAAAGAAACAGGCAGAAAAGGAAGAAAAGGCACAAAAAAAGGCAGCGAAAAAGGAAAAGGCTGCACAGAGAAAGGCAGCGAAGGGGCAAAAGGCTGCACAGAAACAGGCAGCGAAGGAGGAAAAGGCAGCAGAGAAACAGGCAGAAAAGGAAGAAAAGGCTGCACAGAAACAGGCAGCGAAGGAGGAAAAGGCTGCAAAGAAACAGGCAGCCAAGGAGCAAAAGGCTGCAAAGAAACAGGCAGCGAAGGAGGAAAAGGCAGCAGAGAAAAAAGCAGAAAAGGATAAAAAGGCCCAACAAAAACAGGCAGCGAAGGAGCAAAAGGCTGCACAGAAACAGGCAGAAAAGGAAGAAAAGGCACAAAAAAAGGCAGCGAAAAGGGAAAAGGCTGCACAGAGAAAGGCAGCGAAGGGGCAAAAGGCTGCACAGAAACAGGCAGCGAAGGAGGAAAAGGCAGCAGAGAAAAAAGCAGAAAAGGAAGAAAAGGCGGCAGAGAAAAAAGAAAAGGCTGCACAGAAACAGGCAGCGAAGGAGGAAAAGGCTGCAAAGAAACAGGCAGCGAAGGAGCAAAAGGCTGCAAAGAAACAGGCAGAAAAGGACGAAAAGGCTGCAAAGAAACAGGCAGCCAAGGAGGAAAAGGCAGCTGAGAAAAAAGCAGAAAAGGAGGGAAGGGCTGCACAGAAACAGGCAGCGAAGGAGCAAAAGGCTGCAAAGAAACAGGCAGAAAAGGAAGAAAAGGCTGCACAGAAACAGGCAGAAAAGGACGAAAAGGCTGCAAAGAAACAGGCAGCGAAGGAGCAAAAGGCTGCAGGGAGACAGGAAGCGAAGGGGGGAAAGGCTGCAAAGAAACAGGCAGCGAAGGAGCAAAAGGTTCAACAGAAACACGCATCGAAGGAGGAAAAGGTAGCAGAGAAAAAAGCAGAAAAGCAGGAAACGGCTGCCCAGAAAAAGGCAGCGAAGGAGGGAAAGGCTGCACAGAAACAAGGAGAGAAAGCGAAAAAGGCTGCACAGAAACAGGCAGCGAAGGAGGAAGAGGCTTCACAGCAAAAGGCAGAGGAAGACAAAAAGGCTGCACAGAAACAGGCAGCGAAGGAGCAAAAGGCTGCAAAGGAACATGGAGCGAAGGAGGAAAAGGCTGCGCAGCAAAAAGCAGAAAAAGCGAGAAAGGCTCCACAGAAAAACGCACCAAAGGAGGAAAAGGCTGCAAAGAAACAGGCAGAAAAGGAGGAAAAGGCTGCAAAGAAACAGGCAGAGGAGGAGGAAAAGGCTGCACAGAAACACGCAGCCAAGGAGGGAAAGGCTGCACAGAAACAGGCAGAGAAAGAGAAAAAGGCTGCGCAGAAAAAGGCAGGGAAGAAGGAAAGGCCTGAACAGAAAAAAGCAGCGAAGGACGAAAAGGCTGCTGAGAGAGAAGCAGAAAAGGAGGAGAAGGCTTCACAAAAACAAGCAGCGACGGAGGAAAAGGCTGGACAGCAAAAAGCACAGAAAGCGAAAAAGGCTGCTCAGAAAGAAACAGCGAAGGAGGAGAAGGTTGAACAGAAAAAGGCAGCGAAGGAGGAAAAGGTACAGAAAAAAGGAGCGAAGGAGGAAAAGGCTGCTCAGAAAGAAACAGCGAAGGAGGAACAGGCTGCTCAGAAAGAAACAGCAAAGGAGAAAAAGGCTTCCCTGAAACAGGCAGCGAAGGAAGAAATGCCTGCACATAAATCGGTAGAAGAGGCTGCACGGCGGGTGGCAGCGAAAGAAGAAAAGGCTGCGCAGAAAAAGACAGCGAAGGAGGAAAAGGCTGCAGAGAGAAAGGCAGCGAACGAAGAAAAGGGTGCACGGAGAAAAGCAGTAAAGGAGGAAATGCCTGCACAGGAAAAAAGAGAAAAGGAACAAAAGGCTGCGCAGGAAACGGCAGCGAAGGAGAAAAACGCTGCACAGAAACAGCCAGAAGAGGAAGAAGAGGCTGCACAGAAACAGGCAGAAAAGGAAGAAAAGGCTGTACAGAAATAAGCAGCGAAGGAGGGGAAGGCTGCACAGAATCAGGCAGCGAAGGAGGAAAAGGCTGCACAGAAACAGCCAGAAAAGGAGGAACAGGCCGCACAGAAACAGCCTGAAACGGAAGAAGAGGCTGCACAGAAAAAAGCAGCGGAGGGGAAGGCTGCATGGAGAAGGGCAGAAAAGGAGGAAAAGGCTGCCCAGAAACAGGCAGCGAAGGAGGAAAAAGCTGCACAGAAAAGGGCAGAAAAGGAAGAAGAGGCTGCAAAGAAACAGGCAGCAAAGGAGGGAAAGGCTGCACAGATACAAGCAGAGAAAGAGGAAAGGGCTGCACAGAAAAGATCGGCGAAGACAAGATCCCAGAAAAGGAAAAAAAGAAAAAGCCAGCGAAAGGCCAAGAGTAAGTAGCGTGGCAAAAAGTCTAAGGGTGATGCTTCACGGAAAAAGTGACGACAGAGGCATATCTACAGGGAGTTTCTCTTCGATGCAAATGTGCAGGAAAAGCCAGAAGCATGTCGTGCAGGCTTTTAATGTAGCGGCCTTTAGCCAGCGACCAGTGGCAGTGAGTGAGGCTCTCAATCTATCTTGTGACGAAGCCTTCAAATGATGGCCAAAAAAGGAGTATCAGTTTTTCACTAATCGCTCAAAAATTGAAATGCTCGCTTCACTACATAGCGGGATACAAAACACCGGGACACACGACACGGCGTACTAGGGCCAGGCTTTTAGATAGCTGGTGACAAGATGCCGCTGCGCCCGCAGCTCCCAAAGGCGATGGAGGGGTTAGGACCCAAGCTAATGCAGTCGTGCGCACACAGCAGTGGATCACGCACCAGCAAGCAGCATCTTTTGTGCACTTGGCCGGCATCGAGAATTTAAGTTTGCAGGCCGGCAGTGACTGTACATGCTGACCCCATGTTGCACTGGCAAGTGTGGTCGGTTGATATACGTGAGGCTGCTCAAGGATTCAGATGCACGGATATCCTCGCTTTGCATCGTTTGGCTCGGGAGGGCGCAGTAGCACCTTGGCTAGGACACTAAGTGCCACGCCGACTGCTACTGCTAGAGTACACCCAGTTATCCACAGGGATCTGCGGACTGTTCTAACGCTCCATACGCGCTCCTTAAGGGTCTTTGATTTGTATCGGCCAAAACCTTGAGTGGAGTTGCGGTATTTCCCAAAGTCGCCCAGGCCAAATGCGCGAAATTCCGAGGCAATCTCTTCCTCCTCAGCTGCATGAACAGCGGCGTCGCAAGCTCTTTCCAATGCTGCTGAATTGTTAAAAGTTTTGATCTGCTGTTTCTTTTGGCTAGCTTCCGCATGAAGGCGTCGCATGAAAAGATCCTCTATGGCCATGGAATATGCTACGCCATTCCGCCGGGCAGTGCCCTGCGCATTCAATTTAGCCCAGAATTCTTGGCGGGCCACCTGATCTTTTTTCCATTCCTGGCTTCCAGCCTTTGAAGCATTGCGCTTCTGTTCTGGGGGCTTCTGTCCTCCACTGCTTTCGTAATCTGGGTTAAAAGTACCATTCTGCTTTTTACCGCAATGTCGTGCACTTTGCTGCAGCTGCAGGGCCTTTTCATAGTTTCTCCTCAGCTCAATGAATACGCTTGCATCGAAGGCAGACTTAGGCCCAGCCGCATCCGGATGCACCCTCTTGGCAAGTTCAATATATCGTGTTCGAAGTTGCTCAGCTGAAGCGCCGGGCTTGAGTCCCAAGGCAGCGAAAGGGCACTGCTGCTCGGGGTGACCAAAACCATGCACGAAGCGCGAAGACGTGGTACATCCAATAAAGGCCGGTGCAAAGGCATTGGGAAAGCCAAGCCTATGAAGGAGAAGGCAAAGCGGTGGACAAGGAATCATTCTCCTCTTCTGGACCGTCACATTCACGGAGTTAATGTGCTTTACAGATGAAGCGCACGCATCCTTAAGTGGGAAGCTAATGCAATGTAAATAAAAGGGCAGAAAAAATCAAATGTGCGTGATTTTACCTGCATGACCATCAGGCAAACGCTTGATGTCCACTTATGTGGCAAAACGGGAGACGACTGAAACGAGCCCCCTAAGCTCCGATGCCTTCAGTGTCTTCATACAACCGATTCGAAAGCATTCGGATGGTGGTGTTGTAAAATGGCATAGTTTTTAAGTTCATCCCTCCATGGATCACAATGCACGAACTTCACATTTGGGTCCCTAGAGGGCTTAAAGCACAGTGTAGTCGTATTGTGTGGCATCATGGAAGGCTTTGTCCCCACATCAAAACAGGTCCATTTTGTGCTTAAAAGCAAAGAATAACATAGGTTGGCAGCATGGGACCGGTGAGTCCCGATTCACATTCAAGGAGGCGAAATCAGGAGGTGCTACGGTTACTGCTGTCCACTGGCAGATCTTCCTTGGAAAAGTAGAATTTGACAGGCAAGATAAAGTCCAAGGTATCTAAAGTTTTTCTTTTAACTTGAAATTTAACGTCGTCACTAAGGAATTCCAACTAGCCTACAGGCTGGGGCTTTCAGCCCCCAGTTAGGCCACATGCTACCAAAGAGTATTCAAAGCTTTCTAAGATAATTCTTCTGCTGCATTGAATCTAGCGCTCCATCTGTTTATTAACTTGTATGATCGGTTGGGCTTGAGAACCTTCGCTGCATCATGTTACGACTCTAGGCGTCAGGGTCCCCTTCCCTGAACCCCTGGTGTTTGTCCTCTCTTTCCCCACAATCGGAACGACTCACTCAATAGAAAAGAGGTTTTTGTGCTTCTGTTTATCTGAGACGGGTATCAGGGTCCCTGGATACCGCTGGCGTGGTTCTTGTGCTAATGCTTTGGACTGGCTTTTTCAGAATTAAAAGACAGAGCACCTGTTCATCATACGACCGTCCACGTCTGCTGTGTGTTGATCATACAAGGCCTTCTGAGTCTCCCAGGTCACAAGATTGGGGAGTTTTTGTTGACTGATTTCGTAGACTTGGAAATCCCCACATAGTGAAGAAGATGCAGTTCGTAAAATCTTCCGTATATCAGGCAGAGATTACTGAAGGGGGCGTGCGAGAAAGAGAGGTAGACACGCGCTCCCGGGAGGAAGTCGAGCTCCAGGAACGCCTGCGCAAGCTTCCGGAATTCAGTCGGAGTGAGTAGGCAAAAAACTACTCAATCTGAAAGGCAGCTCTCGTATACGTGGACGCACCGCGCATCTCTCCATAGCTCAAAAACAAGATCTTCCTTCACATTTGATAGCCTCAACAATTTACTGATGGGTTTTTTTTGAGTGTACTAGCCTATGAATGTACAGGTCAACCACTGTACAGGAGAGCGTCTCTGTCCATGACCATTGCCTTGTATTTTTTCAAGAGCTTCGATCGTCTAGATCGGCTCTGTCTGATTTGTCTATTCCTTTTGCTTCGCAGATCCGAACTTCAAGAGGTGTGTGCGGCTCTTTTGACTTCGTCTGGGCACTTCCACCCCTGGAGGTGCAGCTGCGTAGAAACTACCACAGCATCGGGGGTTGGGGGTCCAGCTCTTTTGCTTCTCTTCCCATGACGATGGCTACGTGTAGGACTAGCCAAAATTGAAATAGGTAAGGTTTTAACTTGCGATGCAATTCGGCTTTGTTTTACATTCACAGTTATGCCGAACAGGTGCTGGAGGGCCTGCCTTCTACCACACCCGAGCCCCCTCCTTCGACTGAGGGGAAGCAGAACCCAAATCTCCCTCACTCGGTGCGCTACTGGTCCCTGGTGTACCCTGCAACGTATCTATCTCGTGATCTACCAGGAACTTCGTGAAACGGTTCCTTGTCTTGTAAGGGCGAGCCTTGCTGGAGGCTTCACACAAGTTCTGTTTCTCTGTCCAGGTGACAGAGGAGGAGTTCGAGTTCTACGAGGCACTGCGGGCCCAAGACAGACGGAAGAAGCTGGCCCGCCAACGGGAAGAAGATGCAATGCGCGACGAGTTCCATAAGGCCAGGGAGGCCTCTATGAAGCTCTCCGTCTCTTCAGTTGGCTCAGCTGGGAGGGAGCAGCACAGCGCAGAGTCAGACGGCAGTAGCCTGCCCTCCGTAGGAAAGCTTTCTCCCTTTGCTGCACTGGGAGCGCAGAAGCAACGATATGGCGGAGCATCACCCCTTGGGGATGGTTCAATCTTTGAGCTTACTACAAGGGCATTTCAGGAAAAACGGAAAAGAAGGGCACTTGATGTGAGCAGCTCAACCACCTTGTACTCATTATGTACCGTTTCTACATGCTTCTTAATATGTATCCTTTTTACATGTTCACCGCAGCAGTCTTCTGAAGCTCTGAATTGTATCTGTCACTCGAAACGCAGCACTCTTCACATGTGCCGCTGCGAGCGAAACCTATTTATGGATATAGCTACATTGCCAATGAAGAATATACTATGAGTGGAAGTGGACTTTTGTTGCCAAAGGCTCACAGGCATCTTTTCTCCAGGCATGAGTGGGTCAGTGAACTCTTTCCATCTAAAGCGATGGAGACTGAGTCTCCCTACGGCCTCTGTGCTCTTTTTAGGCACGTCGGACTTTTAATTTGGTAGTCAAGAAGCCAAAGGACAGTGAGGCGCCTTCGAAAATTCCATCAGACAAGGCGGTAGAGGCTGCAGGCGCCGGTGGCAGGGATGATACAGCAGCGAAGGCGAACGAAGACGCAACCACTGCGAGCACCAGCAAAAGTTATGGGTCCAACAAAGGTGAAGACAAGGCAAGGGTGTCTGATAAAGAAGAACAAAACGTCTTTGCTTCTCTATGCGATGCATATGGAGACAACGATGAAGACAACAGCGACAATTCTGGCTGACAGGCTTGTGGGACAGGCCCGCAGAGCCCTTTACGTGCTCTCTGGTGTCTTTTGTTCAGAGTTTTTTATTGCACTATTCTAGACTGTTGTTGCTGCACTGATTTCAGAACACTGGTTGACGACCTAGTGTGGCACACAGACCTAGTGACACCACAGGCATCAGCACGCAGATGCGATTTCGGTCTAGACAATAGTATAAGATATCGTCTTTTCAACCATCCCTCCTTGAAAGTTTTAACTTTTGATTGTTGTGTAGAAAAAAAAGTAGGCTGCGAAGAAACCAACGTGCCGGATTCACGAGTAGCGTGTGAAGACACGTTCTGTGGACTTTTACCAGAAATACCACTATGATCCTAAAAATGACGCAGCCGTACTTAAGTAGGAAGAAGATATTCTCCTGGTTGAGCAAACCCGATACCTTCGCTACCACCTACGCTTTGTTATAATTCGGTATCGGCAAGTTAAGAAATTCTGCATTTCTGGACATGACGATTCTCAGTCCCTGCTGTTTTTTGTCTCAGCTGCTGCGGTTCTACGTTTAGCTCAGCCGAATACTTATCTCGTGAAGGAACGCTAGGGTAATTCCTCTGAACGCCGCCGGGCTAGCCAGGCGGGGGCGCCGCAACTGCACTAAACACATGAGTTATCTCCTCATATTGTCATGCAGATGCCTCAATGCGTTCTAAAGTGCATTATGCGAGTGAGCTACAGCTGTTGGATGCCCATTTTGGGGGACACTTTGCGCCAATTGTCGACATTTTAGAAAGTATCTAACAGTCCATCTACGGTCTCCGCAAGAACACACTGGAACTTTAGACTCAATATAGACTAACATTTTGTGAGTGTTTTCAAATGACTTTCCCCTCTGTTCCTGGCATCGGTCTTCAGAGTTCCAGAAACGACGGTAGGAGACCACCTAGGGTGCGTGCTGTTGGAAGCTCCAAGCATTCCAGCCATTCGCAGCTAGTCGTACACAGCAATTAGCGCATATTGAGGCAATATTACGCCTTCTTCATACTGCAAGCGCCGCCCTTAAATTATTAGGAATTACGAGCAGGCAATAAACTAGTCGATTCTTTGCGAATTGTTGGTAATATGTGACCGGCGTAGTACAATGTGTTTACGTACAGAACGGTACAAATCACAGCGAGAACATTCGATGTTAATTTTTTCATGCCCAGACGCGTAGGCTGGTTTTGGCGACCTCTTGTCAAAGCAAGGCCCACCTGCTTCACTAGTGAATGCATCTTCAGGTCATTGTGTGGGCAGCGACACCGCGGCTCTCTCGTGTGTCTACAAGATTCTCAAATTAGGTCTGGCTGTCCTACTGTATGTTCGTACTAAGAGCGTTTGATCCTCGAGAGACCGGGGGCGGTTGTGCATGCTTGAACTTGGCATTGGCAAAGATAAAAATGTGAAACGAAATCTACTGCATCTCCATATGATCACAACTAATCAGCCGCGTACAGTAGATTGTAGGGTAATTAACAGCAGAGGCGATGAAGTTCCCTCCTGCAGTCGTCAGTCCACCAAGTAGCCGTGCACAGCATTAGATTGCAGTGCGCAACACATATCACGGTGATTTCTGCGAACAAGTGCATCATTATGCATTTAAGAACACATGGCGTTGCAGCTGAAGCTCTATTTCAGTACACTATGCTCCAAAAACCTCTAGCCAGAGTTTTTTCTGCAGAAGGCAGTATTCGCTGCACGAGTGAACCGTAGCAACTTCTGAAACAGACATGTTGATGCCTACTACCCTAAACAAAATTAATTTCGCGCGAAATTCGCTATGCATTTTTGTCTAAAAATTCCTATTGGTCTCAACACCTCATTCGGGTGCTGTTGCTCGAAACCAGGTGTGGCGCTTGTGCGTTGGTGGCCAATTGATCCGATCAATACCGCGTCGCTTCTAGCAGAGCCCAACGGGAACGAAAGTGCCTCATTTTACCATATAGACGTGTCCTCTTGAGGTTAATTATTTCAAGCTACATGCTTACTGTAAAATCCCTTACGGTTCCGGTAACTCCCTACACAAGGGGGCAGTCCCCCCGCAGGGCAGTAGACACTCAGTAAAACTGTTTGAGTGTGATTTTTCCTGGCACTTAGTGGAGATTATCTGCTTACACAAAATTAATCTCAGTTATATATCCCCCTAATAACGATCAATGGGACTCAAATTTTCCCATGACCGCCTTCCAGCACCACAAAACGTACAGGGGGGAGGCATCTCAGTTGCAACTCAACTAAACAGAAATGGGCCAACTGCATTCTGGAAAAAACCGTGCCATGTACTGAACATAAAGCCTCATTACTGCTTTTAAAATGGGTTTATTGATGGGAACGAAGCAAAAGGACCAAATGCTGCAGCAACCAATGTAGTGCCTGTACCACTCCACTTGTGCGAGGGCCGAGGTAAGCGGCGACGGCCGCCGGTTTTCTCTTCATCTGGGGAGAAAGCCAGAATTCAAGCCTCCCCTGCGTCTTTGTGCAAGACTTTTCCAGATCAGTAGTCCCACTTCGGCATTACCCCTTTGGAAAACCCATGAAGGGACCTGAGGGCACCAAACATTTTTCATATATTCAACAGTGCAACGACGTCACAAAGATCATGAAGGATTTCCCCCAACATTCCGAGTATTCAATACTGGACGTCACTGAACGTGAGAGCAAAGAAGGCGCATGTGGATATTTTGCCTCCTCACTGGAAGTTCGATCGTGCGGGGGGTTCTCCGCCACCTCGATACAGGCAGCTGCGCTTGTGCCTTTTTCGAGTCGCGCTGCCCTCAGACACGACTCACTAAAGGATCAATTGCTGGTGTTCTGCCTTGGTTCATGGTGCATCGTGCGCACTATCACACCAGATGCAGCAGAAACTGATGGTGGTGCAGATTGCTTAAACGCAAATGATTGTACACATTCCCACATAGGGGAAAATTCAGACCCAAGCGCCACGAACAATCGATCCACACTATCTAAAGAAGGATCTGCTTCTGTGAAGTCTCTAGCCTTTAGCAAGCTCCCTTCCCCGTACACCGAACGCATTTTTACTAGACACACCGGTAAAGTCAACCTCTTGGTCTACTGCGACGCTCTTAGCCTCTGTTTGTCAGGTGAGCCAACTCGATCTGTCAGCGAGAAGGAATGTGAGAATTGTTTGGCCATCTTGAATGCCGTCATGAAAGATTTCAATATTTTGTGCTATGCTACATGATTTTGTTTTTGCGACTCAGCTGAGCAGCAAAACTCTAGCAAAGAGCCAGGTTCCCTGCATATCTGTCGTTTATGGTCTCCCCACACTCTCAAGGAAGTTGCTTTGGTCCAAGTACCCTCTCGGCATGATATTACGTCGGCGCACTTCAGTCATGATGGAAACGTCTTGCTACTCCTTCTGGCAGACCCGCTGCACTCTTTCGTAGTTTATGTACATATAGCTCCTACCATACAGGGGCATTTCTGTGACGACACACGGGGCGAAGCCTCTTCTGATTTGCCGGTGCTACATGCCGCACAAGTTATACCGTGTAGCCGTTCCCTATTAAACGGCTTGACCCTCGAGCCTGCGAATTACACCTTTGGGCCCAGCAAGTATAGACAGAGCCGCCGCAGCCAATGCTTGTTTGATACTGCTTCATTTTCTTCCCGCGTCTTTCCTTGGAGAAACAATGCTCTTTCTCAGAGTAGTTGCAGAAGCTTCAGCGGCTCAAATTCCGTTCTTCGTTTTGCAACATTTGGACAGGGCCACCTCCGCATTTGGAGCTTTAACTGCGGACGTCCAGACCAGCCACCTTCCTACAGGAGTTTATGTATCGCCCGCGTCGGGGGACACAGCGGGCAGAAAGGACAGCCGGAGGCAACAGCATGCGCATTTCTGGCTTCTGGAGATCTCATTACGGCCCTTGCTGACCGTCGCATTGTTTTGTTCCGAGGAATGGTCCCTCTCCGTTCAGTTTCTTTGCCTTCGTGCTGCAGCAGGATTCTGCTACTGAAGCCCCTCCAAAGAAGTTTGCTACTTCTCGTTGCCCAGGAAGGCCTTATACAACTGCTCCCTCTCGCTGCCTTGACTTCCAATCAAGCTCTTGGGCGAGCCCTCCCCAGACACAATTCTAGCCCAATAAAGGAAGCACAGGCACGGGGGCTAAATACTTCACGGAGGCCTGTGGCCCCCACTGCAGTATCTGCGCTATCACATGCCTATCGAAGGCAGCCGGCGCAACTCCGTCCGGAGTCCGAACCGTGCTCTACAACTCCCAGGAAGGGAAGTAGGCGATGGTCGTCAACATCAAGGTATGGTCGAGCAGCTCCTCCGTTTGCCACCGGTTCACTGCATGCGCCATCGCGAACCCCACGTAGCACCTACGGGGATTCAGTTGGTAGGTGGAGTACTAATAGCGCTAGGCAAAGCCGGTTACGCCCTAATAGCGCAGCTATCAGGCGTGGGACTGCATGCCGCACTGCCAAATTATCTGCAGAGCGTTCACCCTCGGCTGTCAGCCGGGTGAGTACTCGCAGTAGCGTTTCCAGCAGTTTCCAACCGCAGGAGAGGCGACAGCAGAAACCTCAGGTCGGGCAAACACGCACTAAAAAAGCTTCATCTGCAGTCCTGTCACTTAGAGTACTGCATCCTAAGCGCTATTTGACCACCCAGCAAGTTGCAACTCGTCACCTGGGAAAAGGAGAAGCATCCACAGGGGAGGAGGTTTGGCTTCCGCTGCACAGCTCCCAAGTGGTTTCAATATATTGGAAGGAGCCACTTCTGTTGCTATGCACGAGGACCCAGATGATGATCGTGGATGCTTTGCACCTGTCAGATGAGGCAACCGTAATTCTGCAGGAACGGCCCCTCGGTCGTCTGGATGTGGCAGCGTTCCTGCATCGTTCCAGCTCAGGCGCTAGTGCTGCAGCCCCCCCCATACCGCCAGCCAACAACACGCAAGAAGCAGTGAAGACTATGGTGGATGGCGACCAGCTGCAGGGAGAGATACCGTGCGTCGTCATTTCGGGTGGCCGGTGCTGCATTGGTGGCGAACTCCGTCTCTGGGAGCTGGGCTTGCGCAACCGGCCAAGTACGATCTGCTTAGAGCCAGCACCAATATTATTTACACTCACTCCAGGGCTGATCCCACATAATTGATGCGAAAGCAAGATTTGAAATCCTGCTCGTGCCCAAATTCACTTTTGATCGTCAAAGCTGGCTCTTTTGGAAGGGAATGCATCGTAGCCTAGTTGATGCGTCTGCAATCTGTGGCATCGCCTGCAGCCCTTCCGCTCTACTTCAAGGCTCCGGTGACGGCAGTGGCGGCTGCAGCGACAAAGGGCGAGGTCGGAGGGGTCGCTGTCGTAGGCACAGAAGAGGGTCGGGTCGTGGTGCTCGCCCTGCAATGGAAAAATGCGGGAGTCCTCCAGCAACCAACTGTAGTTCTTGACCGTCAGATAGTCCAGCGTAAGATATAGTAGGGAACAGACCCAAAAAGCGCACGCGAGTCGCTTGAGAATTTGCTATATAGCCAAAACCTTCCATGATGCCACAGCTGAATAGAAATGCATGAGCAGTAGATGTCTACAAGTTCAAGTTAACCCGCGTGCTCCCATGTGGTGTCACCTTGTAGGGCCCATCTCTGCGTTGGGTATCGACGCGACGAGCAGAGTTATGGCAATGGCGAGCACGGCAGGGCATGTCACCTGTTTCCGCCTCAGTATTCCTCTAGATAAAGCCAATGGGATCCCAGCAAGCCGCTATTTAGCCAGAGCCTTTATGGGGAGCGGAACGGGCTTTAAGGAGGCTGCGACCCAAAGCAAAGCAGCCCTCTGCATGATGGAGCTAGAACCACTGACCACCTTGAATTTGCCGTCCTCCACTTTACCACGGCTTCTCGAGTTTGGCCATTCCTCTGTATATAAAGTATTTCACAACGCACTAGTCTTAACTCATAAGAGCCATGTACGGAAATCAGTCCTCGCGCGCCTATCCACTCTGTCACCGAGCGCCTTCTGACCCCTGATGCTTTGTACAGCATTCTGTAAGCTTATGGGCACTGTTCTAGTCATCTTTAGAAGTTGACAGGCTTGTAGAAGCGTCTTTACCTGCAGGGCCACCTTCTGGTAGTAGGATCTAATGCCACTCCAAGCGTCTTCTCCATTCCAGACGGCTGCCTTCTTGTCAGCTCTTTAATTTCGGTAGGTTTCTAGGCAGATATAGCCGTTAGCTGCTTGTCGAATGTCAAATTATACCTAGATACGCATTCACACAACAAGAATGAGGCAACCTGTAGCTCTTTTGTGCAGGATGCATCAGTGCTGGACTCCTTTACCCCATTGGCAATACCAGTTCCCATCGCCATCGGTGTGGAAAGTACATTACATTCCGTCGATGATACCCTAGGAAAAGTGCTAGGACGCATGTCTATCAGATCAAGTGTAAGCACAGTATCTGGCTATAGTACTTTGTATACTGTAAGTGGTAGGAAGTGGGTAGATCAGACATGTCTTACAAAGTGATGCAGACCACGAAAAGGCAAAGAACACAGAATCCGTTGTAGGTGCCACCTTCTTCCAAATGTCATGCTCTAAGCATATCCATGACCTTTGTGGATTGACTGCTGTTGCTACACTATAGACTCACTCTACAGCCTAACTCCAAAGTAAATCTTCAATAATTCTGTATAGTGTGAGTTGTTTGCATAGAAGGGCATGAAGGCACTACCTGCACCGCTCCTACTGAGAGCCTGCCAGGGCAGCAGCAGACTGTGTTTCACGTACGAGCCTAAACAACATAGGATCTTTGGGATTCGTGCACGATGCTTGTGGGCGCGTAAGCGTGAAGCTTCCCAGCAGCTTAGCCAGGGCTCTACAGGGTTGGCGCGGTATGAGAACTACCGATTTGGACCTAGTACCCTTACTTGTACAGTATCAAATTCGAAACAAAAGCATCCACAGGCTTCACGGTTCCTCAGAGGACCTGGACTGGCGAGCCTCTTTAGAGACCTTCGACAATCTGCAGAACCCACGGCTACATCTGATTCACTGTCGAATGTCGAAAACCACAACCACCATGGAAATGGCTGGGTTGGGGGAATATCGTGTGCTGCGTCCATAGCAGACACGTCAGAAGCCGAAGTCATTTCATTCACCTCTCTAATGCTACCGCATGTTTCTGCACCAACGGTACTTTTCGGTTATACTGCAGCAAGACAGCCTTTTACGGCCACCTTTCTGGGGAACGTCCAAGCACCTGAGACGTCAATGGGACTCATATCTGTTGCAGCAGAGGGTTACGTCTTAGAGTGGGAATACAGGGCGATCCAGCAGCAACAGCAACTATTCCAGAATTCAACCGGCGGAATAGAGCCTAATGTTGTTAGCTTCCAACGGAATGACCATCTGCACAAAGACAACCAGTCAGCTTGGTCTAGCCCTAATGAACCCGACGCCAGTAAACCGAAAGTCGTATCGCCTTCAGATCTTATTCAGCAGGGCGACACGACCTCAGTGGGCATCAGGGGGCGACAGGTGACACAAGTAGATTGCGATGCATGGCCGTCTACTTTTACAACAGTTGGAAGGAATACACCTAGCAATATCATTGCAAAAGCAGATGCAATGCACGGAACAGCGTGTCCGCTGGGGGTCAACACGTCAACTGATCGCGATACTAGACAGGAGCGTGCGTAAGTAATCCAGGACATTTAGGGGCGCATTCAAGTATGGCTGCTACTGTTCCAAATGCTAAACATTTTAGCTAAAACAACAGGCTCCGACTGGAAAGGTATTTTGCACTCTCCTCTGTGCACAGATTGAGACTTAAGAGCCTTTCACTTCCCCAGGTATGATCATACATCACAAGGCACAAAACCCGTGAGAATTCTGGCTGTCGCGAATTGTAACGCACTAACAGTCAGTCTTGATTTGCTTGGCCATTCCAGAGTATCGCGAGGGAAGAGACCGTCTCCACTTATGCTGACCATCACAAGCTTGAGCGTGAAATAGGGGAGAGAAGAGGAACAACCAATAACCGTGATGGACAGAAATTCATGCAGGAAGTTCATCCACTCTCTGCTCTCACCCAAGCTCCCCGCAGATTTCTTTTCAGGACAGCGCAGCACCAAAATGCATTCGAAGTCGAAGTCGTACTACCCGGTATAGAGAGCTTGTAAAGCGTCTAATATTCGTCGGCTGTAGATATTTTCAAAGGGCACGCAGCACAGCTGTCGCTGAACTGGAAGCTGACACGCAGCGATAAACGTAATTAATGTACAGCTTGCGAACATATTTACCCTGATTGAATTTTTCTATTCAAGTCGAAGTCACACTGATAATTCACTTCTAAGATGATCCAATCAATATCTTCATTATTGCTGCATACTTCTCCAGGTGGAACTATTGAGCACGTTGCTCGGGAATTTGCCACGAACACACTTGTGTTTTCTGGCCTCCTGAATGATCCCAGTTGGAGAATACGGCTCTCACGTAAGAAGGGTAACAGTATGGCGCATACCACGACCTAAGAAAATGTATTTGCTTGATATAGGCGGTCGGAGTAAGCAGGTACAGTGGATCAAACGGACATCGAGTTCTGGTTGATGCGCACAGGTGAACGCACAGCCTGTCGACTGCGACTACGCGTGCCAGTAAAATTTCGTGTGTCATCAAACACAGTTACCATTGACCAGAATACAGCGAACGGCCACGTCTACGTTTCGATCTATGTCTAAAGGCAGAAGGCTACTGACGAAACCATGTTTGGAAATATGGCGAAACAGACCACTACAGTTGGCCTACCGATGCTGTCACCTTGTGTGTATAATTTCGCTGATAAAAAGTGTGTGTACTAAGCTGCCTAAAGCCCTAATCCTGCAACCTTTGAATGTCATCACCCTGGGGGTCAGCGCGCTGCAATGATTTTCTGGCGTCCCACTTCGTATCGCAGTTACCATACATAAACCAGTATCGGCTCATTTAAAAAGCTTTTGAAGTTCTGCGAGACATAAATTTATAAGGCACCATCCTTGATTACGCATTTGAGGAGCCTCTGGATGCACAGCAGAGGCCCATGCGGCGCTCATTCAAGCCCATTTCCCCAGCTGTCATATCGCTGTGCCACAGGTTCGTTTTGGCATTTAGCAGTCCTAAATAAGTAAAGAAATTGGATTATGTCTTTTTCATAGGGAAACAGTGCGCTGTTCCTTACCATTGATTCGCGCCACGTGGATGCCTCCCTGGTACAACTCTTGTAGCGAGCATAGGTGGGCCGCTGGCTCGCCACACATGTTCGAGTTCATTGCGAAATCGTATCCGCAGGAATCACATCCTGATTACTCATTGCACATTATCATATAAAATAAGAGTAATAAAGTACGAGTCTCACCAAGGGAAACAAACTCAGGATCAGGCACACCTGAAAAGTAGAATTCACCACAGGCTGGCGACGAGGTTGCATCAACAGGCACATACCAGTCAGTGCAGGCATAGTCATAGCCGATATTTCGTGATCCTGATGGCCGTAATACACGTTTTATGAGGCAGTGTCATTGCAGAAACTGTCTTACAGGAAGCCCCCGGTTGTAGAAGCGGAAGTCATCAATATAACCCTGTGTCAAACATCATTATTAACACACTCAGCTGAGCTGGCACTATGCAGTACCTCAAAGCCGGGATTCTCGACAGATGCACCAACGACAATCTCCTCAGCGTTTGGCACCACGCTGCCCCGAAGGAACTGTGGGATATATGTAGGACGGGAGAATTCGCCTGGGTAGCACTAGTTACACCCTACCACCTCGTTGTCCTTCATGCCCTGTATTACCAGTCAAGTTCTTCTTAGGTTCACTGGATCAGTCTACTCTGTGCAAACCTTACGTTTAAAAAGAGCTTGAGCCTATTCTCTGATGCGGTCACTGTAACATAGGAGTTTATAACCATTTCCGCACACACACAATGGAAATATCCTGACCAGCAATGTGAGTCCATCTCCTGAGTGGAAGGCTCCCGGTTGACGGCATTCCTTCGGAGTGACTGTCGTCCGTTGAGACTCGAACAGAGAGCCTTCGGCTATCAGGGTACAGAAGGATTGATGGTGTTTGGGATAACTCGCCCCTAAACGTTTGGATGCATGAAGTGGCCTCGTTTTGTCATACATCTTTATCATTTATTTACCCTTTCGATACAATGTTGCGGAAAAGGCCATTTGAATCGCTCAATAAGTACATCCAAAAGGAGCTGCGGAAGGTGTGGAAACCACTGGGTGGAAAATGAATAAAACCTTTTACAGTGTGAAATCTGACGACTCTAGCGTCGGGCTGGACTTAATTGTGCTACTAGCACCCTTAACAAATGCAGCACTAGCACCGCGTCCTGAAAAATGTAGTTATGAGTTTCAATAAGATTCACAGTGGAAGGAGCACACCATTATGGGATGGTCCAGCGCGCGCAGTCCTGTGCATGTGGTTGCCATTTCCACTTTGATCAGCTGAGTAGAGGTGGTCGAAGGTTAGCCATGCTACAAGACCTTCTGGTACAGAGTTCCCGGATACTATTTGCTGTGTTCCACCTGTTAGTGGTAGAGAGACGTGCACACATCTCGCCTTGCTTCCAAAAACCCAGGTGACTTACCGAAACAAAGGGAATTAGCGACGGAAAAGCAACTGTTCGTGTATTTTCCGGCAAAGTTTAGTGTAGTCTTGACTCCGTTTACTGTGTCTTCCAGTGCTGTTGCGGCGCTAGAGGGCAAAGAGTTGTCTGCAGTAACTTGGCTGGCGTTGGCGCATCCGCCGAGGAACAGGGGGATAAGGAATCGCATAGTCATGAGAATTTAGCCTGAAGACGACGCAAACTGGAACAAAAAGAATGCCAGCCAGCCACTGCTATACTTTGCACACAAACTTTTTTTGAAAGTACCCTACCGGCTTTTCGCAGTCGTCATGGGGTGTACTAACGCCTCAGCAACCCTTCGTAGCGCAGGCCATGCATTTGCTTACCACTACATATTCCTTTTCGTATAGTTTCATCTTCTATAATATAAATCATGCCTATTTCTGTCTTCGTCAGTTCACAATAGTGAAGAGCCCATAGTGGAACTGTGAAATGGCTTGCAGCGAGGTTGAAGAATTCAAGACTTCGACCTAGTCCAAATGCTGAATTTCCCCCGTGCCGTGTCATTATTTCAACTCCGAGAATAACTTATAAATGTGGGACCCAAGCAGTTTCATTTCGGCATTAGAGCTCTACAGAAGGACTAGAACAATGCGCCCATATATCGTGGAATTGGCGTGCCGGTCGACACCCTGTAAAAGTTGAAACCAACGAACGCGGAGCAGACCATACGAACCACCTCTAATTGACAAAAATATGCGTTACAGCCTTCATCCTAGCAAGCAGCCCGGCTCAGCAGCTCACATTCATGTAGGAAAAGCTTCACTTGCATGGAATTTCAGGAAGGACACCTGTAGCGTCTAGCATTTGTTATTTTTGTTTCACACAAAATTGCCGTGAATTACTTATGCAATAAAACAGCAGCAACTACGGCTTTCCAAATACAGGCGAGTGATTTTAGATACTGCATAGCATTCTGGGCATTCGCTGGTAGTATGCCAATAGAAGTGACTCGGAGCACAGTAGAAATCAGATCTGCGTCATACCTTTTCCTATGACCAGCTGTTGCTTGGTAACAGCACATACTTTGAATGCGATATGCTAAAGATCCAATTCCTCAAATGAACTCGCTACAGGCTTCGTCCCAACTGCCGGGACGCAGAAAAAAGTCACATCCCTCTGAAGAAACCAACTGGTGCATAAGACGACCCACTGCCATCTGCTCACAATTAACTAGATTGGTCGCCTGTATCCCAGGAAAACCACTACTGCCTCGGTACATTGGCAGAACCGCTGAATTTGTTCGATGCCTATGGAAATACCAAAGGTGGCTAACCCATAGAGCAATCTCTTCAGCTACTCCCTATGCAGTGGCTTAAATTGGCTAATTGTGCCTGCCAACCCAAAGTTGTATTAACAATGAAGATGACATGCTCGCCCCGTGCACATTAATGACCGTTCAATTTAGGATACAAGCTAGGCATGCATATATGTGGCCGCAATGCACCATTACAAGCAACATAATCAGCATTGCAGAAAGATTTGGGCGCTTATACAATGAGCAGCCTTGCTACTAATGTGTAGCAATTCAGAGTACGCGCAACCATGCAAAATCCCACAGATCCTCTGACTAATACACGCGAGACAGCTGTGCCTTAGACATAACTTGTGGTGCGAATAAAACACGCTGCGTGCTATGTGAAACCCGCTGGGTGGCCATCAGCTGAAGCAAGAGCAGCAGCTGAAAGCACGAAATCCCTCGAGGAAGGACTCTACGAACGTTTTCTTTAAACGGAGAAAGCATGGGCGAACGAAATACACCTGGGCACAGAGACATACATCCCAATGGTAGCCGCTGCAGCTCAAACCAATTGGAAAGCCTCCTATCCCTGCCTTACTACAATACAGTACGCGTGGACATACACATTAGCTCATGAGGAAGTCAACGCGGGTCGTTGATCCTTCGCCTCCTCCTGAACGGCAGCAACAGACGCCTCCGTCTTAGCAGTTTCTCCCTTAATATTCCCATGTTCGGATTTTCCACCCGAACTCTCATAGTCTGCTACAGAGATAAGACCCCCCTTATTCAGGTAGCGCGATAGCAACAGAAGCTGCTGAATATGCATGGCGAGTATTGATTGCAGTATCAGCAACTGCTGTTGAGTACCCTGCTGGCTGGGAAGTTTTAGGTCCTCAAGACAAGGGGCGACAATCATGAGCGACGGCTGGAGCTCTGAGGCAGAGGTGGCGTTTCCTACAAGATTAGAATGCACCATCAGCAGCTGGTCCAGCAGACGCTTTGCTGTCATTGCCGCTGCACTCTCAACAGATGACTGTTGCGGAGCTCCTGGAGATGTCCCACCTGAATTAGAGGATGCTCTAGCTGACAGGTACTGTGTCACAACGTTGCTCCTCAAGTCATCAATCACGAAAAGGATGGCCTCTTTGTACAGGCAAACTAGTGCTCGGTCGTTGTCCGAAGCAGTGTTGCGGGCAGTACTTGCGCATCCCGAAGGCGAGGAAAATTTTCCCTTGCGGCCGTCGGTGTTTGCCTGACTAGCTACAGCGGCAGCTGCTGAGGCCAACACAGCTGTGACCGACTCTGCTGAGTCTACTTTGGTCAGTGGCTGCTTGGTGGCTGCAGATCCTGTCGGGTTCCCTTGAAGTCCCGCCGCGATGAGGTGTGCGGTGTTCCCTGTGGCAGCCACTGCCGCGGCTGCTGTGGTGGCCTGCTGCCTGAATTGGACGGCTCTGCGGTAAGCCTCAATGCAGCTTTCGAAAAATTTGTCGTAGAAGTACCGCCTGTATCCTTTCCAGTAAACGGCCCAGCGCTTCTTCGTGTTGTCGCGAGACACTCCACGGACAATGGGGTACAGCCGCTGGGTGGAGTCCTCTTTGCCTGCTGCTTCACACACGCTGTAGTAACCCAAGGGCCCTCGCAGAGAAGACGCAGTAAGTGTATCCTCGTTCAAAAATGACTCGCCTGCAGCCACACGCTCTATGAACTGCAGCTCAGCCAGATACGACGGGGACGTTGGGTTCGACGGTGAATCCGCTGGAGCACCGTCCAGTCGCTGTTTGCGTTCATGACCTCCACCATCTCCAGCGGCCATGACACCCTCACGTGAGCTAGCTAGAGAAGCTGCAAGAAGTTTCAAATCACCACTTCCACTGCTGCGGCTGGAACTGGCAAAACTGCTGCGGCGCTCATCCAGTAAATGCATTTCAATAATCCGGCGCTTGTACGCACGTGCTTCTTCGCTACCATCATCCTCTCCTCCTGGGCTGCAGCTGCTAGTGCGGCGGCTGTTGCTGTTGCTGTTGCACACAGTGCTTTCTGCACTCGCTAGCAACCGCTTTGAGGTTCCTGTCTTCTCTGCTAGACGGCAAAGCTGGCGATGCTGCAGCAACGCCATCAGCTCTGGCGAAAGACCAGGGCCCCTGTCTACCGCCTCGGTTTTATGGCGCGCAGCGGGACGCTCATTGGTCAAATCAGATAGAAAGCAGCCGTTAGCCTGGCACTCTTTCAGCAACTTCGAGAACAAAGAGCTGCTAAGAATGTCCTCTTCTGAGGTAAAAGCCTTATTGCCGTGCTGAGCGTCTGCAGTGCGGGAAACGCCCCTACTAGAAGTAGAACCTCCCAAAACAGCGCTGCCACATGAAAATTCCGAGCGTTCTGCTGCAGAAAAGCCGTTCGTGGCGGTCTTCAGCGCCGAGGAGTCTGCACTGTGCTGGTGCACCGACTTATCTCCCGACTCGGACATGCCTTGCGACTCTGATGCAACCCCAGATAAACCACCACAGCCCGTCTGCGTGGCAGAGACAGCGCCAACGCCAGATACTTGGGGCTCTTCTCGAAGGCAAGAAAGGTCTACTGCTGAACACAGCAACGCCGCACTGTCTGGGGATGAGAGGGCCACTGGCTGTCTGCCCTCTACAGATGGATGCGCCGTGCGCCCAGCTTTGTACTTTTCAAATGCTGTAGCGAAATCGTCAACTGGTGTAGCAACTGCAGTGCCACCACCAGAAGACGCCACTGCTGTGCTACGAGTCGTCATTCCAGCAGCTGAAGATTCCCCTGCAGAAGTGCCTGGCTCCCGCCGGGATAAAGTCCCAGTGATATTGCTCAGCATATCCTCATCAATGTCTAAAGACATTGCGAGATCCCGAGCCAAGCGTCCCTGATGCAACTCGGCAGCTGTCTTCTGTTCTTTTTGCTTTGAGGCGATAGCCGAGGCCGGCACATGGCCCCCACCATGCGTCATGCTCGCGTGACCGTTCGCAGTTCCAACGAGCCGCCTTGGGATATATACTATTACCAAAGGCGCAAACGAGCTATATGTTCCAATAATAGGCGTAAACACCCCGGAACATCTACCTTTCGGCTAATAGCATGGAGCAAGCGAACGGCGAGCCCAGATTTACAAGGCCGCAGGTCCTCAGGTATTGAGAAGATAGCCTCCTAGGGAACAGCAAGTTGCGTTCAAACCTTCAGTCGGGGAAGCCGGCTCGTCTAAAGAGTCTATGGAAGGTTCAGTGCTGCAGCCACAACACCTCCCCTTCCGACCGCTGCGTGGGACGCAGTGTTGCCAGACACTCCACCAGCACAGGCCCCTGTCACTGAGTGAATCGGCGGGGGAACCAAACGGCTGAACATGAATATAAGATTCAATATGATTTTGTCCCCCAGAACTTCCCCTAGACTGTTGGACACGGCCGTAAGTGACCTGGGCCGCGCGGTGTTATGCGCTGACGGGCGCTTACTGAGTCACGAGAGGCGGGTACTCGTGGAATCAGCACTTCAATGCAGAGCTAGAATGAACAAGACAATGTTCCAATATAACATAAACGGGCCAAAGAGACCCAGTGTTGATATAAGGGGCCAGGCACTGCCCAGAACCAGCTGACCCACCGCGAGCGGAGCAATGCGGATGCAGCGAGCGGAAGCGTGGCTTTGCGCCCGCACGTCAAGAGGATCCTCCAGAGGCGCGAGACTCCTGCAACCAATGCAGCGTATGAAACGCTAAAAAGTCCAACTGAAGCAGCTGGATAATGTATTAGGCACACTCCACCTAAAGCTCATCAGTTTGACGCAGTGGTTGCGGATTCCCTATGTGAGAGGAACGACCGTCCTTGCAGATCGTCGTCGCCTGCCCACTACACAGTCGACCGGGTGCTGGCTTCTGCTGTCCATGGCAAAGAGAGCTTAATAAAGCACGTTTAGCATACTCGTATAGTCGTTCAGAAGGACACACTATACATAGAAGAGCGATGGACGGATGTTGCGACGCCGCCAACAGCAGCTATGGCGGGTGAACGTCAGCGACGGATGCCAGATTTCTAATCGTTCCCTGGACCGGCTTCCCAGAAGCTTTAATACATGAGCACGATTCGGGTAAATAAACCAAGATAGAAGAAGCGGAAACAAAAAACACTGCATTAGGAATCGCCTCCCGCCCCCCGTTACAGCCAACTGGTTCACTGAACAACCGGAGGAGGGCAAGTGTCACAGCTTTTGAGCAGCCACACCTTCATAGCATTTGCTTTAGGACAGCAACTTACTGTTTTATCTTCTCGTACGACTCATACACTGGTCAGAATGTTCGAAACAGGTTTGGGATCAAATCCATGCCAACACAATATGGCCCATTGGATATGGCCTCTCGTGCAGGTGTCACCCACGAGAAGTTTAGGCTCCTATGTTGGTGTGTATTTCTAAATTGTTAGCTCAACTTGTATTCATTTTGACTTGAACTGTAGCTTTTTTGTGTAGCAGTGTGTAACACTACAGCTGCAGCACTGGCAATGTGCTCTATATTCCCTTAACTACCTATTCATTTGTACTTAGCGCAAGTTTGCAGTATAAAACCATGCAGATGTTTGTTCTTGAATACAGTCACAGGAAGACTGCGAAAACTCCTGAAGCAGCCTTCTAATAGAGGCTCAGTGCCATCGCAAACTCACTTCTTTTCAAGTTTTCGGCCTTACTATCTACAGGATGCGCAATGGTACGATAACTCCAAGGTGTCAATGCTCCTCAGTTTCCAACTATTTCAGAGCTTGTATGATGATGCCTGTTGCAGTTCAGTGATGACAGGGCGGCAGTCATTTTCTTCGACGTTTTACTTAGTTACAAGGCCACTGGGCCCGCCTCATACAGGAGCCTTACGCAGTATTATATCACAATACAGTTGAATTGCCTAAAACTAACCGCTGACAGCGATTGTTGTTCTGTAGTCCACAGGTTGTTGTGCAACGCCAGATCACTGCCCTTGGTGAACCAGGACGTTTGGGACACATTTCCTCCAATGTATTTGGACGATATACAGCTACACATAGCCACATGTGTTTGTGGCAATGATCTGCAGTGTGTGTGGCAAGTGCGACAATTGTCTGAGGAGGGCATGGTACTATTTCACTTAACTCGCTAAATGTACGGCCGTTCTGCTGATGAACGGCTTCGAACAAAGCTAGGAAGAAAAAAGCTGCGCACGTTTTATCACTAAATCCAGAGCACGCACTTTTTTACGAATATCAAAAACATTTCCCATAACCATATGTTGCCAACATGGGTGGACGAGAAGCAGCCATCCAGTACGTCGGCCTTTGGCCTCGCCAACATTCCACTTCTCAGCCTTCATGAGCATTGCTTTCGCGGATGCATTTTCTAGGATATCGCTGAAATCTTTCGTTAGCTTTCGGGCTGCAAAAATCTATTAGTGATGTGAAATGTTCCACTTCGTCACTCTCAGCAAAGTGTTGTGGCATGGCATGTATGCGAAACATCCGTCTCCTCCCGCATAGTAAGATCCAAAGACAAGGCGCAAAACTGCTCATATTGACGTGCATTGTCTCTGTCACATCCTTGATGGTGTGCCCCCTTGTGTCAATGTGAATGCAAATTGTGAGCAGACGAGCATGCGCTTTCGTTTACAGGTCATGGCGTTTTATCTGAGGTCGCCGTGGGGGGACATATTTAACTCCAGATTCAATACCTACGAAAGAATATGTTAATTCTTTTCAAAAAATCCACCCCTCCATGCCAACCCCCCACAGCTTCCCCGAAAAGAATGGAGAAAGCCAGCTAGGGTGCACGTAGCTGAACTCCGAGCACTCCCAGCTAGATGCACATAGCATCTCGTGCATACGCAGATAGCAATGCCTCTATCTTGTATTGGGCTAACAGCACCCTGCAAAAATTGGGACTCACGAAGGGACAGACCAATTAGTCACTTCTTTACAGACTGCTGGTAAACTATGACTGGTAGACTAGAAACTGTGTAAGGCTATCCTAGCCCGGTACTACACAGTCCATCAAGTATAAGTGCCACCACTTGGTCAGTGCGACCGTTCTTACATCTTTTGATCCCTTGGTGGATGGTAAGCCCCAAACTAATATCCTCAGGAGCTACTGTACTGCATGTCTCCCGGCTGCGTGATTTAAAGTAATAGCTTCGTCGCCCTTCCCCCCCGCCAAAAAGCTGGGGAGAACAGCTAGGCTTATTTAAAAGCCTTGTGTCCCTTTTGGACTCTCCTTATTGAGCTTAGTGTGCGCCCATGCTATTAGATGTGACATGCTCCAGCTCAACGATATTCTGACTCACCACAGAATCGTTGTTGATAACTCCCTGAATCTCTGTATAAATGCTTGCAGGCACACACTAAAAGTGGCTCAAAGTCACGTTCCTATTCATCCCGACAGCTTATCTGTCCACAATGTGTGGAAGCAAAAGTGAGCAATTGGAACTCGTTTATATCGTAAGGCATCGTGCAGCCATTCGTGAGATTACATTTTTATCCGTGTGTTTTGACTCCACATCCTGCGGTATATTGAGGCATGTAGCGAATGTGTGTCTCCCTGATGTAGGAATTCATTCATGTATCAGGTGCCGTTAGGACGTGCCAGCCAGGATCTATAAGCTGCGTGAAGCTACCGTTTTCTGGTCCCTTGAGACTGCCGTTTGCCACTACGCCTGGCTTGTGACGCAGACTCAGTTCTTTTCGATTGCCTAGCGTGTGTGCGAAATACACGAAAATATCCTAGCAGTCATGTAGCTGGATTAGAATAGCCACAATAACCCAGGTTCGATTCCGCATTACACATGCCTTAAATGGAGCCATTTTCCAAGTGAATGCTTAGAGCGATATATGCATTATACTTTGTAGAGCATCAAGAAGACAGGACTGCTTCAACAGCTCGCAATAGTCATCACTGCTCAGGATGATTCCTTGTGCCTGCGAAAATCAGGTACAGTTTCATCAGAGAAGTACAGTGAAATTTTCTAAAAGCTGGTGGCACGCTGCGCTGAGTGCTGCGGGCTGAGCTACACTTCGACACAATTTACTGCACTAATGATCCCAAACAGAAAATTAGTAAAAGCATGACCAATTCATTTCCTTACATTTTATTCACTGCAGAGTATTATTATCTCGATAGAAGACACAATGTCGTCTGCATGTGCGCTAGATGCTACATGCATGTTAGCTGCGATACTTGGAATGCTTGGAGGGCACAGCTACGCGCAACTTAGCTGTCCCTCTCCCCTCATGTTGGGACCTTCGAGAGGCGTGAGCAGGGGAAGGCGAGAGATCTTTTGAAGCCACTCAATCACTGTCTTCTAAGTTCGTAGTAATGAGCCTAGAGGTAATATACTTCCTACCATGACTGATGGAGATTTACAGTTGGTAGCACTACAAGGTTCGATCCAGCTGTTCCCTGCTCATCAATTGCTTGTTGATACGCTGAGAGATGAGGGTTCCCTAATGCACTTGCCTGGTATCGACCAGGCTTGTCGTTAGTATAGTAATTTGAAACATTTCAGCAACGGGCTGGGGCAATAGTTCCTCTAGCGATGGAAGTAGATTGTGGAACATTGCCTGTTGAGGAGGCAGGGCCCGGCCTGCAGGTTGATGCGCGCGCACTAGCTCCACATCTCGTACAAAGGCATGGATCGTGATGAATGCTTTGATGCATGATCGGTTAGTCCTACTTTGGGCCAGTGCACCATGACGCGATCCCGTGTGTGCCGCGGGTGACCTGCCGGAAGGCGGGCATGCAACCCAGCTGCGCGCTGTGGAGTGTTTACTGGGAAGGAACAGTGTATAGTCTTCTCAACAACCATCACTTTATCTACGATGTGAAGGCTTGTGCCAGCACCTCATCAAGGTGACGTAGAGTCTCAATGCAGACCTCAGCAGCGCAGTCGTAGAAGATTATTCTGAACATGCATCCCATCCTAGTGGCTCTGCTGCAGGTTCTGTGGTAGAAAATTCGATTGCACTTTCGGCTGAGGAACAGACAGAATGGGCAAATATCAAGGAGGAGCCTGTGAATAAACTAGCTAAGGACGTGCTATCAGCAGGTTGGGCCCCTACTAGTCGTCCAAAGTATCGTGTGGACCTACTACCAGGGTCAGCTGACAAGCTATGTTTCGCTATACCGAAACCCACCAGAGCATGAAGGGGAGAATGAGAGACAGGCGAATAGCTTGTGGAATTAGGCAACATGCAAGAATCGACCAGGGCTTGTGAGCATGACCCCATGTTGGTACTGAGCGAGGACTGAAGCTAAGGCTATGCGTAAACTTGAAGGCCCTGAACAACATTCCCATGATCAAAAGCTCCCAGCGCCTCATCTTGGTGGGTTGTCTGGCGGATATCACAGGTTGACAGCCCACTTGACATTTGAACTCAAAGATCTTTCTTGTGAATCCCCATTCACCCCTGCGACAGGCACATGGCGGAGCATCGCGCTAGCATTTGAATACTCGAGCATACGGATATGCTCTGTGCCACAGCTAATCTGAAAGTGCAAGTGATGTGAAACATTAATGAGGCTTTCAAGGAGGGGTCTTTGGCTGTTTACTTGCGGCGTCTAGTCTTTTAGCCGAAAAGTTTGAGAGCACCTACAGGACCTAGAGCCTGCGCTTCGGCTATGGTAGACACGCATTGATTTGTGACGTTGTGAAAGTGTGTTTCAATTATACCAATTGTCTTTCCGAGATTTTATGTTTCATCTGTATAAATTGAGCCACATTAGGCAAAAACTCAAGCAATCGAGGCGTGGCCCCTCTACGCACCAGCAAGGACGCTACAACGTTTTGTGGGATTGCACCTTATTGAAATACCATTCCTAGATGTGATTGGAAGGCTGTCTTTTCCACTTCTTCCTTTAAAAATCACAGTGTGTGGCCTGAACAGAGGAGGATATCGCGCAGCAAAAACGCTTTTCGGCTGTTTCACAGCGCTTCTATTACTTGTGCTGTTTGACAATAATCGTCAGTTCTTCCTAAAAACCCATGCAGGTAATGTACTGGTGGGTGCTCTGCTTTCCCAACAGCATACAGGCTCTCTAAAACACCAAATTATTGCCTGTTATTCTAATCACTTGCAAAAACAGAGCAGCGGTATCACGTGCGGGGAACTAGGCTCCATGTGGTGTGACAAGGCGTCAACAGTGCCTGTGCACTTTTGATATGGGTGCCATTTGCTGTTCAGACCGATCATAAGCTTTTGTTGCACTTCAAATTTTCAGCACTTTGATAATTGGAGAGTATTTCGGTGGCTTGGGCACCTTCTGCATTTCGACTTTGCATTGGGGTCTAGTGAGGGCATGACCATCGCTGTTGCCACGCTTTGTTGCGACACCGCAACCATTCGCCATGCCGCAGTGCAGGCAATATCTGTTGATTCAAGAAATCTGTCAAAACTTTTTGACTGCTATGCTCGCGACACCTACGCATCCGCCATTATTACCACTGTACAGACTGGCGAAAGGGTGAAAGACTGCCACGTTGATGATGGCCTGCTGTGGTCTACAACAAAGCGGGGGCTCCATCGCCCTACGTCCTAATTTCGCACCGCAGTGCCTGTGCACAAAGCGCATGACCGGGTTATCTCGGGACACAATGGAATGCACAATACAAGATCGGAATTCTCATGCTCCTTCTGGTGGCCTGCAATGTGCCTCCAAAGGGGAGCAGGTACTGTCATGCGCAAATTGTGAGCAGCTGGAGCCGCTCAAAGCCTCCAAATCTGGACTTCTGGCTTCTGGAAGGAATTAGACTAATCTGAATGTAGACTTATGGGCTGCATCATCGAAACATAAGGGTAAGAATACCATCTAAGTCGTGACAACAAACAGCGAATCTGCCCATTTCATCCTATGCTCCACCTGAATCACGGTTCTCTAACTCGCTCAACCATTTTCAACTCATCTGACAGCTACATGGATTCTTCAGGAAAAACACCAAGGAAATGGATCAGAATTTTGTTGGTGGTTCCTGGTATGCATTTATAAGCTGTCTACACATTTACAATGAAATAAGTACTGCTAACCACCGACAGATAAATAGGCTGAGCGCACCAGCCACACACTTGTGCAGTATTTGCGACGCCTTACTCATTAACCCAGTATACTGGCTGAGCTTTTCCCCTATGTGGAGTACGTCTATATAAGGTAGTTCTTTAGCCTCCCTGCTGCTCACCTACATCTTTGGTATACATTGAGAAGCCACTCTCCCTTCCAGCCTTAACATGGTGTTCCAAAATCGGCCGTCACCCTTAGGACCAAGGGGATTCAGAGAAGAGTTGACAAGTGTAGGCGAGCGTATGAGCAAAGTGAAGGCGAGGAAAACACGGAATTATGATAAGCGGCGCTTACCTGTGTATTGTGAGCCTGGAGCTTTGGTCCTGTTGGATCGTCAGGCTTTACAAGGTACATTAGAAGAAGACCAGATGGAGAATTTCGCTGCTGGGTGGCTAGGACTACTTGCGATCCTCTCACGAATCAAGGATGTTTCTTGCTCTATTGACTTTCCTGGAATTTGATGGTGCCAAAAACTGATCCGTACTGACTTCCAAAGAAAGTTTCAAAAATCCCTAAATTGTTTGCGGAGCTTGCTGCGTAGACCAGTGACTCGCGTAAAGGCCGGATCTTCACACGGAGCCGGAAAGGTGCTGGATTCTGAGTAGTGAGCGCCGAGAACACACAAGGAAGATTCCTAGTGAGGTGGGTAACCCTCGGTGGCTGATGGCAGTGAGGCTGTGGGCTTCGTTGCCTGTGGGAGAATAAGTGTCTCCGTTTGGCTAGTAAAGCTAGTAACCGTCGATGCAAGTCTTCGCGTTGCTTGGTAATTGTCCTTTTACAGTGCGCGTTCTGTCTGAAAGAGCCATCTTCATCTACGGGTATTGCTTGAAAAGTTGCCTTCTATTGTTGTGTAGGTGTTCTTCACTCAGACCTATGCGCAGGATCACAAGGTATGTTGTGTCCACATTCCTCCTTATGCCTTTTTTCTGGGCTTTGAAACTTGTCTTTTGCAGTTGTCGGCAGTGGTTATAACAAGATATTGTCCAACGAGACCCAAAGGCAGAGCTGAACTACTCTACGCTTTAGATTCCTTCACAGATTTTCCTTGTCTGCTATTTTGTGGCAGCTGAAATCTTCCAGTGCTTTGATGCAACGGGCCACCGCGCCTCCTCGGTCGTGTCGGTTTGGTCATTTTCCCTCTGTTCGCTAGTGAGTGTCTTTTTTCCTTCAACTTCACTAAGGCGGCCAATGCACAAATTTTCTTATTTGTACTGTTCTCGCTTATCCGCATGGCTGGAGAGCGGGAAAAGGATGGAAACTCTTTCGTTGCTTTGCACGTAGTTGGTACTGATGCACAGAAAAGAAACAGGATGGCGTGTGTTGTGAAATGGGTGAGGGATGATGTGGCGGGTGAAGCCTTACATACATACTTTCTAATACATTAAGTACTTACTCGAGAATTATTTCAAAACTGACCAATTGGCTTGCGCGTGGGCACATGTTATTGAGTGCAGAGTAGCACTAGCTTGATGCAATAAGATGGGATGTTATCTGCCTGCTCGCTAGATGCTATCTGCATTTTGCTATGCGTGCTTGGGGTACTTAGAGGGTGCAGCTACGCGCACCGTAGTTGTCCTTCTCTCCCCATGTTGGGAAATCTGAGAGGCGTGGACAGGGAAAGGTAGAAGATCTTTTGAAAGCATTCGACAACCTCTCAAGTTTGTAGTCAGCCTGGATTAAAGTGCCTCCCTGATGGAGACCTCAGATGGAGCGTTACCCTGTGCAGCACATATCAGATTATATGAAATGGCTCAGAGTATCCGATCATGTCTAGTTAAGCTTGGACATGAGTAGAGAGAGGTCTGCACACCGACAACTACTAATATTTTGGTCTATTTTGCTACTATGCTACATACAGACTACTCTTGTGGTGCTGAAATTTGCATCGCACCTATCGCATTCCCGGAGAAGAATTCTCATGATACAAAGGGAACAAATAAAAGTCAGGCCCTAATTGTGTTTATCAGGAATCTTAAAAAGCCGCCTAAAAAACCTTTCACAGGTTATGGATCTTCACACGGAAAACTCACGACGAGCGCTATAATGGTTGCTGAGGCCATCCAACAAAGTAGCATGCACTGAGATGCATCTTTCGTCGGAATTTTCCTGTGTCTTGCTCTAAGATCCATAGCACTTGCTCTCTCCAAAAGAAAGCAGTATAGCTTTAGCTCCTTAATCTGATCACCTATACCCCCGATTTTACCGATGTGTGGTGACCTGGCCTTAAATTCCTGTACAATTGTCTGAACAAAAATAAGGTTTCCAAAGTGTGCATTACACTCGATCCAATTCAATTATCACACCTTTCATCATGAGAGAAAAATTGAGTAGCTTTTCCATTATTAAGGCTTGTCGTCGGTTTCTGATCGCGTGCTGTGGCCATAAGGCAGAGGGCAATGCTCATGCTGCCAGCTTCACAGTCGGACCAATTTATGATCAGCGAATTCATGAAATACTTCTAAGGCGCAGCTTAATATGAATTTTCGTTCTTGTTGTGGCCTGTCGTCTGCGTGTTTCTGGGCTGTAGCAACTGTCGGTGTGCAGCGAGACAGCCTGGCCTCCTGTCTCTGGGAGGGCGAGGCAACAGCCACCCCACGTCGTGCAGACTCTCGGAATGACGTCAGTCAGATTCCTTGTTTAATTGAAATTGCCTTGATCTATAGAGATTGTATATTTCATCCTTAATTAGTCCTGATTACTGATTCAGATTGTGGGAGAGCACCCTTCTTTACTGCTCCCCACCTGAGGCACTCTCCCTGGCTCTCAACAAACCCCAAGGTAATCGAGTTTAAATGGGAAATTCAGCCCAACTTTCCCCGCTTGTAGCTTTGAAAAGGTGTTTCTGAGGGTATTTATCCACCTCTGGTCTTGATCTGTGCAGAAAAATGGCAGCTCCTGCCGAGCAGACTACCCAACAAGGGGCCCAGCCCGTTACTGTCGCGCTCCCGTCGGATTGGACTGTCAACGAAAGGCAAATGTGTGACCTTGAGATGATAATTAATGGAGCCTTTGCTCCGCTTCAGGGCTTCATGTGCATATCCGATTACCAAAGGTGGGGAGCACCAGTCCCGTACTCTAAATATCCTTGTATATCGCAGCGAACGGTTCCTCAAAAGGCCAACGACTAATGAAACTAAGTTGCTCTTCTTCAGCTTGGGGTGTAGCTTGATATGTACGAAAGCTCATATACACCGCATGTGTGATTCGCTTGCGATTTCGGCGTGCAGCGTTTTAGACAAAATGACCCTGTCCAACGGCGAGGTTTTCTCCCTACCAGTTGTGCTGGCAATTCCAAAGTCCTGCTGTGGTGAAACCACAGCAACTAACGTATACTGGATGAACTCTTCGCCCACATTCGGCAAACAACATGGCCGTATGATGCTACGTGATGCCGTGAGCTTTGTATATTTGAATACACCAGTGCCAAATTCTTTGTTTTAGAGGGCTTTACAGGTTCGGGGCTTTCAGCCCACTTTTAAAAATATATCTGCGCGTTAAGCTCTAAGGAGTGGACAAGTGGTGTTATGGCGCTATTTGTCTTTGACTTTTTGACTGCAGGTTGGAACTGTAATCGCCCACCTAGAGGTTGAGAGCGTCTACCTCCCAGACCTGGAAGAGGAAATGCAGAAAGTGCTCGGGACCACTGACTCCAACCATCCTTATGTAAAATACTTGCTTGATAATCACAAAGACTGTTACTATGTGGGTGGCAAGGTTACTCCAGTGAACCCCATTACGCATTTCAACTTTGAGCAGTACCGTATATCTCCAGCCGTTTGCAAGGAGATGATAACAGAGAAGAAATACGACGTTGTAGTGGGATTTCAAACGCGCAATCCGCTACACAAGTGTCATTACGAGCTGATTAAGCATGCTCTACAACGGGCAGCTAACGACGAGAAGAAAAGGCCAATGCTGCTGCTGAGTCCTGTTGTTGGCCCAACCCAGCCAGGTGATGTGCCGTACTACCTTAGAGCGCGGTGCTATGAGCACATCATCCATCATTTCTTGCAGGATGAGGACTGCAAATTTACACACCTTTGTCCGACAACAACAACCACCCCTGACCGAAGCCCTACTAACAGCCAGCAGGGGCACAGTGTGGACTGGGCACGCAGCAGCAACAATTCAAGCAATGCAATACTTGTGCTCATTCCTTTGGCCATGAGGATGGCTGGCCCAAGGGAATGCGTCTTGCACGCACGCATCCGCAAGAATTACGGCTGTACTCATTTCATAGTTGGACGAGACCACGCAGGACCCTCAACAAGAAAGAAAGACGGGTAAAGCATATTTCAAGAACATATACGACTTGATAATTAAGATCGGTGCATTTATGTTAGAGACAGCTCCTTACTGTCAATGCCCAGATATTCTGTGCGTGATGCGAACAAACTAGGACACCCTTCTATGGCCCGTATGAAGCACATACGCTTCTCGCGTCGGTCTCTGAGAAGCTCGGTATCACCCCCATCTTCGGTGAGGAGATGATTCACGTTGGGGAGAAGCACGGGGGATATATCCCTGCCGGGAAGCTTGAAGAAATCCGAAAGACTCACCCCAACGTAACAGTTAACACCATCTCTGGCACTCAGTTCCGCAAGCTTTTGGTCTCGCGGGCCCCCATTCCAGAGTGGTTTTCCTTTTCTGACGTTATCGGGGAGCTACAGCAGTTCTACAAACAAAATCACGAACGGGGGCTTTGCGTATACTTCACAGGTCTTCCCTGCTCAGGTAATTAAACGGATGGACGCCAAGGCTAGTAGCCGCTTTACCTGTTGATTCTTATACTCTTCTGCATGCCCATTTCACCTGGCAACCTGTAGTAGCTCGCATTGTCTTGAGGGTTTGTTGGCAGCTCATGTTTCAATGGCAGACATTCTGAGGTTGCAGACTGGCAAATGATATTATCTGTACTCCAGAAACCTGACTCCTGCGCCTCTGACAGGCAAGAGCACTCTGGCAAACGCCCTGGAGGCCACTATTCTCGAGAACCGCAACGAGAAGAGAAAAGTGACCCTCTTGGATGCCGATGTTGTTCGCCAGCACCTTTCAAAGGGCCTTGGATTCAGTCGCGAAGATCGCAGGCAAGGTTTTGTAGTGTGAACAAGAACAAGAGTTAGCTGCATCGTTGAAGCTGTAGTTGATACCGGCAATCCATACCTCCTAGTGTAGAGCATGGAGACACCGCACAGGCATATGCTTGGGGCTTTGTGGCGCAGCACGAATGTCCGCCGTATTGGATACATTGCTAGTGAAATCACAAAACATGGCGGCATTTGCATTGTGGCTAACATCGCTCCGTACACCTGCGATCGCGAGTTCAATCGCAAGCTTATCGAGCAAGAAGGCGGTAGGTTCAAAGGGGAAACACCATATTTGCAGATACAACCCCAAGTTCTATAAGGTGCAGTTTTTAGCAATACCATGCGTCATATTTTTCCCTTGCATCCATCGCATCTTCCGCTTTCGGTATATGTTCCGCTGAATGTCCAGGTGTTTACGTTGAAGTGTACGTGTGCACGCCTTTATCGGTGTGCGAGGAGCGCGACATAAAACATTTGTACAAGAAGGCGCGTCAGGGCATTATCAAGCAGTTCACGGGGGTTTCAGACCCGTACGAGGCACCTGAACGCGCCGAGCTGACAATTGACTCCAGTTCTGACGTTAAGGCGAAGGCTGCACAAGTCCATCAGTATCTCAAGGACCAGGGATACATCTTGTCAGCACATCCGATATCCAAAAGCTGTTAACACTGATTGTGACACTGGCAATAGAAATAAGGTGCCAGGGGCCCTCGGCACCGTGAGAGCCACATGTTGCATTGCACGTGGCGACAGCAATTGAATAGCGAAGCTATGAACAACTTTAGTTCCATAAATGGCGGTCAATAATAGTGTTGTCCGAATACTGAATCGCAGTCAAATGTGGATGGAGGCGCAGCAATGGTACCTTCCATAGCACAGCTGACTGCTGAACGTCAACTGCATCCAAGGCTCATTGGTTTTGGATGTAGCATGAGTACCGGGTGAAGACGCCAAGAAGTATGGCGAGGTGCGCTTGCGTCATGAGTGGTGACCGCAGCATGAAGGCATCTGAAGTCTCTCGGCAGATATTTTTGTCGGCTGTACGAACGTAACTCGTGTTCTGCCTGTAGTTCCTTTCTTTGCTGACGATGCTCCCTAGTGCAAGTGAAATTGGGTCAGCACCAGGTGGTCCTTCACTTATACTCAGCCACTTCCTACGAAGCACGACCACATTATTAATCATAAAAGCATCGGGGCAGAAGGAGTTACGCAGCCTGTCGGCTTTTAGCTGCCACACTAATGGAGCTGATGAACGGAAATCGCGTCACCTTATAAAAGGCGCACCGGGAAAGATCCCTTTTCTTCTCCAGCGTAATCCAAACGTGCGCAATCATTAATGCCCAGGCACAACTAGGGGCAAGACCTACAGAGTCTAGCCACGTTTATGATTAATTCTAGCTTCAATGGTTTTAGCTTGATGCTAGCATTTCTTAGACGGCAACAGGTTAAAAACCCCAAAATTGAGCTGAGGAGTCCCTACGGTGGCTATAGCCAAACAGCTTCCAGGCGACCACTATCTTGTGAAAACATGGGAAAACCCTCAGCTGCTTGCTCGTCCACGCTTAGTGACGAGTGCGCATGTGGGGGAGAGATCAACAGTCGTCATCAAGAGACGCTAGAACAACCTTATTACTGCCCTTAGTTATGCTGATCCCCGCTGCTGCTGCGTCTGAGGCTGTCTCAGCAGCGTTGGGAGCACCAAGGGTCTCTGCAAGCCGCGCCGCTGCCGAGAGGTCCACCTTCTCCCCAGGACGGAAGGCAGGGAGGCCTGCGCACCGCGTTTAACAAGCAAAGACCATCTCTGCATGTTCTGATGAGGCCCAGCTCTACCTATCATCCATAGCAAGCAACCCCTTATTAGCACGAAAGGTGGCCCTGTAATAATCTAGTTTTACGCCGAGCCCTTACTCAGAAGCCAATGCCCTTTTGGTGTCATCTCACCTTTATATGGACAGCCTGCACATCTGAAGGCGTCTCCCAGGTAGCACTACGCAAAGGAAAGCACACAGCAAGCGATCCAAGAAAGATGGCTAGTACAAACGGATGGATCACTCAAGATCGCAATCCAGAGGTGCTTGCTTACATTTCCACACGAACTCCGGACAGCGCCCGTCTCAAGCTGCTTCTTAAATGCCTCTTTGTCTGCCGCCTCTTCCGCCTCCTTCCGTCCGCATGTGCAGTTAGCGCAGGCCTTAGGGCGCGATGCGCAGTCGCTGCGGCCTGAGGAAGCAGCAAGCGCATGTCCAACCTCCACCCTATTTGCTGAAGGCGCATGCTGCGAGACCCCAAGATCCTGCACCTGTGAAGGCGATGCTACTACTATCTAAAACACAAACCAAGCAAAGCCGCTCACCCTTGCCAAGTGGCTGGTAAGTCTGGCTAAGGTCTACTAGGGAGTCCTCGTCGACAAGGTTAGCCACTGCAGACTCCCCTACAGCAGCAGATGCCCCCACCGCCCATAGGGGCCTTCGCCAAGCACCCTGAACGCAAAGGAGCACACATCAGCTCCCAAGACCACACCCATAAGGCCCTCATACAATGCAGAAACAGTAGTGTCGTTACGCAGATAGTGACAAGGAAAGACACAGAGCGAGAGGCATTGGAGCTTTGTTGGTTGGCTTTCGGGTTACGGCTCTTACAACGCGAAGGCCTGGGTGTTTTTCTGCGGCCTGTAGCAGGGCAGGGGGCATCTCTTGATCGTCTACAGAAATGAATCCTGCATAGAGGAAGCTCTTGCCCAAGGCGACCAGGGCCTGCGAATTAAAAATGTGGTGGGCACGCACCCGGAAAGTATGCAATACAGTGAGAAGATTGGAATGCCGCGAAGCTCGTGTGGAATGCCTAACCAAAAAAAACTGGTCAGATGTGCCCCGTGTGCTAATCTACGGAGATCCCTTCGGGGGGCCCTGAATGGCCTCTACACTCCCTCTAGGGCCCCCAAAAGTGATCGGTGGATTGGCTCGCCGGCAATACCTCGAAAGCGTCTGCGCCCTCGGCGGCAACAAGTAGAAGGCCGTTAGCTTTCAAGAGAGAAAGCAGTCTGGAGGCAGCCGCGGCAGTAGTCTCTTTGTGGACCGTCTGTAGGTACACCCAAACGCTCTCTCTGGGGGGATAATCTGCCTGGGCTGCGTTCCCAAGGAACTGGGGGAGAGAAACAACCAGGGGGTTTCCCCCTGCAGCTTCCCTCAAGAGCACTTCCGCAGGCTGACCCTCCGCCGAAGAGAGCAGGAGGGGAAGTCTTGCCTCTGCCGCCATCATGCAAAAAAAGAAGTCGAAATAACGAAATTCGGGCGGAAACGAGGCGCAAAAGGAGTAAAGAGGGGGAGGGAGGGGGGAAAGCACTAAAAGGCTCCCGCAGACAAGTATGGAACGGGCTTCCGCTTGAAAGGCTCAACGTGGGAAGGAGAGAAAGGGAGTTTCAATGCCTGTATCCTGGAAGTTCGGCAAGGGGGGCCGTTTGCTGTGTGAACCTGCGAGAGGAACACTGCGTTAAACCCCAAACGAGGCACCAAGAACTGTGCAAGGAATCTCCTTATTAGGCAGCGCCAAAGCAGCTGACTGCAGATAGAGAAGGAGGGAAGGGTAAGACTAAGGTAAAGTACAGCATTTACAATGTACAGCCGTCTCTGAAGCCCCAATGGGACGCTGTGGTGCCTGCTAGAGCGTTGCAGAGCACCGGCGGCAGTATGTGCTGCCAGTACAGCGGCAGCATTGACAGCAGCCTTAGCAGAAAGAGCCCCTGTTTCTTCCCCTTTTCTTCTACTTCAGGGTCTCTTCGTGTTACAAAGCGCGCTAGAGTCTCCTTGCGCCAAATTCTTTCTAGTAAGAGGGCATTTCCACTGGGGCCCCTCGGTGTTGCCCCAGGCCCCCGGTATGCTGGCACAGTAGTCTGGCGACTAAGTCCTTCCCTTGCCCCTCAAAGCTCACTGTGCTGCCAAATCGGCATTTCGCCTCTTGCCGTGTGTCTGTACACTGCACCTGGCAGGCGCGTACGGGGCCCTCCGGGGGCCCCCTCCCGTCGGGTGTAAACGCTGTTGTCAGGAACAAGTATGCAGCACGGCGACTCCAGCCATAAGAGACAACCCTAGTCTGTACCTGGCGGCCTGCGGAGTCTTGTCTGCCCTCCCTCCTGGTGGCTGAGACGAAGATGGGAGCTTCCAGCCAATCGCACACCCCAGCTTCACCAGTTCGGAGCGGCAACAAAGGCTTGGCTTCTGATAAGGGCCCTAGGCGCCACGGCTTCTGTGGCAGATGGCGTTCTCTGGGGGCGCTCACGCTGCTGTTGCAGCTGCTACAGCAGGATGCGAGTGGCATTGTGTGCGAGATCGACGCCAAGGACGGCTTAGACGCGGCCATAGCCTCAGCGGCAGCCGTAGCCTCAGACAAGCAGCAACTGATGCACATGCTGCCTCTGTGCCGCGTCCCCTACCTCGTCAACTCTCAGCTCCCTCCCAAGGATGTTCCTCACGTCGGGATGGAAAAAGGAGGTACGTCCATTCCGCGACTGCGGGTGCGCTTGGGGTGATGATGAGGTCCCTGTTTGTTTTAGGCGTCTGCAGTCTTTTGAATGACTGCCTTCGCCACCACGCCGCGTGCTCGGTGAGCTCTCTGAATGTGTTATGTGCCGGGGAGAAGGCTTGCCACTTCTTAGGCACGCGCTGCTGCGATTGGCTTGCTCAACAGGCACGGTCACTATAGACCTGCGCCTACTCCCCTCCAATTACAAGAACAACTTGCCTTCTAGGGCCCCCCGCTACCCGAAAGCATTTCCGAAGGCGCCCCCTCAGCATGGCGAGACGCCCTCGAGGGGCAGCTACGAGGCCTTTCAGCTGCAGCAGCAAGAACTGTCTCACCGACAGGCCCACTTGCGCTACGCCGAAGAACTGAGCAGCGGCACCCCACCTAATGGGGGCTCCATGAAGCCTCCGCCTACGACTATGCTGCTGCACACCGGAGCGGACGAGGGGCCCCTGGCAGCACTGTCGTCAACTTTCCCTCTGTTGGCGCATGCGGGGCGACGCCTGTCCCACATTTTGACCTCAGCGCAAGAGGAGGCGGCGCTCCAGCAGCCTCCCGAGGAGCAGCAGAAGTCTCTTTTGAGCAGTCTGTCGGGTGTCTCAACAGCTGCAAAGATTGCGCTCGAGGGCCTCTTGGGAGCGTCTGCAAGGGGCTTTGGGGCTAGGGGGCCTCCTTTGCTGCTGTCGTCGCTTTCGAGTTCTGCCAGCACCCCGCATGCCGCTTCTGTCACCACCTCTGCTGCTGCTCCCGATGCTGAGCCGAGCGCTGCTGTCTCCTCAAGAACGGCCGCCGATGTGGCGAAGCTGTCTGAGGGAGCTCCAGCCGCAGCAGCAGCCGCAAAAGCAGCGGCAGCAGCAGAGGCAGCGGCTGACGTCTTCAGAGTGCCCACGACTCGCATGACACGAAGGCGAGACTGCAGCCGACAGCTGCGAAAAGGACTTGTTGGCTGCCCAGAGTGGGAGCGGGAACGGCCCTCTGGTATGCGCAATTCTCAAGCTCGCGAGACAATTTTTGGCGCCAGCAGTCGTACCCAGGCCAGCGGCGGTCTAGGGGGCTTGGCTCCGTTTTCTTGCCTTTATCTATTTGCTCTGCTTGCTTTAGAAGCGCACCAAAGGGAGGGAGAAAGGGAGGGAAGTCTTTCTGCTCCTCGCCTGTGGGCCCCCCACCCCCATTCCACAACGTGGAAGGAACGCGATGGGAGAGTCTTCTGCGCATGCGATTCTGCAGCTGTCCGTCAGCTCGCCAAGGTGGACGCAGAGGAAGCCCTGCAGGAGGACTTGGTGCACTCTGTCAACAATACCTCTCTGTTGCTCCTAGACCACGCTCAGCTTGTATGACTGAGCAGCAGCCGCGGCGGGGGATGGAGTGGCGGCGGGTTGAGAGTTTGCCATACGACTTCACGTAGTGCCACCCTTTCGGAATGCGATTCGGGAGGGGTTCCCTTAGAATATACATGTGCATATGTGTGTGCATGGGTGTGTATATTATGTGTGTGCATGGGTGTGTATATTGTGTGTGTGCATAGGTGTATATATTCTGTGTGTGCATAGGTGTGTGTATTATGTGTGTGCATAGGTGTGTGTATTATGTGTGTGCATAGGTGTATATATTCTGTGTGTGCATAGGTGTGTATATTATGTGTGTGCATAGGTGTGTATATTATGTGTGTGCATAGGTGTGTATATTATGTGTGTGCCTGTGTCTGTATTTGTGTGCCATGTGTGTGCAGTACTTTCTGGAAACTCATGAGTCGTGGCTGCCTTCGTTCACTGCCGAGGACGGGCTCGTCCTGAACAGCTACATGCCCTCCATGATGGTAAAACACACAGGCGCTTCCTGGCCGTTTGCTGTTTCCGTCTCGTTATATGGAGGTCAAGAAGGGGGGGAGGATTTGTCTGAGGAGGGGCTCTGAGGGCGAAGAGGGTCTCTAGCCTGTATCGCCGTGATCTCTGTGCATGGAGGAGTTTTTGTACAGGATTGGGGTTTAGAGCACGGTCCTGCGCACCTATCGGGATGCAACGTGCTTCCTGGCGCATGCCAAGTGTCATACAGGCGTATTAAGGGCCTCGAGCTCATCTTGTCACAGCTTCCCGCTTTTGTGTACCCACCTGGGGTGCTACCTGCATTTTCCCAAATACATTTGCGTGTGCAACGCGGCCTGTGCTTCAGCAACTACCTTTCACGGGCCCTAGTCTACAGGCCACAATCACCATCCCTCGCAAGGACCGCTACGCCCTAGTTTTGCTGAATGCCGATGGCTTGGATCTCAAGCTCTATGGAACCGTGTCTTTTTACGGCCCAACACAGCACCACCTCTCTCTTGAGCAGAAATATTTGCCGGAAACGGTTGCAGGTCTCATGGTGCTCAACCTGATCGCGTACGTCAGCAAACAGCGCTGTGCGCTTTACACACTGCATGCGCCCTAGATAATGCCTAGCCCGCAGGGTAGAGAGTGCCTTGCGCCTTCGCCTTGTGATAGAGGCTCCTTCATGTTCAACGCGAAAGCTTCTTGCAAAGCTGGAGAAAAAAGCGGAGCGATAGCTCGGTTTTTCGAGGCGCAAGTGATCTGATCGCGTGACGGCTGCTTCTCTGCAGAGCGTGCACCTTGGGGGTCGTCCAGCTTACCAAATGGAGAGGACAGAATCTGTTTGTTACTATGTTGTTTATGGTCAACTTCTCGCTCGCGGCTCTGGCCTTTGGCCTTGATTGGAAACAAGCAGCCATCGTAGAGGCCACTGGACGCCGCCCGGCAGCTCTCTGGTAAGGCTGCAATCCAGTGTGCTGTATATGGCTGTCCCCTTGCATGCACCCCGCATTTCAGGCGTATGCTTCGGAGACTTGTTTCGCGGGATTGGGTTTTGCAGGGCCTTAGAGGCAGGCACGGGGCGGTGCAGTTGCCCACACAAGTCCGTCGTTCGAGGGTGTAGCGGGGGTTCGAATGTGCTCTGCACGGGGGCTGGGTGGTTCGTTTTTCCTCCAGGGTTGCCTCTCGTCTGATGCGGAAGTTGCAGGATGTTTCGCAGCTGCTGGTGTTTATATTCATTTCGTTGGGTAAGAGCAGTGGCGTATGAAAGCAGGTAGATTCAGGAGGGGTCTCCTGTGGCCAACGGAGTCACCCCACAGGCCCTGTGTCTCTCGATGTCTTGCCTTTTCCCTGGAGGCTACGAGCAGCAGCATAGCCACGGCAGCTGCAGGTTCTTGGTCGCCAGAGCTCGAGGTCGAAGGGCTTGGGGTGTTGCATGCTCGTGTGCAACTGTGGATATGCAGGATTTCGCATTGTGCGGCAGCGGCTTTCTCGACTCGAGATTCAGTTTATCGCAGGCCTCGCCGTTATCTCGCTGTACCTGGGTGTCTTTGAGGTGCTCCTCGGAGGCTTTCAGGCAAGTTTGAAACGCCTAATGCAAAAGCACGTGTATTACGGGCCGTGCGTGGTTTGCTGATCACCCGGGAGGCACCGCGTGGGGTGGCGCTATTAGCGCTAGTGATGTGGTCCTGTGTGGGTGGATCATTGTGTATATATACATTTGTTTCCGCGTGGCGCAACAATGCACAGCAGGACTCTATTTTTGCATTTGCATGCACTCACAGGGAGTTGCTGGGGCAGATGCGTGTGCCTTCAGCAAACTGAGTGGCGCGTAAACAATTCAACGAGCAGTATTTTTCTGAATGTGTTTCATGCTTCTATTTGTCGTGCATTCGGGCATCGCTGTGTCTCTCTTGGCAAGCGTACATATTCGTGTACCGCGTTCGCATGGCGAGTTTTCAAAGAGGAAACATCCAGAACAGGGTGCTTGTTTGAGATCTCGGCTGTACATACACCCCGTGCAGGCGATGCTCGTGTGCTGCAGGAGACTCGGTACATCTTTCATGCTGCAGGCTACGTGCGAGTCCTTATTGCGGTGCATTCAAACATCGTCGTGCTGCATGTGAGGGGCGGATACACGCCGGGATTGTGGGATGTTATCGAATTCAGCGTTTAGGCCTGCGCTCTCGAACCTAGCAGTAAACACCGAGCAATATGGTGGTGGACAATCGCTTCGTCAACATTGGCTTTGGGGTGTTGGGGGGGTTCTTAGGAGTCCCCTCCCCCCTCCCGCTCTCCCCCTTGCACCAAAGCTCCTCATTTGCTTGTGGATGTGCACTCGCTTCTGCAGAACCAGATAGCAGACTCAAGCCTAACTCCTGCCGTGGCCAGCCTGTACCCCAAATTGGCAGCATATCAGTGAGGACGTCGTTGCTGTGGCAATTAGTCCTCGAATGCGTCCCCTAAGCATCAAGCCCCCAACTGGCCCCACACCCTATCAATGCCCCTCGCAAAAATCGCCCGTTCGTAGCGTGGGGCTTTGCATGCAGTTGGCTCTGCATGAGACAGCAGAAGCAGAAATCATTAAGACCTGGTGGACCGGCTGTAGATATCCGTCCCCAGATATCGACAATTTACCCATGCTGCCCACCTGACAACGGCACCATTTGCCAGCAGGCGGGGTCTTGCCCATTTTTCCTTCCTTTCACATCATATATTTCTCTTAAGATGCTTCAGCCGTCACCTTGGCCTAAGTGCCCGATGCTGCATGAAACAAAACCCGACCAGGGCGAATGTTTTTGGCTCCTCTGTGTCTTCAGGCGGTTCCGGTGGATCTTCTTTGCGTTTTTGCTAAAGCCCGTCTTCTCTGTGTTCTTCAAAGTCACCTTCCTCGGCCCAATCTACGAGCAGCTTCTCTCCTGGGACGAATGGATTTTCGTTATCTTCGAGAACGGCACGGACCTTCTAGTACTCGCAGCGGTGAGCGCTCATGGACTGGGGAAAGGGAAGCGGGGAGGTGTTCTCTGTTTAGCAGCCTACCCATCGGCACGCACCAGCCAAGGCTGTGGCCCTCACGTTGGCTCCAGTTCGCGGCAACAGAGCGCTCCTGCAGAGCAGAGGGTTTTACAGAGGCGCTAGGGTGTCCAGTGATGGCGCTGCGGAGAGGCAGCGTGGGATTGTTGGGCAGGAAGCGTCACCCAGGAGGCTTTAGCAGTGCAAGGCGATGCGAATGTGCACGAGAGGGCGCCTCAACGATTAGAGGAACATGCAGAGGCGCAAGCAGGTGTTTTTATACCTTCAGAGGATGTACGCAGAGAGCAGCGCTTTATGTGGTCGGTCTCGGCGTTCCTGCTGTTTGCACTTTGCAGCTCTGCTGGGATTTCTGCCCCCCGCGGTCATTCAAAGTGCTGCAGGTGCGTCTAGGCTTGGGCACCCCCCATCCCCCCCTGCCACGTGTATTCGGGGAGCTGATGCTGCATTGGTCTGCAGATTGAGCTGTCTACGTAGCGAGATGCGCGGGGAGACAGTCCCCTTAATTTTTCTGTATCCGAGTGCCTGTTGTATCCGCCGTGGATTTCGCCGCATGCTCTGTGCATGCACATGCCATTGTAGCTTCCATTGGTCGCTGTTTGAGGATGTGCTGTTTGCAGCTCGTGGTCCCGAATTCGGGGGATGCGACAGGGGAGCAGCCGGAGAGGGAGCTGGTTTGGGATGACTGAGGGCTCGAGTATACGTACGCATACAATCCGCAGCCCTTCTAACCACTAGGCTGTTTCTCTGCTCCAGCGCTTCTTCTGCGCACTCAATCCCATTTGACCACTAGGGTCGGTGAGCGGCGACGAAACCGGCAGCGCAGGGCGCAATTGCATGGTATAGCTGCACGCATTCGCGGGAGGATGAGAAGGCTATGGAGAAGCTCACAGGGCAGTTTGTCTATCGTAGTATCGGTCTTGCAGTTGAGTAGAACGCTCACAGGGGAACTGTTACAACAAACAGGGCAAAAGCACTATGATGCCCCTCGCCGATCTCATCCCTTCAAACAACTCGTAAATGTAGGATTTGGGTTTAGTGTAGCGGGTGAGGGAGACTGGTGAGCTAAACATCGGACGGGAGCTGGGGGAGTTGGAACTTTGAGAAAATAGGTGCTTTCCTGCCGTGCACCCTCTGCCCTGAACCTTCCTAGGCTCAAGCGGCTATCTGCCTTAGCTCGACCCCGCTGCAAATCGCGCAGACTCGGGAAATCCCTGCGATTTTCGGGCATCTCACCATCCCACGACAGTTGCTGAATTACCTCTACATTATATACACACACACACACAAACACATACCAAACAACAAACAAACAAACAAACAGCGCGCCGCACGGCGACATGCTTGGTGCCCTAGGTAGTCGCCAAGTGGCTGCTTTTCATAGAGTTCACCCTTGAGAAGCTGTCTCTACCTGTTCCAAATAGAACATACGACGGTGAGGGTGTTTCCGTCATGAGCCATGTGGGGGTAGGACGAATGTGCTCCACCACCACCGGCTGTGTCGTGGAGCCCCTAGAAAGCCATTTGTTGTACCCCCGCCAGTCGGAGGGCTTGCCTGGCGCAGTCCGCTCCTATCTGCAGACCTAGAGAAGCGGTGCCAGTGTGGCAACCGCATGCAACCTGCCAAATCGGGGGACAGTGCACAAGCAGTGCAGCAATGTGGCAGCAGCTGCTGACCCTGCTTCCGGAGCTGCACGCCAGAATGGCAGGAAGCTGCACGGGCAGCTGTTGCAGCGGCCTCCAAACCTAGCAGGGGGCCCACCAGGGTGCAACAGCCCCCACGCTTAGCTGTTTCCAGCCCTGAGGGGGAAAGACGACCAAACAGACCATAGCAGAGGCTGCCGCTGAGTCATCGCAAGGTGGCAAGATCTTTTCAAGAGATTTACCCGGGATGGCAAAGGCAAGAGGGACACAGGGGAAGCTCTTGGAGGCAAGGGCAGGAAGCAAAGGTGGAACCGGATTTGTAAGGCGGTACAGTGGCCCAAGGCACTGTTGCTGTGTGAGCAGAAACGAACGCAACAGAGGAGTACGTCCGTCCAATTAAAGGCTCTAGCAGCCAGCTGAAGACAAAAAAACATACTCGGACCAGACAGGTGAGACCCTCCAAAACAGCGCTGCTGCAGCAAGGGCACTATACATACACGCACACACACTTCTCCATAGGCATACACACAACATGAGGGCCTACTAAGCATGGTGGTGCTCGAGTTAAGCAGAAACTCGTAGAACTCGCAGTGCTGTGGAGATTTAGACATTTTAGGCGAAGGAGATGCTCCTGCGCGGTGTAGATGTTTAGAGGCGAGGCATCACATGACGGTAGGGACACCACAAATGCAACAGTAGTGGCAACCAGAGGGGCAAGGAGGGAAGGCGCAACCTCTTTCTAAGGACGAAAATGCATGCGCAGGGAGGGACGACAAAAGCCGGCAAACTAGCGACGAGAGAACAAGGCATATATGAAACTCCAGCAATATATACAGGCAGGCACGCTCGAAGCCCGCAGGACAAAACAAAGAGTAATAGGTAGTTGGTCAAGGACCAAGGCTTGAGTAGCAGGTAAGGTGGCGGTTTGGAGCGGCGCGACAGGTTACCTGCAGATACGCGGGAGATCGATTGTTAGCCGTATATTCGCTACCGTGCGTCTTAGGGGCCTCTGGAAGGGTGTGCTCTTACCGGAGGGCATAAAGCGAATTTTGCAAACTTTGGTCACTTTTCACAATAGCCGAATTTCCCATAAGGGAGACAATGTCTTTCTAGCACCACCTCTTGCATCAGCAGCCCTCCTGGATTACTCTAGCAACCACTGCCCCCTCTAATCAACGACTGCAACCTTACGGACCCGTCTGAAAGTTCCAGTGTCGTCCTATAGAGGGCCCGATTGCAACATAGGATTGCAGCCTTTAGGACTGGCCATGCCTCAAGGGAATCTTCTCATTCTGTACCCCAGGGGGCCTCACTACTTCAGCTGCATGCTAACGGTGCAATCCCAGACCTAAAAGCGAGCCCCTGTTGTGGGCGGCCGCCATTTCTGCAAGGCCTTTGCTGTTTACCAAACCTCAGCAGCAAGCTTGTGGGAACTCTTTGAAGGATTGCATGTGCACAGCCAGGATTTATAGGTCAGCGGCTTTGCATATGCGAGCAGCCGCTGACCAAGTGAGATGACGCAATATTCTGTCTTCTCCAAGCGTAGACACTGCACACGCGTAGCACCGGCGGCCCGTGTGCAACGTTGCACGAATACCTTGCACGCATCACTGCTATCGAGGAGGGATTTGAGGGCCGTCGAAATGGCAAGGACCATCAGCACTGGGCAACAAGCCTCCTTTACTCCGAGGAAGACCTCTTCCTCTTCGAAGTGTCCTGAAGGTGCATGCTGCTATAGAGCCTCCACAACACTTCCAAACAGGACCCCCACGTTGCTCACAGCAACACCCCGGAGCACTAGCATTTGTTTCTCTTGATAAGAAGCTGGTAGAGCTAGTGGAGGAAGCGGCCACTTTTCTGGAAGCCTGCCGCAAGACGCCCCTCCATTGCGCGAGATCCCCAGCAAGAAGCAGATGAGCGCTGAGGCCTTCTGACGTATACTTCTTGGCTGCAGCAGGCTGCCTGTCTCCCCAAACTAGTGACAACTAGCTACCTGCTCTGCGTTTGGCCGAGCCAGCATGGGGTTGAATGGTTGACTCCTAGTCTGTCCAAAAAGCGCTATTGTTTTTGTCCTTTTGCGTTCAGGTGCTTTGTCTGCCTAGGATGAGTTCGTGCACAAAGATCAAGCCTCAGCTGCACTATGTCCGCCTGCACCTCCTTCCAGAAAGCCACCGGCGTCCCTGAATAACGGCCTTATCATCTTGCCATCGTCTGTTTCGCTGTCTTAGGCGATCTTTTGTCCTCTTCTGCACGTGAGGAGAGTTGCCGCTAATTAATGCAGCAGAGGCACCATCTCCGCCGCTGTTGCCCGAGTGCAGCAGCTCTTCCCTGAAGCCTCTCTAGAAGAGCTTGATCCAGTGCCCTCGTTTCAACGCTGCATGAGTAGCTGCTGCCTGCTTCGCCTCATCCACTAGGGCCAAGTAAACGTAAGCGCGTGTCTCCGGTCTTGCTGCAGCTGCGAGGCATATTTTATTCCTTCAAGCTTTTTTGCCTCCCAGATGCTTCCAGACTCCTACGAGCGAAGGCGCCGTGACAGCTGCTGCTGACAAATCGTTGCTTGCAGACTGGCCCTTCGATGAGCCACGAAGCAGGCCTTAGTTATGGCAGGGGTCTCAATAGCTAGATAAGCAGTGAACCGGGGCTGCACTAAAAGAGGACTCCCACTAGGACCTCCGCAGCCGTTCTCCCGTCTCCATGGCAGCACAACGCTTGCAGCTTGTAGGTAGTGATGTATGGCAAGCAGGGCCAATGCCTGAACTAGCAGTGCTGTTTGCATGCAGACCGTGGCGGCAAGTCGCTTATATAGGACCCTCGCTGTGTAAGTGTTGTGCTGCCCGTCCTCCAGGCAGCAACTCGTACTGCTGTTCATTAAAAGCCAGATCCGCAGCGCAATGCTGGGATGCAGCTTGAGGCAAATACACAGCTGTACGCAGAATAGCCAAAGGGGGAAAGGAAAGCTGACGACAGGGCAAGCTTTGCCGTGGCAGCAGTAAAGGGGCGGAACGCAGCTCTTTGAAAGGACTGACAAAGCTGGCTGGCAGAGCTCTCTGAGCACATACGTTCACCGCGTCAGTGCTGCGTCAGCTTACTGAATCGGTTGGCTGCGGCGGCATTAGCGACCTCTCCATGATATTTCGAGGAATTGGTTTCAAGGAGTGAAGTGGCAGTACCAACCGGGAGGCGAAGCACAGAAGTTAGCAGCCGCTTCCCCAGAGCAGCATCCCCAAGCTGCTCCAGTGTGGCTTTTACCCTTGTCAAGCTAATGCCTTTCCGCTTTTTTGTGGCCCTTGCCTTTGCCCCTGTACGGGTATACCTGGGTCAGAGAAAAAGAAAGACACGGAGAGAGGAAGCTCTCGGGGCCTGTACAGGAGTGACTTGCGCCTGCACTTTATGATCTTTGCATGACACATTTTCCCTGCCTTACAGCGACGGTAGCTCCGGGTAGATGACCCACCTGCTTTCCTTCTCCCTTGGATGCAGCAAAATGAGAGAGAGAGAAGTAGTTTCTTTGGCGAAGAATCCGTAGGATGGACGGGGCAAACGCAAGACGATACAAGCAGAGCACGAGACCCGTCCCCTGCGCCCTCAGCGTCTATGAGCGATTTAGCAAGGCAGCGTTCCATGCTTCCGCTTACGTTGATTGCTGGAGGACATAGTACCTGTCTCCAAAGAATCAGAAAGCCGTTCCTAGATATGCACTGGCAGTCCGATCTCCGACACTCGGCAGGCGCGAATCAAACGCAGACCACTGCTTTGATGAAAGGGTGGCAGATGGAAGCATCTAGACACTTCCCAGGCCCCTGATTTTTACAAATCCTGCTGTGCATTTGAGTATACTCTTTCCCCACCTCTTCAGGAGTGCCTTCGCCCCTGTTATTCGACATCATATCACAGTACTTTCCTGCCTTCCCATTGAGCATGGCGGACATACTGTTCGCTTCTTTCTGTTCTCACCCTCATGAAAGTGTCTGTTGGTCATTATTCTTTCCACTGTATGTCGTCCCTTTTCCAACGGCAGCGCAGTGCGTGCTTATCGGAGTCGATGCACTTTTGCTTGCTGTGGCGAGTCATCAGTTTTCCAGCTCTGTCATCCCGGTCATAATATTAGTTCCCTATAAGCGCGTACGGACACTACCTGTCGAACCATCTTGGGCGAGAGGGCCCTTCAGAAGAAGCACATAGAAGGGTGCAGCTACACATTGAATAGAGAGGAACTTTGAGGGAAAGGGTCCGTGCTCTGCGTGTCCCTCTGTACCAACAAATGGGGTGGTAACCGTTCCCGAAGGTCACAGCTGCGGAACTGGAAGTTCCATTCGTACGCTGGAATATACCGCTTATATCTAATCAAGCCTTCATGAGAATTGACCATAGTTTGGTTCTGAAGTTCGTATATTTTTGCTTGTTGGAGGGTAAGGTTACTCTACTCAAGGCCATAAAATGCTGGTGTTGCGTGTCTACGCGCCACAGGTGTTGCTGCAGGGTACACCTGAAAATCGAATATATCTTGAATGCGTGCTAAGAGAAAAAGTACAAGCTTGAGAGCGGCCTACCTGTCCTTTCCCTCTCCGCTCAGGCCGGAACAGAATGGAGCAAAAGGAAGAGGGAGAAAACTCTTCTGGAAGCATTTGATAGCCTCCTACTAGATGGTGTATTGGGTTCGGGGCTAGAGGGCCTCGCTGTGGATAGAGCAGGTGCCGCGCCATAGCTACCTCCCGTCTCCCGTAGAGGCAGCCAGCGTCAAGGCCGATCACCCCAACAGACAGATATCTTCGGACATCGGGACACATGCGGGTGTGCACTACTTGTTTTCCTAAAGGAGACAGAGAATGGGGTGAATTAGTGACCACATCCATAACACTTTATCTACGTTTTCCGTAGGGAGACTTCTAACTCCAGAGTTAGTGTATGCAAACTTGATACAAAGTTGTTGAGTGTATTTCAAGACCTCCTCCCTTCCCCTGCCCACGCGCCTCATAGTTCTCTACATTAGGGCAACGAAATGAATGTGGTGCACGCAGCTGCACCGTCTTCTCACGCCGAGCCAACACAGCTTGTTGCACATAGCATCTGGAGCACACGCAGACAACATTGCTACTTCGTGTACCGAACTACTGCTCTTCTGTACTGAGGAGGAACGAACACGCGAACCGCCTGGCCAATCATGACTAAATCTCAGTTAAATATATACATATATATGCTGTGGATATTGTCCAAGTGTAGCTTAGCCCACTTAAGTGTCGTACACTTTAGGCGAAAAAAGGAAGTGCGGGGTGGCACTGAGCAGTGAGGCCACCCCACCGATCCATCTGATCTGGCCTATTCGCGTCCACGAATGCACAGCACACGATCTCTAGCTGTGACCGTCAAGTTAGAGGGTGCTACAAACAACGGCTTTTCCTCGCTTGCCTGCCACTGCCCTCCCACCGCGCATCCGACTGTCAGAGGCTGCAGAGGCTGTTCAAGTAGAGATAGGAGGTTTTTTCGCAAGCATATGTACCGGTGCATGAATCCCTTTTCGCCTACATGTACAAGAGGGGCTAACACACCATTTAGCTAGAAACAATGAGGCGTTTCCGAGGTCGGCCTAGCACAGATGGAGTACCACGGCAGGGTGCCCCCAGGGGCAAAACGCACCCAAGCGGGACCTAAATGTATGAGTGGTGTTAGTTCAAACGTTCTTCACGCATGATTATGCTCAAAGAAGTGAGAAGGGCGCCTGCAGCCTTTGTGTCTCGGGCAGCGCGTCTCTGGAGAAGTGTCGGGACCGTTTGCGCGGTGTAACGCAGCAGAGCGCACGAAGCATAAATTTTAAAAAGGACCATCGACTCTGTTTAGCTGGAAGCGTTGGTGGGAATAAATTCTTTGAGTTAGCGTGTAGGGATGCACTGCATGATTAATTCGCATCTTCGGCCACTCTAAAGGAGAGGGCCCTGGCGATACCTCTTCCCCCACATCGCCTCTTTTGGAGGGGATTTGTTGCTGACCTGTGCGAGTTGTGTTTTTTGGGAGAAGAATTAGCACAGTTCCTCAGGTTGTACTCTGCAGATTGAGAATTGGTAGGCCCCCTGCCGGAGACAAGCTATGTCCCTCTTTCGAAACCTTGCGGTACTTTGCGTGAGGCGCTCAATAGCATTTCGTGTTCCTGGGATCCGTCATTTGTCTTCAGACGGTTCAAAATCGGACTTCCAGCCCTCTGGAGGCTTTGATCAGCGTGTTTCGCCTCCCTCGTCAGGTTCACTTGGTGCACCTGCTGACTGCTCTGTTTCGTCCGCTCCCTCCGCGTGTGCGGCCGGCGTCTTCGCTCCGTTTTTCCACCCTTCTGGTTTCTCTACAATGTATACGGAGGAGCAGAAAATGGACTGGGCCAACAGCAACAACGGCGCATCTGTTTCCAAGGATCGCTGCAACTCGCTCTTCACGAGCTTCGATGGGCAGCCGGGCCGAGTGCACAACTCCTCTTCCTTCGAATTCACGCCTCCACGAGTCGTGGGATCCCTCGGTGACAGCACTTGGTTTGGGGCAGATGCGGAAGCAGCGGCAGCAGCAGCAGCAGCTGCTGCTGCTGCACCTATACCCATGAGCGCCAAGTACAGTGCCCAGTTCGCCGAAGTGCGCAAACTGATCAAGGCGAAGGGGCTATTCACAGACGCAGCTGTCGATTCACACTCCATGGAATACTACAACCATCTAGGGCTCAACGAATTCTACTTCCAAACGGCCAATCCAGCGGCTATTGCCGACAATCTGCTGGCAGTGATCGCGGCAAGGGCCCTCCACTCCGCCTCGGGAGCCGATTACTTCCCCGAAATTCGTCAGGTTGACGAAAAGACTGGAGACGTGTTCGCTCTGGCCAGAGCCTCCCTCACAAACCGAAAGGCGTCGCAAAACTACAAAGTGGAGCAGCAATTCGAACTCGAATTCTTAGACATGGGACTCTCCAGCAACAAGCAGCAGATGCGTATGCAATGCTATCGGTCAACCGGAAGCGTCTTTGGGATCGACGGAGACACCGAAAGACTCAGAACCTACTTCTTCCAAAAACCAAAATTTCCTCTCAAACCTGAAGAAGTAAGAGGCCTTCTGAGAGGCGCTCCTCGACACCGAGGGGCACAAGGAGCGGCGTTTTTTGACGTCCAGAGAGATTTTTTTTCTCACACCCTATAATCGCTCGTTTTTCGATTCAGCATGGCTGTCCGCATGTCGGCATTCAATGTCGCCTTCCTGCACATTCCCTCGCTCGTGGTCTTGTGCTGGACTCCTTCCCTCCTCGACCAAGCCTTCTGATGATGCGCGTCTTCGTTTTTACACCTTCCTGTCCTCACTTCTGCTGGTGCGCGTTCGCCTCAGCTGTCACCCAACGAAAAGGATCTCTCCAAGCTGCTTGATGTCGACTTCTACGCCAGCAAAAAGAGGACCGTCACGGCCAGCATCTTTGAAAAACTCAACTCACAGGTGCTGCCCCTGACCATCACGTGCTTGCGCCTATGGGATACTTGGCGCCATGGCCTTGCCTCTCCTGCATCTCCTACTTTCACCAATGCGTGTGTCTGTATAGATGCAGGCAGACGGGCATGCGCCTGGGTCATGTTTGCGTCCAGTTGTGTATATGTATACGTATGTATATATGTATGTATGCCCATGTGCATGTGTATGTATGTTCCCACGCCGTCGCGTGTTTTGGCCTTCGTTGCGCACAGTTCCTCGTTAAATTGCGCTCTGCTTGATGTGCCGCTATGGTCTGGAAAGGCCCCGCCGTGTGCATTGTATTGTGTGTGTCGTTTCCAAACAGGTCGTTGACGACTCGACAGGATTAGCGCTCTTTGTGAATGTGGTGGGTGCTCGTTCCTTTTTGCGGGAGCGCCTTGCTGCTCTCGCGCTGCCCTTCACTCCGCCACGTCCTTCCTCCCTCCCTCCGCTTGCTTTGCCCGTAGAGGCGTTGTCAGAGTCTCCTCCTGCAGACTCGGCTGCAAGAGGAGGGGAAGGTCTTCCAGTTCACCCGCGCCTTCATTATATTCCTTGTTGTTGAATGCTTGCTTGCCTCTACGCATATGTCGCAGGTTCCTCGCGGCACTGGTCACCGAATCGGTGGGGCATTCCCGTATCAACCGATCCCCTCCTTCTGGCAATGCACTGTCCACAGCTCTAAGTTTCAGCGGTGTCTGTTGCATATTTGCGGTGCTGCTCGCTCCAACTGTTTGTGTATCGGCATGTAGGCGTCGATGCGCGCAGTGTCGTTGTATTTGCGGCAGAGGTTCGCGATATAGAACCCGCAAGCAAGGATCGCCTGCCTTCCCCTTGCTTCTTTCTGCCATAATGCTGCCGCACCCGCGTCTGCCTCTTCTGCTGCCCGCTTTCAGACTTGGCCTTCCGCCGAGGTCCCCACACGGAAGACTTCTTTTCAAGACTTGGAGTAGGGCTTTGAGTTTCCCCCGCCTCCGTCTCCTCGCTTCCTTTCTGGCTGGCCGTCGCAGCCGTGTGCAGCGTCTTTTTTGTACCTCCTTGTTGGCGCCAGCCAGGCACATTCTTGAGTGGCAGACGTGTCTGTTTTTGTGTGGTCTGCCCTTCTTCTCGCCCCCCTAGCGTTCTACGTTTCTACGCGCTAGCCGCTACCGGCCGGCAAAGTGACTCTGTGCGTCTCGGTGCAACTTCTGCGGTTTCAGGACTGTGTGACGATGTGGGGGTTCTACAGCCAGAGGAAGTATGTGGAGCCCCTCGCCAACGGTGCCACAGTTATCACGAGCTTTATTGAAACGCTTCCTGTCAAAGAACTGGTCGATCCGGACATGGCCGAAGAGGACAGGTAGGATTTCGTCCCGCCTCGCTCTCTCCTTTTCGCTTCTGTGACCTTAGAGGTTTCTGTAACGGAGATTTGTTGCGGGATTTGCGGTGCGGTGCATCGAAGGATCGACCACCTCTTGACAGCTCTGAGGATGCAGTTTGCGATGCCGAAGAGCAAGTTCGCTGATTTCGCGCGGGTATGTGTGGGGGTACACAGTTCAAGCGTTCACGGAGTTGTGTGTTTCCAAAAGACCGGCTTTTCGGCGTTGGCTGGTGGGTTGTTCTGGATGGAGGCCTCGCCTGCTGTCAAGCCGCACGCATGCATGCGACGGTCGCGGCTGCATGAGGTGGCATGTGCGCAGGACCGCTTGCTGACGGTGCATGAGGCTGCTTACGCGATGAGCGCGTGCCAGTTTGCGCTGCACTTCTCCGGGACAGTTGGGCACAGCTTTCCGAGGCTTGAAAAGCTTGTCAAGCAGTTTGGAGGTGGGGCGAACGAGGGGCTTTGTTCAGGGAAGGGGAGGGCAGAATGGAGAAAACGAGTATTCGCGAAGCCAAGGAGGAAAGCGGGGGAAGGAAGTCTTGGCGCTGGCCAGGATCTCTTCTCGCTTGCCTCAGGACCTCGATGTGTGGTGGAGGCGGTAAGAGTGGCGGTACTTGAGGGTGTGAGCACATGTGCGCGATTCGTATTTTGCGCGAAGGAAAGAATCTGACTATGCAAGAAGTGTACGAGCTACGAACGCGGCTGAAGACGTGCCCCTTCTCCGAGGAGATGATCTTCAAGGTTGTAGAGGACAATCCGGAGATCGTGAAGCTTCTATATAAGGAGTTCGAGGTCAGGCTCAGTAACATAGACTGCGCTGCACGTGCCTGCATGGAAGGGGGACAGGGAGAGGAGCTGCCGGGGAAACGAGGGGAGCGAGTGATGATGTTTTCGCTGCCGTTGTCTCGGCGGCTTGTGCACTTTGCTACAGGGGCGTCAATATTAGGGGGAATGAGGTCGAGGGGACAGCTCTGTACCGCACCGGCTAGGCACTGCTGGTACCGCAAGGAATACGAAATCTAAAGGCGTTCTTTTCGTGAACTTTCTTGCCTGCCTGCATTTCATATGGGGTTGGTCATGTGTTGTACGCTGCAGTCGTTGCACAACCCCAGAATGAAGCGGGGCGTGTTTTCGGAGGAGTGCGAGCTAAAAGAGAAGATCCTGCGCCTCGATTCTTCCGAGGCAGTGCCAGTGTTCCTGAAATTCCGCCTCTTCAATCAGCATATTCTGCGGACGAACTTCTGGATGAACTCTAAGTGCGGCTTCGCATTTCGCTTTTCTGGGGCGTTCCTTCCAGCCTCTGACTTCCCAGTCCTGCCGTACAGCGTCTTCTTCCAAGTGGCCAGCAAGAGCGTTGGATTTCACGTGCGATTCGCGGACGTAGCGAGAGGCGGCGTTAGGGTGGTGCAGTCGGTGGGCACCGTCGCTTACGAGCGAAACAAGCGCACCGTTCTCGATGAAGTCTTCAAGCTCGCCTTCACGCAGCAATTCAAAAACAAGGACATCTCGGAAGGCGGCTCCAAAGGCATTATTCTGCTGAATAAGGCGAAGACCCTCCCGGAGGCGCAGCTGCTCACACCCATGGCCTTCAAGGCTTACGTTGACAAGTAAGCCGTTCTCGGAGCTGAAAGGAGTGATTTAGCAGCAGCGGTATACGGAGGTGACTCGGGAGACGTGCCTTATGCCCTTCACGTTGCTGATCAGACAGACGCTGAGGAGTAGGGGGAGCCGGCAACAAGCGATTTCTAGTTCCAGTCGCTCGTTTGGCGATGTTACAGGCCTCGTCCGTGGCTAGGGGGGCGCTTGGTGTGGGGTGCACGATTTGCATGCGGGCGCGGGTGCGACTGCGCTGTTCAGCATGTTGGATCTTCTTCTCCCTCATCACGATGTTGTAGATCTACTAGGCATGTCAGAAGTGTGCTTCCTGGGGCCAGACGAAAACACCGGTACGCAGGTGGATGCGCGTGCCCTCCGTTCCCGCACTCACGCTGCGCGTTCGCTGCTGCCTGCCTGTGTAGTAGGGGATTGTTCCACGGATTTAGGGAGGCATGCAACAGTCTCCTGCACGGCTACGGTTTGCCATCTTGAACGTGGCAGCTGTCTCTTCTCTTCATGTCGCTGCCACAGGAACAGGCGGCTTGGTCGACTGGGCTGCCTTGCGGGCCAAAGAGAGGGGCGCTTGGTTTTGGAAGGCTTTCACTACAGGCAAAGCCCCCAGTAAGGGCGGCATTCCTCACGATGTTTTTGGCATGACTACGGCCAGTGTAGAGACGTATGTGCGAGGTCAGTCTGCCTTCTTCTGGGGCGCATAAAGATCTGAGGGGAACCTATTTCGCACATTGGGAAAACTCCGGGGAAGGAGAAAAGGGGGGAGGAACGGTGTCTCTTGAAGGTTCTGAGTTTGCCGCGCTCCCCATGAAAGCCTTTAGTGGCCGCCGGAGAAATCCTGTTGGTTGGCTTTCGCCTGCACGGTGGTGCACCGGGCAAAGTCGAGTGCCTGCGTAGAACCAAGCCACTCGCGCCTCTCTACTGCGCTGGTTGATTCGACCGTGCAATTCTTGTAACGCTGCCCTGCCTTTAGGGATTTATGAGAAATTGAATCTGAAGGAAGAGGAGGTAACGCGTATCCAGACGGGAGGGCCAGATGGCGACTTGGGGTGCAACGCGCTACTGCAGACAAAGTCGAAAACCATTGCAGTCGTCGACGGGTCTGGAGTTGTTTACGACCCAAGAGGTTCGGCAATATACGTCCCCTGCAGCTCCTTTTCTAAGTTTACTTTTTGCACCTTCGTGTCATGCATTTGCGGTGCCTGTGGGCATTTCTGGCCCTGCCTTTCTACTGTCGTCTCTCGTTTTCATTGCTTGCACATGTGCTCCTTTTATTTGGTTGGGTTGATGGACGCTGCGTTCAGGCCTGGATGCTGCAGAGTTGAAGCGTCTTGCTCATCTGCGTTTCGAGGGGAAGCCGACGAGTGCAATGCACTACAATCCTGCTCTACTGTCTCCCGGCGGCTTTCAGGTTGACCAAGAAGCCCGAGACATCACGTAAGGCAGCTGACGGGGGCGAGGCTACAGAAGCAGCTTTCGCGTCGGGGGTGGGCTTCAGTCCGCGTCTTTAGTTTTCTTTTTCAGAAATTTCGTTTGGGATGAGCAGTTGGCTTGTAGTTCTGCTGGGTATCTGGTTTCCCTCGAGGTGTTTTAGGATGTTGCAGCTGCTGAGGCGAGGCTTGTTTGGAGGCACTTTGCCGCGTTGACTTGTGCAGAACCGTGTGAAAGCATTTGGTGTGGGCTTTGATGCTTCAAGGTGCTCCAGCTTGCCTGTCTTCTGCACGCCTACGGTCATTTTCAATCCGTGGGGATGAGTACTTTGTGTGTATTTTGTGCTCAGCTTGCCAGATGGCACTCGCGTGGCGAGCGGCTTCGAGTTCAGGAACACATTTCACCTTTCTTCATATGCGTCGGCGGACTTGTTTAATCCTTGCGGGGGACGGCCAGCCTCAATCACGCCTCAGAATGTCGACAAACTGTTCGACCCCAAAACAGGGGAAAAGAAGTTCAAGTACATTGTTGAGGGAGCAAATGTCTTCATCACCGATGACGCCCGAAGAATTCTGGAGGATAGAGGCGTTATTCTCTTTAAAGATGGTATGCATAGTCGGAGGAGAGGGAGGCCAGGCGTCTTACCGTGGGGCACCTCACTGTTTTGGGGTATTGAAGACTAGATGCAGCCGTTCTGCGTAGTGACCGGCAGTACGTTTTTCTGCATGCTTCTAAGGATGTTCTTGCAATTTGTATTTTCAATCCTGTTTGCTGCTTGAGGTTGCCCTTTGTTCAGCTTCGACAAATAAGGGTGGCGTGACTTCGAGCAGCATGGAAGTCCTTGCGGCATTGGCGCTTACAGAGGAGGAATTCAATGAACACATGCAGGTATTGCTTGCTCATCTCTATGTGGCGTCCATGATCGTGCAACTCTTTGCTTTTGTATTCGTAACTTGCACGTTCAGCCGTTTCTTCGTTACATAGGGTACAGCTGCAATGTTGTGCTTTGCTAGCCAGCTTTGTTTGACAGTGCATTGAGCGTGTGCCTGTAGGTTCGTGACATGAAAAATCCTCCAAAATTTTACCGGGAGTACGTCCAGGCAATCCTAAAGAGGATTCGAGAAAATGCGAAACTTGAATTCGAGGCACTTTGGAATGAAGCCAAGCGAACTGGTAACTGTTTAATCAAAGCATTCACTTTTTTGTGTGTGTTGCAAATGCTGACCTTCTTTAGCTTCTTGCATGCTGTAGCAGCGTATTGAACTGTGGGTGATAATGACGATATTTGGTTCAGCACTAGTGAGAACTCTGGGATGTGTGAAGTATCCCAATAGTCAAGAGTACCAGGTTGTTCAGATGATTGTAAGGATGTTGCCCCATGCTCCTTGCTGCTTCTGTTTCACCAATAAGTACTCTGGCCTTGGTCCTTTGGTTTTTAGGAATGCATCGGTGCGACCTAACGGATATTCTTTCCCAAAAGATCATCGAGCTGAAGCAGGACATCGCCAAGTCCAACGCTCTGTGGCACGACGACGTAAGTGCTTCCTTTTTTCCGCTTCCCCGCTAAATTCATGCATTTTTTCGGTTTTGTCCTATTCCTTTTTGCTTGGCATTCTGTCCTTTTGAAGCTTGGTTATGGTATTGTTTATATGTTTTCACGCCGCGTTATGCTAAGATTCAAGTGTAGGGCATTTCGTTGAGGGTTGTTGCTGCGCTCTGGGCTTTTTCCAGCGCACATATGCTCTCTACTTTCTTTTGGGACCTGCCATAGTTTATCCACATCAGCAGCTAGAGTGCGTGTTACCTTACTTCAGGTGTGTGCGGCGCTCTTGTTGCTTGTGCTTCTCAGGCTCTGGTGAATTTCGTGCTGCAGACCGCAATTCCCGATATTCTCGTCCCTGGGCTGATCAGCGTTGAAACTTTCAGGCAGAGGTACGACTTACTCGAGACTCGGCCTGCACTTTGTTTCAACTTCTTGAAATCGTGAAATGGCCCTTTGGCCAAAGGGTCTTGGACTTTACGAATGTTAGGGTGAATGCAAAATGATGAAAGCTTTGTGTACTCTATCCCAGTGGTGATACGAATTTCTGGGGTTCGCGCACTCCTGAAGCCATTCCACGTTCGTGCGATCATGGGCCATGATGCCACATGTGCTTGTATGCTTATTGGCGAACTCATTAAATGGTTAATGTATGCATTGCCGGTGTTAGAATCGTACTCGTAGTTTTAGCCGCACTCGTCTCGTTAGCGTATTGCATCCCAGCCATACACTCGTTTTATTCCTGTGGCTGCAGTTGTTTGCATATCCGCAGAAGCTTCACATTCTTCCTGCCATTTGCTGCTTTGTGTTTCGTCTCAGAGTGCCAGAGCCGTATCAGAAAGCAATTTTCACGACTTTTCTTGCTTCTCGGTTTTTTTACAAGCAACAGTTCACAGCTGACGTCTCGGCCTTCGCCTTCATCGCCTACCTGGATGAAATCAAGGAACAGATGGTGGCTGGAGACAAGAGGCAAAATTAGGAATGAAAAGTTCCAGTGGTTTGGGAAAACTTTTAGCAGTCAAGCGCGCTAGGATGCTGCTTTTGTTCTTGATACACTGCTTTGTTTGCGCCAACGAAATGAAGCTGCTCCTTTATGTTGACAATAGCCTCTGCCACCCCTCTTCATCGAAGAATATTTTTCCAGGCAGAGATTGCAGCACCACCATCAGGGGTGGGTCCCCAACGGCGTCGGATGTGCCGCCACAGCGTTTGAGCCTTGCACCCCGCTCTAGCGCTTTGCAGGGGGGGATCCAGGGAACTGTTTATATTTTGGGGGACGCCTGGGTTGTGAAGGACTAGGGGAATTGGGTATTAGCCTGTTAGGGCCCATTGTTTGCCCCCTCCTGCATGTGATAACCAACCTCTCTCAGAGCCCCCGAGCTCCTAGCATGTTTTGCGCAAGACAAATGAAAACATCCCCCCCAGCTGGTTGTTTACCTATTCATATCTCTATGCAGTAAGTATGCGTCGTTTCTGTGGCTCCTAGGAATACGGACAAAGTCCTGTTGCTTATGGGTAGGGCTCACAGAGCTTTTCCAGTGTACGTCAAAGGCTAGGACGGTTTATGTCCGAAGGCGAAAGGGCAGAAAGCTCTTAAAATGGATACACATTGTTGAACAGCTGAGAGTGAGTGAAAAACTGCAGCAAAAGGAGGATGCATAATGAAACCGTAAAACGGTTTCCTGTCCTCTCAAACTTTCCGCCTTCAACCCGCGTGTCCTGGGTTTCATTCTTTGGCGAAGTGATGGCCTGTGGGGCTTATAAAAAAGAAGCCTCTAAAGGAACCCTCCTAGACTCGAAAGAAAGCTCCGGCCAGCCTTACAGGGGGGCAGGAGAGTTTGGTGGGTGTCTATACACCTGCAGGCTGCTGCGAGCGGCTCTGCTCACGGGGTTTCAGAAGGCGCCTATTGAATCGGAGGAAATCGTCGGGCACACCCCACTCAATATTGTACAGTGGGAGGTTTGTGATAGTCGCACCGGCGGCAGCTGCCGCCCCCGCTGCTACCCCTGCCGTTGCTGTTGCTGCGCGCGTCGCTGCGGATGCAAGCGCGACGGCTGCTGCGGCTTGATCTGCTGCTGCTGCTGCCAGCTCTGTTGACTCTCTCGCCCTAGCTGCAGCTCTCTCCAGACCCTCAGAGCCATAATATACCCCGCGTGATGAACCAGCTGACGACGGTGTCTCCCGTCGGTGCTGCCATCCACTAGTTTGCTGCAGCTGCGGTAGGAATGCAGGCTCTGAGCGCAGTACCCTTCGGAGCTGATCCGGTTGGAGCGCGCATGCCCGCATCCTGCTGCTTCCTGATTCTGGAACGTCCGTGGCTTCCTTTATTAACGCCCAGGACTGCTCAGCAGGCGGCTGCTGCGGCTGCTGGAGATGAGGAGGCAAGCTCCTAACGACGTATCTGATGATGCAACGAAGTCTTGGCTGCAGATCCGACCTCGCCTCACCTCCTCTGCGTTCCCTGAGTTCGTCACTCGGCATCGGCTGCTGGGAGACAGGCAGAGACAGAGAGGCCTAATCTACTACCTGCAGTACGCCGGCCTGAGAGTAATTCCTGGCCTCAAAGAGAGCTTCCTAGAGGATTTAGGGGCCCCGGCATGCTGAGAGAAGGGAAACAACAGTATCTTAAAAGGTTACTCTAGAATTCGGGTGAGTGAAGCTGATTTGTTAAAGGCGAGGAGCCTGTGGCGGTCGGTGGCCGCGAGCTGCAGATGGCAAGAAAAGGCGAATGACAAGCGGCCATCCAAAACCTGCTCCTTCTGGCCATTGATATCACTGAGTGACAGTTGTTTTCAATTTAAAAAGCGTAAGCAGCATCCATGTGACAAACCTTTGTATTACCGCAGCGAGACTTGTCCCTTCGCCCGTCAAACTGGGCAGCCGCAGCAGCACGCCTCATAGCAGCCACAACACACGGGGGGCCCCTCCGCATGGGCTTTCGGTTCCGCAGCGGCCAGCCCCGCAGGCGCGAGGCTCATGGGATAAATTCTGTTTAATATTGGAGCGCTAGCCGCGGCAAAGAAGTATTTTGCGTTATGCATCACCAACTGCTTCGATAGCGGCAAAGGAGGCGCCACGGTCCCCTAGTGGCATATAATTCCATTCCCCCGCAAAAGTAGGAGCAAACGTAGCAGCAGCAGCCGCAGCAGCAGTACAGGCAGCAGGTCTACAGTACGCCTCTAAGGGCCCTAATTTCCTCGAGTTTTCCGTCTGCTTGTGAGCCTTTTGCGTTCTTGCAGGAAGAACACTGCTGTTGCAGCTTCTGTGGGGCCCGCCGTACTGTTGCGCGTTCCTGCGCTGCCACGCGGCATCTGTGGCGTCGTTACACGGCAAGGCCTACTGCGCCTTCGCCCCTCAAAGTCTTCCCAGTTTCCTGGGATGCAGCGCGTGCGCCGCGTGGCCTTCGCGTTTGGGGGCACGCGTCCTTTTGAATTCCGATCGCCGTTGAGCATCTAACCGTTTAGAGATGGCGCCGAATAGAAAGAAGAACGAGGAGGGGGAGGAGTCACGACTGAGGATTGCAATTGTTAATGCGGATCGATGCAAGCCTAAAAAGTGCAGGCAAGAGTGCAAAAGGAGCTGCCCCGTCGTCCGCACAGGTAGGCAGGCACTTGTATGCTCACGCATGGGGGCGGGGGTGCCTTGTGCAGCAGAGTGAAGGGCGATGCTGAGAAGAAAAGATCTCGCGTCAAACTACCATTCTTCCTGACCGATTTGGTCTTTCCCATCCCATCTTTTGTGCTCGAATAGTCTTAAGAAGCCGTGCTGAATGGCTTGCTGCGGTGTAACATAACACCGCTCACTAGGAGGCTTCTCGCGGCCCTTTTTTGCGATTTCTTGATATCACCCTTTGTTTCGTCATCGCTTTATGTCTTCGATTCCTATTGGAGCCCCGTCTTTGCTGCAAGTGGTGGGGGCGTCTTAGTTTGTGGATACCTTGTTTGCGTATCTCTTAATCATCATTGCGTCCAGCCGCCGAACTTTTTTGATATCCGTCTGCATTTTCCCTGTACGCGTGTTCCACGGAAATTTGTCTGTTCGCTTCATGGCGTGCTGGCTTTGGTGCGTATTGCGCGTTTCGGGTCGGCGCATAGTATTGTTGCGTATACCGGCGTCTGTGCCGTGTGCGTCTGCTGCGTTTCAGGCAAGCTGTGTATTGAAGTAGACCCTTCTAGCAAGCTTGCTTTCATCTCAGAGCCTCTCTGCATCGGGTGCGGCATTTGCGTGAAGAAGTGCCCGTTTGAGGCTATTGCTATTATCAACCTTCCGAAAGATTTGGGTGCCGAAGTAACGCACCGATATGGGCCGAATTCCTTCAAGCTGCACAGGCTACCAATCCCCAGGCCTGGGCAGGTAAGCACAACGAAGCTATGGCGTTTCTGCCTTTTGAATAACTACACCGCTTTATTCGCGAGTGTTCAGCCAGCCAGCTGCCGGTTACGCGTTGTCACGTACGCACGCTTGAGAAATGAAGGAAAAGGCGATGCGCACCGCGTCCTCTAGAACGCACAGCTACGGGCAGCCCCCGCTTCGAAACAAACCACCTAGGAATGCCAGATGTCTGAGGCCGTTTCTTTGTTTTGCATCACTGCTGTAGGTGTTGGGATTGGTCGGTACCAATGGAACTGGGAAATCGACTGCTCTGAAGATCCTCTCGGCCAAACTAAAGCCTAATCTTGGTAAGGCATATCTCGCAAAAAGCTGGGTTTTTCGAGCTGTACATGCACCCTCCTAGGCGCATCGCAGCCGCAGGCAGCACCTCCGCTTCCTCAAGCGCGCATGTGTTTTTTGTTGCATTCAAGGACGCTATGCGTCTCCTCCGGAATGGCGCGAAATTGTTTCGGGATTTAGGGGCTCAGAGCTCCAGAATTATTTCACAAAGGTCATTGAAGAGACTCTCAAGGCGGTCATCAAGCCGCAATACGTGGATCTCATCCCCAAACAGGTGAGCTGGGGTTCGTTTGCACGGCTTGAATTGCGCTTTCTGCAGAATCCAGGCGGCTACATGCGGAGCCTGGCGATTTCGTTTGTTCTTGCGCATTCGGTGGAGAGTGTCTTGTCTGTACGTCAGCTCTAGAATGCCATTTGCGTCTTCATGAAGCTGCGACGGCCGCTGAGTTCAGGTAAAGGGTCAGGTGGGCCAGATTCTGAAGAGCCGGGACGAAGCAGGTCGTGTTGATACGTTGATCGACGAATTGGAGCTGCGGCATTTGCTGGATCGCCAAGTGTGCGATCTTTCCGGAGGCGAGCTGCAACGCTTTTGCATTGGGGCTGCATGTGCCCAGAAGGCCGACGTTTTTATGTTTGATGAGCCGTCTTCCTATCTGGACGTGAAGCAGAGGCTACAGGCTGCCACCATCATCAGACGGACCGTCACAAGCGACAATTACGTAATCGTGGTATGCATGGCTGAGGGCTTTTTGGGGAGTGCTCGTGCAAGTGGTTGGGGGGAAGGGAAAACACTTCGCTGCGTCGGCATTACAGGGTAATGAGGCCGCCTCATTTGCATAAGAGCGAGCTACCGAGAGAGCCAGCGAGGACTGGCCAGTGGGGATGGGCAGTGAAACATGATTCTACGGAGGATAGCAGAGGGCGAGCGAGGGCACTGACATCTACATATATACATATATGTATAAACGTATACATACATACACATATGCACATACATTAACACACGTACACATATGCACATACATTAACGCACGTACACATATGCACATACACACATACTGACATACATAAATATACACACGGAGACGGAGAAGTCTGTCACCTCGGAGATTGTGTATCTGAGGCGTTAGGTGCTCCCCCGGGAGCACTGCTTCGAGGTTGCGACTGCGTTCGCGATGTGCGTGTGTGGGCGCGCTCCCTTTTCTGCATTTTTCTTCACAGGTGGAGCACGACTTGTCTGTAGTTGACTATCTTTCGGACTTCATATGTTGCTTATGGGGGAAGCCGGGGGCGTACGGTGTCGTGACAACTCCTTTTGGGGTCAGAGAGGGTATCAATCACTTTCTAGACGGCTTTATTCCGACGGAAAATCTGCGTTTTAGAGACGACAGTTTGAACTTCAAGCTTGCTGTGGACCAGGACCTCCTCCTCGAGGAAGCGCAGGTTAGACTGTAGAGACGGCCGTCGTTTCTGCGCTCCTCCGCGATGTGTTAGGTCGTCGGCGTCTGCATGCGCTGTCGATCGGGCGATGGACACGTTTGTGCGCAGCGGCTGCATTTCTACGAATACCCCGCGATGACGAAGACCTTGGGGACGTTCAAATTGGAGGTTCAGAAGGGCAGTTTCTCAGACTCCGAGATAGTTGTCATGCTTGGTCAGAACGGCACCGGAAAGTCGACTTTCATTAGGTGGGTAAACGCCGCTTCAGAATGCTGGCGTTTCAAGTAGATGATGACAGCATCCGAATTCGGCGCTTTGACGGGCTTGCAGTGTATGCGCGGTATGGCTGCAGGATGCTCGCGGGTCTGCTAGCGCCAGATGACGAATCTCAACAGCTGCCAACTTTTGCCGTTTCTTACAAGCCTCAAACCATTTCTGCAAAGTTTCAAGGCACAGTCAAGTGCGGCAGGGCAGCTTTTGGGGCTTGGACGCTTTCGAGCGGGGAGTGCAGAAAGGGAAGGCGGGCGGAGGGGGGATGATGAGGGGCCTTAAGATATAGCGGCGTGTAGTTCGCGCTCGGCTCTCTTGACGAAACTCGAGGAGAAGGGAGAATGAACCCTTCACTTAATGGCTGTTTTGTTTCTACTCTACACCCTTTCGAATGAAGGATTACTTACGTTCAAGTTGTGCATTTCCTCAGGGAGCTCTTCTATGCAAAGATCCGCGATGCGTTCAACCATCCACAGTTTCAGACGGATGTCGTGCGGCCCTTAGATCTTGACCAGGTGGGCCTTGACCCTTGAGCCTTGCAGTTTTGCCGTGCATGCGCGATCCCCTACAGAGAGCACGCCCTACGCTGTCTGATGCGAGATTTGCCTGTTGGTGATAACCGCCTGTCCGTCTCTGACTCGGTGTTTATATGAACAGGTGATGGATCAGCAGGTTCAGCTCCTTTCTGGAGGTGAGCTGCAGCGCGTGGCCCTCATCGTGGCGTTGGGTAAGTCGGCCGACATCTTCCTGATTGATGAACCCTCCGCGTATTTGGACTCGGAGCAGAGGATTGCAGCAAGCAAAGTCATCAAGAGGTAGGCGATGCAAGAAGAGCTTTTGTGCTACCTTCGGACAGATATTTCGTGTTCCCTTTCCGCTTTCTAAAGCGTGCAACTGGGCTGTAGCAACTCGCCAAACGTAGAAGCCGAGGGAAAGAAGTTCAGCTTTTTACGCTTTCGAGGGGGCGGGGCGCGTGACTTTGCATGCAGGTTTATTTTGCATGCAAAGAAAACGGCATTTGTTGTCGAGCATGACTTTATCATGGCAACATACCTCGCAGACCGAGTCATTGTCTTTGAAGGAGATCCCGGGTATGTAGTGAGAGCGGAGCGCGCTGAGGTGCCTCCACCCACCCGTCATGCTGGCTGCTGCGGGGGAATCTTTTGACGCTGAACACTCGTTTCTTTCGGATGTGCAGCGCACAAGGCGAAAGAAAAGGGCATCCGCTATTCGGTTTGGAGTGCAGGGAGCCACTTCTCTAGGAAAGATTTGCGGATGCGCTTGTGTGTCGCTTCAGCGTGAACTGCCGGGCATGCACACCGGACTCGCTGGTGAGCGGGATGAACAAATTCCTCAAGGTACTGAATATCACTTTCAGGAGGGACCCAACGAATTTCAGACCGCGCATCAATAAGCTGGAATCGTGCAAAGACAAGGAGCAGAAGTTGTCGGGCAACTTCTTCGTGCTTGAGGACAGCTGAAGCCTGCGTATCGGCGCAATCTGCACGTTCCGAGCGTGCAAACTTCCCTGGCCGGGTGTACTGATGACACTCTTGGCGTTAGACACACACGCTGTGACTGCTAGACCTCCTGCTCTGCACACGTTAGGCGGCTTGCTGGCTAGCTGTGGGCTCCAAGCCAAGCGGCCAGCCGGCGCACCGTATACCTCTTCTGAACGAAGGCAGCTTTCCCCCACGCCGAGATGTGGGGCGAGGCAGCCGTTGCTTTGACGGTGTCATCTTCGTTGCCTCACTGCCCTAAGGAAGCTCGCCTCGGCAAGTGGTGAAACAGACTACTGCGGGCCTTAGGGGGCTTCGGCGCGCAACCTTACTGGCGGAGACGTGTCTGCACATCGCGTAAAGCATGCTTTTTCTGCGTGGCGGAAAGGCTGTTGGCGATCGTCTAACGTATAAAAGGGCGACCAAGCCGCCGTACCTGGCTACCCTTACGGAGGGGAAAAGCCCCAGTTGGGGTTTCTTCCCTTAGGGGGTTTTTACAGAGCTTGAAGTAGTAGATAGATAGATAGATAGGCTGTCCACCATATATGCCAGCTTAGAGATGTTTTTGTGCGAAGGGCTTTATTGCTAGCACCAACAGTGAAAAGGCGAATTAGACGCCTTGAAGATGGAAAGGCACCCCAGGGTCCGGCGCCCTCCCTCGTTGTTTCCCCCCTCTCTCTACCCTCTGCCTCCCTTCTATGATACAGACAATCGGCGGCGTGCTGATACATACTGTAATGGCGGGGTTTCACCGAGCGCTTGTAGGTGCGAAACTCGCCCGATCTGCGAAAAAACAGCCTTTATTCTGCTCTAGAGCTCGGCACAGCAGGCGGCCGGTGACGCAGGCCGAGCCTGCCTGCGTGTCCTTTGTAGGATGCGGCTAGTTTCCCCTAGTTTTGTTTAGCCATAATAACCCGCCAGGCACTTTGTATTTCCTGAGGGGGAAATGCGGTGGCGCTCTTTCTTACTTCCGCAAGTGCTAGGCCCAAAGCGAAATCGGGCAAAGGTCTTGAATGTGCTCGGACTGTAAAAAGAGAATATGCTACGGCAGGAGGCGGAAGGACCCGACGCGAGCGCTTCACCCCCCCCCCCCCAACAACCCCCAACAACCCCCCGTCTCCGCCGCTGAGCATCCGCAGCTGCTCAGACAGCCCTTAAGGGCCGGCGTAAGCCTAGGAAAGTACAGAGTAGGCTCTCCCTGCGTGGCGTGGGCAACATGCCTCTTCACGGAAACTTATTTTTGGGGGGCGGGGGCGGTTTCGTGAAGCCTTTGGCCTCAAACAGTGCCGCCACAATGCGCTGCCGCCCCTGCAGAGATACGTAAGGGCGGCGGCTAAGCTCTCCACCATTATCTTCCCTGCGCTCACTGCCCTCAAGATCCCCCTCTGCTCTCCTCGGGGCGGTAAGCCTCTCCGGAGAAAGACCCCTGCTATGCCTAGTCGTCGCTCCCACACCTAAGGCTCCACGACGCATTCGCCCAAAGGTGCTACTATCGCCCCCATTTCTCGGTGCTCCTTCCATTGCTGGGGGCAACCGCCGGCCGCTTCGGGGGCCCCTGCCCCTTAAGGAATGCTCAGTTGGCTGGTGCGGCGCTGTGCTCCAAAAGGCAGGTGCGTGTTGATTAGCTATCCCCCCCTCTGTGCATCTAACCGCGCAGCAGCTAGCTTGCTGGCCAGCTGGGTGCTCAACCGAGTCGCTCGACCGCCGTGTATGCAGATGCAAAGCCATCTGGCTGGAGGCCGGTTGGCTGCTTGACTGGACGGCGAGTTGGCTAGCTAGCTGACTCGCTAGCTGGCTTATTGCCGTGTCGATATGTATTGGGGGATGAAGAATGACGTCCTCGAATCCGGGAGGTGGGGACGTTGGAATGCTCCCCACGATCCAGTCGGGGGGACCCTCCTGCAGAGAATGTCTGCCTGCGACACCGTCCACCTGCTCCTCTTGTTGTGCCTGCTGCATCTCCTGTCGGCGCCGCTGCAACGGCTGGTCCTGCTGATAGATTTTAGTCCTGTGTCCCCCTCCTTGCTGCTGTAATCTTTGTTGCTGCTCTTGCTGTTGGATCTGCCTGTCGTGGTGATGCGTCTGGCTGGGCTGCTGCTGCTGTCGTTGCTGCTGTGGTCGTTGCTGCTGTTGCTGCTGCCGCTGCCGTTGCTGCTGCTGCTGTTGCTGATGGTGCTGTTGTTGCGATTGTTGCTCTGGAAGCATGGACGGATGCTTTAGGAGGGGCTGCAACGTGAGGGGCTTGACTTGTCGGAAGCATTTAAGACAGCCTTGTGGCACCTCTGGATATGCGAACCCGCTGCGCCACCTGCTGCGGCAGCCGCTGCAGTAGAAGCGGCCAAAGGCCCTTTCTGCAGCCACCCCGCTCATTAAGAAGTTTAGCCGTCTTTCCAGCTGCAAAGCGAAAAAAAGGCCCCCACACAGCAGACTTTTTGACGCCAGCACGGGGAAGCCGGGCGGGAGAAGAGGTGGGCGCAAAAAGCGCTGCTCTGCTGCTTGTCAGGATGCACAGCAGGGAAAGCAAATCACACACGAAAAAAAGGAGACTGCGCTCGCCTACGGAAAGATTGGAAAGGGAGGTTCTTGAGGCGTACGTTCTTTCGGGTTTCTCTGTCGATAAGCAACTGTTGCCGCTGCAGCGCTTTAAGGATGATAGACACCCGTCTGCTGCAGCATGCATCCCCTTGTATCGAATAGACGATCGCAAATAGCGTCTTCACGGCCACCTTGTGTGCTTCCAGAGGGTCTGCCAGCCGTATGGCTGATATCCGCCGCTCTGCGAGATCCAGCAGGTCCCCCACGGGCAGCGTGCTGTTGCGATTATGCGCCATGCTGCTGCTGCTGCTGTACAGCCAAGGCGCCTCCGGCTGCTGATCCGGCTGCAGCAGACCTGTTGACCACAGACGAAAGGCTTGACTTGACGTCAATCTGCTGCTGCTGCGTGTGGTGGTTCCTGGCGAGCAGGGGGACCCTTCTTGATCAAGACGCTTCCAGGAGCCTCCAACCTGCTCAAGCAGCTGCTGCTGTTGTTGCTGCTGTGTCTCCTCGTCTTCTCTTTCCTGCGCATCTTGTTGCACCCACTCCATCAGAAGCTGCCACTCTTCCGTGCCCTCCTGAGGGCGCATGTAAGGATTAAAGGCCCCCCACTTGCTAAACTCGGGGGCGTCCCCTCCAATGACAAGCAAATCCCATCTACTCGGATTCTGTTTCAGCTCCGGCAAGAACGACAGCGCATCAGAGAGAGCAGCTACCGACAATACAGAAACCGCCAGCCCTCGCTGGCGACCCGTTGACGGCTCCCTTTCCTGCCACACGTTCTGCTGCTGCTGCTGCTGCACAAAGCGGTTTGCAAACCGCAGCAGTTCCCCGAAGCGAATCAAACGGTTTGGAGGAAAGCGTGTCAAAATCGCATCCATCAACTACGAGACACACACACATATATATGTATATATACTCATACCCATACACATACACACTCATACACATACACATACTCATACCCATACTCATACACACTCATGCACATACACACTTATACCCATACACACAGGACCCCTGTAGGATTTTATGCGCCTGAGGCTCAGCCCTTCGCTGGTGACAACGCAGAAGAGTTCTACCTCCGAATGACGCAGCAGCTCATTTTTACAAGTACGTGGACGCAAAAAGATGCCTTAAAGGAGCTAAAGTGGAGTCTTGTATTTGAGGTCTGAGCCTGCATTGAGCTTACCCGCTGCCTAGCGACCTTCTTTTGCTCAATCTGTTGTTGCTGCTGCTGCAGCTCATCAGGATTCATCAGCAGTGCCTTTGGGAAGGATCTTCGAAGTAGGACACCCCATATGTCCTCATCGGACGTGACCTATAAAACAAATAAACAAATAAACACAGACAGACTGACAGATATGAACCCACACACAAAGAAATCCACAAATACACTAACCCGCAGAAACAGAGTGTATGTACATATATATGTAGATGTATATATATATATATATATATATATATATATATATATATATATATTTGGCATGAATAATAACCGAATGACGAAATGTATATATAAATGTGCATCTACGCCCTAAATGCCCAGATAAAGGGCTTTGCACCAGACAAGCCGCGACAATCGTTGGCTGCAAACGCGCCTCCTTTGTGTTTGGGGTCAGGGGAGGCGGCTTGCTGCCCCACTGCCAGGGTTTACACTTCACAAAAATTTACTTCGGCGGTAGCTCTACAAATCAGCGCGAAGCTCAGCACGTCCTTGGCATCCAAGAAGCCGCATATGCAGCGCTGTAAAAATTTGCTGCCAAACACCAACTGAGGAGCACAAAAGCAGACCCACAGCTCTGGTTAATTGTGTAAGTCAATTAAGCCGCGCGGAGGCGAAGCTACAGGCACCAAGAATACGCACAGAAAGAGTAGAGCTGTAAGGGCCAAGTGCAAGAAATCAGCAATCCGCTTCTGCAGCAGGCAGGAGTTTACCTCTTGCGCTGGGGGCGACTGCAAAAGGACATAGATCTCGCCGTCCTCCTCCTCTTTCTCTTCTTGCTGCTGCTGCCGTTTTTGCTGGTGCTGCTGCTTCGGAAGTGGCGGTGGCCAGCACAGAGTGTCTTCATTTCTGATCTCAACCTCTTCCCAGTCTACATCCTGCTCCTCTTCCTGCTCCTGCTGCTCTGGCTGCCGCTCCCGCTGCTGCTGCTGTTGCAGGAACTGCATGCGCTCTTCGCAGGCCCTTTGGGTGCCGACAAAGAGTCGGCTGCTGTTGCTAAGAACCTCCTGAAGGCCTCGACGCAGCAGAAGTAACGTGGCCGCAACAAGCTGCTGCTGCTGCTGCAGCAGGCGTAAGGAGATGGCAGCAAGTGGCATCATCCTGGGGGCCTGCTGCTGCTGCAGCATCAGAACGACACAAAGCTGCAGCTGCTCTTCGTTGTCCTTCAGCTGTTGCAGCTCCTTCTTTCTTTTCAGCTGCTGTTGCTGCTGCCGCTTCTGCTTTACTCCTGCGTCATCGGCAAGGCCTGCTGCCGCAGTCGACGCGGCGGCAGTACCTGAAGACATTCTTCGGCAATCATTCAAGGGCCAGCAGATAGCCGGAAGGAATACTTCAAACCCCACCCTCTAAAATCGCCGGCCGAGGTCACCCTGGGCAAGCTTGCCCAGGGCAAGGCACTTTCCCGAGCAGACAAACTACATTCAGGTTATAATTTATATTTTAATACTTTTAAGTAGGCTTCGATCCAGGCATTTTGAGTCCTGACCTTGGCGCCCTCAGACGCTGGGGCCCTCTCCCTCCCATAAGCCGCCCTGCAAGCCAAGGGGGGCATAAGAGACTGCATGCACTGGGAGTCGGTGTATAACCTTTTCGCCCCTTGAAGTGCACTTTCCATTAAACTTACAATATTCTTGGTCTGAAGGAGGCTTGAAGAGGGGTTGTTATGGCCTTTGCTGGGGGGCCCCTCCAGCCACTGAAGGGCCCCCCAGGGATTCTACGGTGCACAGACTGTACGGCACAGGGGTGTACGAAGGCCGGACTCGCTTTCCGATTCAAGTATTTGGGTGCGGGGAAGTCGCAGGCGGCTCGGGGAGCCGCCTTAACCCCAAGACTGAGGCGGCGTTGTCTCGGCCTTGTACGAAGGTTCCGCAGGAATGAAGGCGCGAGGGGCGGCAGCGGGCAGCTGCCGGTGCAATGCGTTTGCATTGGCATCCTTAATAAAGGACGCCCCTCGATATCGCTTGCGTCCTTCCTTTTCCTTCCTTTGGTTCCTCCTCGTCACCTTGCCATGCTTTCAAGCCACAACACCAGCAGCTGCGTCCTGCCTCCCCGCCCTTATCCCCCAACGGATGGCTCTGTGCGGTAGCAGGTGCGCGTCCATGGCTTCACACAGCAGAGGCTCCCCAGTAGCCTGCATTGGCTTTCCCGTCGCTTCCATGCAGGACCTTTGGAGGCGACTCTGGCGGCGAGAGCCAGCAGCTGCCGTGGCTCGAGCAGCAGCAGCTACTGCAGGATCAGAGGAGAAGGCTACCGCGAAAACGAAGAAGGAAACGGAGGCGAAGCGGGGATATGCGGATCTTCTCTATGAAGACTGGCAGAGCGACGCGCCGCAAAGCAGGCAACAAGCAACACACTTCAGCAACCGAGAGGGTGAGGAAGAATCAACAGCATCATCTTCATACGCGTCTTCTGAATCGTCAGCATCGCCGGACTCTACTACAGCCGAACCATTACTCTCCGAAGGGTCGATGGGCTCGGCAGCAGCGGCGGCAGAGGAAGTTCGGGCTGCAGCACGTTGGTTTGAACATCAGCGCGGCATGTGGCGAAGCAAAACAGCGGCGAAAATCCAGGTGCAACTGGAGGCTCTTGTAAAGGCACAAGAGACCGCAAGAGAAGAGCAGAACAGGCGACAGAAGCCAAACAGAGTGCGTCGCTACTGTTTCCTTTCACCACAACGCTGCTGCAGCTCTCCGGCCCTAGTGGGTCACCGTGAAAGATGCCACGCGCCCTTCTCTTGCTGCACCTGCGTCGCCCCTCCCATCTCTCTTTGATGTCTAGCTGCAGTGCAGAGAAAATACCTATAACCCACGTGGTCGTGCCCGATCCTTGCCTCAAACGCGCCAAAGCTGCCGCGGCATTTACGGTTGCCGCTGGCGCGTTTGCACGTGTGCAACCGCGATATTATGCTTCTCTAGGGTCGAGTATACAGCGGCACCTTTTTCTGCCCCCTGTCAACGAGTGAATGAACCAAGCCCCGTATTATCGTATTTCGGCATGTGTGTGTTTGTGTGGGTCCCGTGTGTTGCGCGCTACACTGCAGCCACGGCGTCTCGTCTTCTCTCCCCCATCGCTCAAAGAGCGAGGTTGGCTGGCAGCCAGAAGCTGCAAGGCTGGGAAAAACCCTCTATCGTGCATCCTCTATGCAGCAACCCCCCCCGGGCGTCTCGCTGTTGCCCCGGCGAGCTCAATTAGTGCCGCCACCGACAAGAGCGATATTCCTTGGGTTTCCTTCTCCGGCCTGGCTCGTTTGAACCGCACAGAGCCTTTGAGGGCCAAGGCGCTTTGGTTCGGCCATCAGGCGCCAGAATTCGCCTCTTTCTACGAATCCGCGCCTCCTCATGTGGGTCTTCCGGGCTGGCGAGGCAGTTCACACGATATCAGGGGTGTTGCCCGTTTAAATGCTCAATGCCTGTAACAACCCAGCTAGCGCGACCTATGCTCCCCGGATACACAGGAGCGCCTGAAACAAGAAGGAAATACCATGCGCCTGGTGAAGGGTGTACACAAACACCGGTGGTGACTCGACTCTAGATGCCTAAAGGTTTCTTGTTTTCTGCAGTAGCCAAGCATGTGCTTGTTTCATGCCTCTACTGATGTGTCTCTGTGCGCTGCCTTAGGTGTTGCTACTGCGTTTTTTGCTGGACCAGAAGCATGCCATTCCGTGTCTACTGGCAGCAGCATGCTGCGGTTCAGCGTTTGTCGCGAGGGCCAAGTTGTCTCGCCTCTTCGTGTCCTTCATCCTCTCTTCCACTGTATGGAGTCGGTACTCCCTTTGGTCACCACTTGTGCATGCACCCCCCGCTCTAGCGCTCTTGCTGCTGCGCCTCATGCTTCAGGGCGCAGTGGCTGCTGGGGGGGCGGCAACTGCTGCTTGTAGAAGAAGTTTGGAAGAGTTGGAGGCGGCGCTTCTTGAATCTGCGATCGAAAGCAACTTTCCTAATGAAGGTCTGGACGAGATTCTGGCCACAGCTAGTCATCCAACTAGCAATAAATAACCAGCTGTAGCTCCCCATATCACATCTCCGCTCAACCAAAGAAGTAGTTTTGTTTCGCGTTCATTTTTGATGCGAACGGGACTGCAGAACTCGCTATTAACAACGCTTACTTTGAGCTGCGGTTTTAATTTGAGCGGAAGAACCGAAACCCTTGCTTGATCCATAATAAAGCCAGGCGACCGGAAACTGCGGGAGCCATTGAATCTTACGTGTACGATGTCGCGTGCCGCTGATGTCGGGACATCAGGAAAATCATGGTTGTTTGTGGGCAAGATGCACTGAAGTTGAACGGGAACAGCATCCTACTTCGTGGGAACTGGGAGGAAAGTGTCAAGAAGCACAGTCCATCAGAATGTGTTCTGAAACAAGAACGCCTAATTGCGGACGTTATTAGAATGTTCCTATAAGTAATGTTAATATACTACTACGGGTAGTACGAAGCAAAAGCTAATCGAGTTGACAGAATAAAGCGTCCTGGAAAACAGCGTAGCTAAAAACTCCAATTCGGGTGTACGCACACCGGCGCTTGAAACATAATTTTTTGAAACTGCTTGAAACATATTTGTGCGTAATATCTGATTGGCGTCCATGAATTTCGAGGAAGACAATGCGTATCCCACCCCTTTTGCCCCTTTTCTTTTTTTTCCTTCCTGGTGGGCCCGTAGTATGCACAAGAATGAAGTCGGGTGTGCGCTCTTGGGTAGCACCGTACCAAATTGCAGGACCTCGGGCGGATGATGAGCCAAGACCCCGTAAGAAATAACGAACGTGAAAATCAAATATCACAAAGAAATGTGTGTCGTTCATGAATGAAACCAGCCGCAAAACCCACCAGAGAGTGGGAATTTCCAAATATCCTTCTTTGGGGTGCCTTGCAATTCAGCGACCCATTTGTTGGTTCCTTGGCACTACTCCCCTATTCTGCTGCCCTACCTGCATGTAAGCAAACGCGTGTCATGAGCTGAAAAACTGTGGGAAGGCGGCAGGCATCATGACCAAACCAAACAGTCATTTGGCTTACCGGAACTTCTCGCAGTCCACTCATGAAAAGTTGGTACACCGGTATGTCGAATTCGGATTTTTAGAGTGAAAATGTGCTAGGATCGTTCTTACTGTGGGGACGGCGCAGCATTCAACTTGGGGTTCATGGCCTTCGGTTTTGTCCTAAAGGTGTGTACATGTCCGTAATATGCCTCAATAAATAGATTGCAAATTTGTTTAGGCCTCACTCCTGATTAAAATTTTTCCTATTGTCGCGATAATTCTGGCAGAGTTGTCTGCTGCGGTTGGAATCTACGGGTAAACCTGATAGAGAACTTCTCTAGCTGTCGTTTCCTATTATCGTTTCTATCAGGTTTCTACACCCCGACCGCTTATTTCCGTTGTGCGGCATTTTATGGGCGAGTTTCATTATCCCCAACATGATCTACGTCACTTGCCTTTCCCAAGAAAGCGTCTTGACTACAGGTCAGTCGTTCTTTTGTGATGTTCGTGATCAAGCAGAGGGCTTTGAAAACATGGAGCATGAATGTGGCGGTGTGCATTTCTACACACGCTCACACACAAAGCCATTGATTACATATCCCCTGAATTCACATGCCGTGGAATAATTCATAAACTCATATTGCACTAGCAATAGTACCATCTCCCATGGTGACCAAGCTGAAACAGCCACAAGGAGTTAACTGTACAGTTCGATTTTCAGGGTGGGGATCTCATTGGATACTGCTGGTTCTTGCTACCGGGTTTTTCTTCCTCTGCTTTTCGGGTGCGCAACGCCGCTTCCGTCGTTGGAGCCAGAATACGATTACCGCGTAAGCCGCAGCATCTGTGATGAAAAAACTTCGATAGCTACGTGCAACTGAGACTACACGATGATATTCAATTTGAAATCAAATACGCAGCAACACCCAACAAGACATACTCCTAAAATGGTGCATTTTAATATTTGCGTTTGATCCTGCAGGGTCACAAATGCGTATGGCGCAGTGGCTGCGGCTTGTTTCTGCTGGACATATTTTTCTGGTGGCAAAGAGAGTCCCTTTGACATCCTATCCTTCACGTCTTATCCTACACAGGTAAATATACTAGTCGGTTCATTTCTTTCTGTGTTCCTGCCCTCGTAATGCATGTCTTTCATGAATGTGCTATTCCTTGTTTGTAGTTCAAATGGACGGACCCCTCTGATGTTTTCTTCTTCATCCTCTTCCTGCTACTCATCATTATTGGGATGACTCTCGACTACCGCAGGGATCTCTGGCAGCAAAGCCCTGGATTCGGTGAGCGTCACTTTATGCTGCTGCCGCGGCGACTGGGGTGTGGCTGGTTCAAGCTGAACGCATGGTAGTGCTGGCACTAGGGGGCTATCAACATTGCTGCCTTTCATTGATTTCAATTCAGGGGAAGGCAAAGACGAACCAATCGCTTCTAGGCCTGTAGAGGCGGGGGCCGGGATAGATCTTCAAGCTCCATCACCTAGAGGCTCCAAGAGGCTCTCCTCCATGGTGTCTGAGTCATCCGAACCGTTTCTGATTTTCCCAAAGGGCCAGGGCCCCGAAGGTGTACGTACATATATATCTGGAAAATCATATTTAAAATTCGCTATTTACTCCCTTTCGTGCCCCAGGGAGTACGAAAGGCACACGCGACGGAGGAGTCGGACTCTGAGACGGATACCGATTCGGAAAACGCCGAGCAAGAAGGGATATTTGCCCTCAAGTGGATTGGGCCGACTTCTGTAGGTCCCCCTATTAACTACTTACTCGCCAACAGAATGCTGCCGGGTTGGGAAGCGGCAGAGTCCTCTTGCGGGGTGCCACTAGGGGTTCCTCTATCCCATCGGTTCCATTTTGACCGGCACTATGTTCCCACATTTTGCTCATACATGCATTCGCTTCAGGTGTTTCCCATAGAGTCTCGGGAGACCACAGCTGATGTCGAGAGCGATATAAGTTCCCCTTATGACGCTTCGTCGCTTCTAAAAGGGGACCCAGAGGTAAAGGCTTCAGCTGTGTCGTACTAGGAAAAACTGAAGGATTTTTGTTATAACGAGCCGTCTGCAATTTGTTCCGCATTTCTTTTCGGTATTCCACTTATTTCGTCTTTTTGCAGGAGGAAGAGCTGGAACGATGCATACAGCGAATTCGCGAAGCAGCGCGAGTTTAGGAACGCAAGCAGCGCATCTCACGAGTGTGTGGCAACCAGCATTCCTGCTTGTCTTTTCCTTGACTACATGCGCAGCCACATTTTTATTGACTGCCCATCAAGCGTTCCCCTGACCGCCACTGGAAGAACGACATGCGAGTAGAGGCAAATGTACCTTTTCCGGAGCTGCAAGCGCGACGTCAGGAGCGAGGAGCTGGATGAGCTCTCAGCTCCACACCGGCGATGTCAGCGGATTCAAGCACATAAAGTGAAAGCTTATATCTTTTAGAGGTTCTGCAACAAACATGCCGAACGCGCTTCTCTGTTGCAGGAGAGAAGCCCCCTGTAGGGGTCTCTCAAGGGGCCCCTCAAGTGACTTATGGGGTGCCCAATGTGAAATGCAATAAAATCTTTATCGTGATCACTAAAAATACATTTTGTTTCGTTTCAATCTACACTGCTAGTTTTGGCGTAGGTCCTTGTAGGTGAAGATTCGCTCTGGTAACTGCCGAGACTCTCAGACATCTGCAGAGCGAAGACCACTAGTACCCGCTTTCTCGGGGGTCTAAGGCATGCTAAGCAGCGAGTAGGGCGTTTATTCACCTCTCCAGCTGCTGCTTCTCTTGCAATGGCAGCAGCAGGCGACAACACTGGGGAGGAGCTGCGTCCACCAGGCGAAAACGCCGAGCTATCAAAGTACCCCAAAGATGCACATGACGACGACAGACTCGACTTCTGCAGTCCTAACTTTGATCCCTTGCTGCTGCTCCGGCAAAAGCCCTCCGCGGCTGGGGTAAATTGTTCAGGTGCAGAGGCTATTTTCCCTAATATCCGTGTGGCAGAGCTGCTGTTGCCGTGGGGGCATCAGCCTCAAAGCATTGCAGCAGCAGCCGCTGCAGAGGATAAAGAGCTCAAGGGGGCGGAAGCAGCGGCATCGCAAGCACCAGGACCCCAAGAAGGCGCCCAAGAAAGCAAGAAGCGCACCGCATTCGAGGCCAAGCTAAATGCAGCAAAAAACAAGCAACTCAAACTCGGTTAGCTCCTGCCAATTCGCATGCTGCCTCCAGGAGAATCGCTAAAGAGAAAGCGCATTCGGCTGCAGTCGCTACCGCTGGAATGGAATGATTTGTGCAACTGTCGCCGCTTTTGTATTGCCTACAGATCTTCTCCATGCGGCGGCCGCATCGAAACGCAGCGCAGTCTTGGCTTCCCGCATTTTAACTCTGCGGTTTACTGGTGAGTTTCGAGCTCCTCCTCCTTCGGCTCTCGTGCTCTGCTTCCGTTGCTGCCACCTAGCTTTCCCACCTGCGAGCTGCTGCCCCTCTCCGGACTGTCCGCCTCAGTGTACAGCGCATGCAACGGCGTTACACCCTAAGGCGTATGCATCCAACCCTACTTTGTTGTTGCTTCGCGAATCGCCCATTCCAGGGCATCTTCTGCCTCAGCGCGTCCTCCGCCGTCCTCCAGGGGTGCGTCAAAATGCTGCTGCTGCTGCGGGAAGCCGGGGGCTCTCTTGCGGGAGGGCCCTTGGACAGCTGCGTGTGTGGCAGCAGCAGCAGCAGCAGATCGAGGTGTGCGTACAGCCCAACGCGCTGCAGCTGCTGCGGAGCTGCGGAATGGACCCGACTAGCAGCAGCGGGGACAGCGGAAGCAGCCACACAGTCCGAGTGAGGGGCTGTTTAAGGTGGTTTGATGCGAACATGACCCTTCTCTTGCAGCCTGCCGAGCTGCTGGAGGAAGACAGTCCGCAGCCGCGGCAGCAGCAGCAGCAAGGGCATGAGCATCAACAGCGCAAACAGTATCGCCGGCTAGACTGGCTTATTATTCCGTGAGTTTCCTAGCCGCTATCTGCTGCGAGTGTCTGCTAGTGCCTCCCTTTATTGCTCATCATGTGCACGGCCTCATCTGTATGCCTCAGGTGCCGGCATGTGCTCTCTGTAGAGCCCGTCCGTCTGCGCGAGTAAAGCCGAAACAGTGCATGGGGCAGCCCCCTTTCCTTGCCACTGGCAGAAGTCTCTCTATTTGTACAAGAGGGGCGCTGCCAGGAAGTGCTGATGTAGCGATGGTTGGCGAGCCCGTTGCTAGCGCTGCTTTGCTTCTCCCTTGCCCGCCGCTCGGCACTTCGGCGTGGCAGCCACTTCCCCCCGATGCTCGTGCTGCCGCTGGCTTTGCTGCCCGTGCTGCTGTAGCTGACTCTCATCATCTTGCTGATAATGCTGCTCCGGACGCAGCCGCTTTCCTGGCTGCTGCCATCGCGGGGGAGTGGCCAGCCGCTGCTGCTGCTGCAGCTCTCCTTGCTGGTGCTTTCGCTTGGCGCCTCGAGAGCCAGCCGCAGCAGCGGCTGTGCTCTGAGTCCTCTTGGGTGCCTCTTCGCCTTCGTCAGGGGCGCCAGACGAGTGCAGTTTGTTTGAATGATTACTTTCGGTGCTACTGGAGAGAGCATAAAGGGGGGATAGCCCGTTGTTGTCCGCTGCGCTGCCACTGCTGTTGGGACTGCTCCGTTGGCTGCTGCCAGGGGCCCCTAAGGAGGTCATACTTGGGGTGCTTGCGGTCTTCTGAGGGGGCCTCCCACGGCGTTTGACGCCCTTGTTGCCGTTCCAGCTGTTGCTGAAGGCGTTGGCACCACGCCTTTGCCTCTTTGCCTCCCGTTGTTGCTGCAAAGTCTTTTTTGCGGTTCGCGGGGCATCCGTATCTGTACTTACCGCGCAAGACTGCACCTGGAGCACGCCCCCTGGTGTAGCACCTTCGGGATCAATTGCGTCAAGTGCTGTAGCTGTCTCTCCTCCTTTGCTTTTTGGACGTCCCCTGGCGCGAGGCTGCACAGCCACGGGGGTGTCATGGCAATCTGCAGCAGCTGCTGGTCCTGCGCTTTGAGAAGCTTTTGCTTCCTCGCCGGGTCGCTTGTGAGGGGGCCCCCCGGAGGGCTCCGCCCCACACCCGTCTGTTGCCCTGCCTTTTTCTGAGTCTATTTCCTGGCTACTCTTTGACCGCCCCTGACTCTGGGGCCTGTCCACAGGCGTGCTGCTGCTGCCGCATGCAGGGACTGCTGTAGCGCTAGAGTTAGTAGAATTTTCTGTAGTTTCCGAAGGCCGAGGGTCTTCTGCGTGGCGCTTCTCTGTGTTGGGCTTCCCTGTGGAGCCACGCACCGTTGTAGGGCCCCCTCCTCCTTGGAGCTCCCGCTGCTGCTGCTGCTGCTGACCCCCTGGATGCAGCTCTTTCTGAAGCCTGGCCACGAATTGCATGGCAAGGGTCTCTGCAAGGGGCCTTCCATACCGTTTGCTGCTGAACAGGCGGCAGTAGGTTCCACCAGGGATGGCGTAAGAGCAGCTCTTGAGAATCCGCAAAAACTGACTACTTGGGACGCTGCGGGGGCCCCTAAGCGCCTCTTCCGGGGCCCCCGCAGCCGGAGGGCAATGCGCTGGAAGCGCTGGATAGCCGCCCCGCACAGGATGAATGAGGAGGGAGCAGGAGGGAGGCAGCGTGAAGTGGACTATGATGCTGCGGAGCTTAGAGGAGTACACAATGCATGGGAGGGACCTGCCTGGAGGAGGGCTTGGGAGCTCTGCCCACCTCTGCCGCTGGCGCAGTGTTCCTACGGCAGCCGCAGTAGCCGCAGCCACCGTTGCAGGGGGCAGGCCTGCAGCTGCTGATGGTCTGAGCCATGGTAGAGGAAAGAGAGGATGTATTCGGGATTGTATGTAGGGCAGAATCTGCTGAATTCCCAGTCCTGGTGGGGTGACGGTGCTGCAGCGCTGGCTGCTTCTTAGGTAGTCCACCGAAGGGGGAAACGCTCGGTGGGCACATACGAAGCTGCCACTCACATGCGGAGGGGCCCCAGTAATTCCTACGCTTGGTTGCTGGCCCTGAGACGCAGCATAAAACGCAAGGGAATCTAAATGGGGACGACGTTCCGTGCTTTTCGTGGCATTTTGCCTCTTTCTCACCTGCTAAAGAGGGTTTTATACGCAATGAATGGTGTTTGTGGGCACCTCTGAGTGCGTGGGAGCAGCAACGACAGCGCAGCACGGCATAGGGGCGGCGACCTGTCGGGTGCATCCCCCGTCCTCCGCAGAGAAGAAATTCGAAGAGCCACTGGAGGTCCTTGGAAGTGTGAAGCTCAGTCTTGGAGTCTCGCCCGTAACTGTGGGTTCTTCGGCGCCGTTGCACGGTCCCACACACGTGCAGCGGGCAGCAGCAGCAGCAGCAGATGCTGCTTTTATTCCCTTAGATACAGAGGGCTCACGAAGGGCGCTAACGGGCAGTTGCCAGCTGTAACACACCGGAGGCGTTTTCTGCTGCTGACCGCTGTCACGTGCCTTTGAACATAATCCTCCCTTATCATTTGATGAGATGTAACAATGCAGCAGCAGTTGCTGGGTGTCTGATAGGTTTTTGAGGGGTTGAATAATGACGGCTTTCCGGCGCTTCGGTGGTATCCAGGGGGTCTTGTAGGCTGGCGGAAAGCCATCGGTGCTCCCTGAGGGCGCTTGCATCGTTCAAAAAAATATTTTCAAGAGTACCCTCTCACACACACGCAGGCGTTTTCCTTAAGGAGGAGGAGACTGGAGGCCTAGCCAACTGCTGGCTGTCTACTGCGTAGAGCTGGATCGGCCGTCATCCACAACACCTCGCGCTCAACGCATTTGCAGTGAATTGATGATTGCGCTCGCCTCTTGATGGCAAAAAGCCTTCCTAAGGCAGTTTTACGCAAGCATTTGGCTACGAAGACTAAGCTGAAACAGATGCATGGCGAATACGCACAAGGCACCAGTTAAATACAAGTGCTGGCCGGGGCAGTCATCTCCACACGTGTCTTTGCAAAGGCGCGCACACTGGCGCAGAGTAGGGCGCAATTTGCTAAGATTGGTATCCTTTAGCGAATACTTTACCAATGAAATGGGAATGTTATCGCAAAATACCCAACGAGGACAGGTCTGGGCTCTAGGTGGTGTAAACCTTTCAGGCACCAAACGCACCAGTGACCACGGGCTCGGCGGCCACAGTTCTAAGCTGCTTTTTCCGTTCGTGCCTTGTTTGTCCTGATATGGTTTATTTCTTTACTAAGTCCCAATATTATACAAACTCATACATATAATCCACGTTTGAAGAATATCCTTTACTCAAAAATACAGATCTACGCAAAAGGGGGGTGGGGGGAGGGAGGCAAGTAGGCAGCCAAAGTGACCCTAGCCACTCGGCCGAATGGGCGTCTTCACCACGACTGCCCGCTGCACCACTTTGCTAGTAGCCCTTTCCTCCCCCTTCCAACGGAGAAAAAGTGCTGGAAAGGTCTAATGCTACCACCCTTCATGGAAGAGACAAACAAGCGCTTGCCAGGATCAGTGAGAACTGCGAGGGTGGGTGCACTCGCTGGCTGGACAGCTGCGGTCATCTGGGGTAAACTATTGTTATTGGGGGGTGTTTGCGCGCGGCACATTGCCAGCCGCAAGTGCTCATGTTCTCATCGCCCCCTCTTCCAGGAGATAGTGCGAACCACAAGCAGTTCAGACCGTTAAATGGCGCAATTTGGTAGCTCACACTGTGTTTCAATCGTAGAACGGATGCCTTACACGTGCGCTTCTCTCGCAATAATAGCAGCACGCGGGAGCTTTTCCGCCTGGCTGGCTACGAACGCGCTCACGTGCTGTGCTGCTGTTGCTGCTTCCTCTGAGGCCGAGTTCCCTCTGAAGCTGTTTGCTGCTGTTGCCGCTGCTGCTCCTGCAAACACCTTCGACGTAGCAGGGGGAGTTGCTGCTTGAGGGAGGCGATAAAGGGGTGGGTGAGCCACGCTAACCGAGCTGCCTTGGCCACTGCAGCAGCAGCAGCGGCCTCCGACCCTTGCGTCTCTGCTGCCGTGGCTGCTGCTGCTGCAACCTCCTGAAGCAGCTGGAGCTTGAAGGCAGTATCACGCTGCAACAGAGACACCGCCGTTACACACAACCTAGCAACGCAAGTTGGTTGTGCGGATGCGTCCACATCGCCTTCCGTGCTGCTCTTATTACTGCTCCTGAAGCACTGTTTCTGCAGCTTGTCCGCTGTTGCTGCAGCTGCTTCGGCCTGCTGCACCAGCGCGAGCTGCTGCTGCTGCAAATGCCATAGCAGCGGTTCCACTGTGTCAACCAAAATATCGTCTGCTGCCGAAAGTGGTGCTGTCCTAGGTGTGGGTGTTGTTGGGGGCATCTTTGCCGCTGCCCCATCAACGCAAGAAGCGTCATGCAGGGAAGCGGCAAGGTCTGCAGCGGCTTCAGCAGAAATGGCACACAGTTGTTGGTGCTGCCGTTCGAGCGCACAGGGAGCTTCTTTGGTGGCTCGGAAAGAGCAGCGTGTGAGGGCGTTCTGCAGTTGCATTAGCTGTTTGGGCGCTGCGGCAGCCAGTGCCGCTTCAACTGCTTCCAAGACGCACTGAAGAGCCTCTAGACGCTCTGAGGTTTCGCCTGCCTGAAGCTCCCCACAGCAGCGGCAGCCAGGAGTCATTCTGGAGGGGGCTGTAAGCGCTGAGCATCACAACAGAGGGGCACCAGGCACTCGAGGAGGTGCCTGAGAATTGCACGAGTCTCCCGTTAAGACTCCTGATGGAGCTTTAGGGGCTTCGACAGCAAGGCCAGCAGTCAGTCATACACCCGGCGAGAGAGAGTCAACCAGGAAGGGTGCAAAACACGCCAGCCACGCCTTGCTCTCAAAGGCGGCATGCGTTACGGTCCAAGAGAGGGTTGCAGTCCACATGCATCCTAAGGCTCCTTAAGAGCCCGCTGGCTTGTTGCTTTCCTTCACTTCCCCAAGGAAGGCAGGAGGGCAAGCAGTCACCAGGCAGCCGGCGTACTTTGAAGGTAGCAAGCAGCACCGGGGGGCTGTCCCTGCAGCGCTTGCAGTGCAGGAAGGAGTCTTGCTGGAAATCCTGAGGCGCAAAATATAGTGAATAGTGCTGACTTGTGCAACACATAGGGCTGTTCGCCTTGCAGGGGCGGCAGCAACTGCAGAGGCATCGTAGGGCCCCCTCGCCTCCCCCCGAGCGCCGAGTCGTGGGGTTGCTGGCCTGCGTGAGACAGGCGCTCGAGTTGTCCTTTTATTGTAAAGTTCTCTGTTCCGAAACATCCGAATTGCTACATCTAGAAGGCAGTGCAGAAGGTGAGTTTGGGGTCATAAACGCACGCTGCGCCTCGAGGGCCGAAGCCGAGGACACAGCCCTCTAGACAGCTGGGAATATGCAGGTGGCGGAACGCGGCTTGATCTTTCCCATTTTAAAAATCAGCAGAGCTAGAAATTCTTTTTTGTGCATTCGTTGCGCTAGAGGTCCAGCAGGGCACTTGCGCCGAGAACCCTCGAGTCTCTCTCTGTGTCACGCGCAGCCTTAAGCACTTCTCCCCGTAATACGGCCCAAAGTGCAGTCATTGCCCCACGCGCTGCCTTTCTGTTTGCTTTGCGCGAGGATTCAGCTGCCATTGCTTTTCCTTGTGTCCTTCTGGCGCGCCTTTAGCATGCCCTCCACTGTTAACGCACCACCCAAGACGATGCAGGTGAAGGCTCTACCCCGATCCCACGCCCCCCTTACCCTCATCCAAGAAGGCTTTAGTTTCAGAGCTTAACGCATGCTTTTTTCGGTGTGCGCCAGGGCGTAAACGCGGTGGTCAGACAAGCCTTCGCGCAAGCAGTTGCTGCGGCCTTTCCCACAGTCCAACATAGGCCTATCGTTGCCACCTCCAAGTTTGGCGATTTCCAATGTACAGCTCCTCCACCTTTTCCTGGTTTTTTTAGAGCTCCGATCCTCAAAAATCCTCTAAAGAGGACCTCCTCCATTCTCCGCGCTCGCGCTTTCCTCCTCTCTCTCTAGGGGGCGCTGATTTCTTCCTCCATACGTACAGGCTTGCGCCTGCCTCCTCTTTTGCCTTCTTTTCTTCTGCGCTTTACTTGGCCCTGTCTCTCTCGTAAAGCTTTATTGAGGCTTTTGGATGCGCAGTTTGGATTGCACAGTGCATGTATGCACTGTGCAATCCAAACAGGAGCGCCCATAAGTCCTTTTGCTTACACCACTCAGCGAAGCTCGCCATCCTCTAGCGTCTCCTCTCCCCAGCGCACACCTTTGTTGGGGAAAGGAAACGGAGGGGGGGGCAAGGAAAGAGGTGCAGTCAGCTGGCTGGCGATACACTCCCTGAAGGGGGAGGGCGACAGAGGAGGGATGGCTACATATTGGCTCTCCAGGTGCTGCCCTGCTAATGGTTTTTCTGTCCTTCAGGCAATAGTGCACCTTCGCTCTTCAAGACACACAAGGCGACCCTTGGCCTCAAGTCCCCTAAGGAGGTTGCAGAAAAGATAAAGGAGAACCTTCATACCGACATCTTCGAAAAAGTCGAGACTTCACCGCAAGGTTAGGTTCGGCGAGCTTTGTGTGCGTGTACCCCCGTAATTCGTGACAAAAACTTTCAAAAGGCTAAATAACGTGTGTGTCTGTGGGGAGATGGAGAGGGGGGCAGGAGAGAGGGGCGGTGGGTGGCAAGATGCCGCTCCAATCCAGGCTTTTAGGTCTGGCCTGTCTCCTCATGATGATGTACGCAGGATTCATAACCGTCAATTTTTCTTCTGCATGGATCGAGAAGCGTCTGAAGGAAGTTCTCTCAGCCCCTATAAAGGTGGAGGCCGATAAAAGGTCTGCCAGCGCAAGTGTGAAGGCTGCTCCTGTCTCCTTTTCCCCCCTGCTTTGTCTGTTTGCGGTCCCATGATTTCTCCGTACCGGCCGCTAGTTGCCTCTTGAGCGATGTGGCTGTGGCTAGCTCCTTTGCGGCGCTGATCGCATCCCCCTTCGCCTCTCGGGTGCCACTCACTGCCCCTCGTGCAATGCTTCGAGCTACCCTTTTTCTTGCTGGCGTCCTTCAAACCGTCTTCGTCTGTCATCCCCCCTTATGCGACGTGTGTGTGCCTCGCGATCGCTGGTTTATTCAAGGTTAAAGGTCTTGGTCGACTTTTCATCTCCAAATGTAGCGAAAGAGATGCATGTTGGACACCTGAGGTCCACCATCATTGGGGAGTCTCTATGTGAGCTGCAACCTCACGGCACTGTTTGCCGGTGACTGCTTGTCGTGATGCTGCTGGTTCTTGCCACGTGTAGCCTTGTCGCGTGGGTAGCAGGCGTGCCTCTGTGCTGCCGCTGCCCTTGCTGCTGCAGTAGTTGCCTTTTGGGAAGCCTGCCTCCTGGTGTCGGTTCCATTGGATTGTGTTGGGGACGCTGCTGCCCTGGCTGGGCCTGCTGTTGCTGCAGATTTCCTTGCTGCACTGTGACTTCGCTTGTTGTGCCTGCCTTCAGCCCGCCTGTTGGAATTTGTTGGCCATGAGGTTGATAGAGTAAATCACATCGGAGATTGGGGAACGCAATTCGGGATGCTTATCCAGTACATCATGCAGGTCCGCCTCTGGTTTAGAGGGGTTTGGGGTTGTTGCGAGCTCGGCCTTCTGAGCTGTTTGCTGGAACAGACAAGAAAAAGTCTTCGCGAGAGGGCGAGCCAGCGCACTGTGTTGTGCCCAAAGAACGCTAGGATCATTCTGCATCTTTGTATGCAGGAGCACCCCGATTGTGCGACAAACACACCAGCCATCGGAGATCTGCAGGTCCTATATAGAGCGTCGAAAGAAAGATTTGATCGAGACGAGGAATTCAAGGCCAAAGCGAGGGAGGCAGTTGTGGCCTTGCAGAGTAAGGACGGTCCAGGAGGCTTAATCTCTTCTTTTGATTTCCGCATACTCTGCTTGTCTTCGTGTGCTTGCGTTTGCCGCTGTCCGACCTCTCGCCCTTTGTTCCACACTAAGGGGACTGAACGGGGTTGCGCTCCTTGTGAAGCCGTGCATGGCCCCTTTGGCGCTTGCCCCTCTGTCTCTCACCTTTGCGGCCTTCTTTCTTCGCGGCTGCTTTGCTGCTGCTGATAGGGCAGTCGCCGTGGTAGCAAGACAAGCCTGGTGGTCTGGTGCCGTCCATGCAGGCGGAGACCCCACAGCTCTCCAGTTGTGGAAGGCCATATGTGACGTGAGCCGCAAGGAGTTTGAAAAGGTGTACAGCCGGCTGGGAGTCAAACTGAGAGAGATGGGAGAGTCGGCGTATAACGAGATGCTGCCCTCGGTCTTTGAGGAGCTAAGGAAAAAGGAGTCCGTTTGTTCAACGGCGCAGAAGAGCCTACGGACGCTTGCTTGCGAGAGACCTTTTCCCTTCTTTTAATAGGGAGAGAGAGAGGGAGCAGCAGCAGCAGCATCACTCTTTGGAGTGTTTCCTCTGCGTTGCGAGCCACGCTTTGGCAACCTCCGCGAGTGGGTGTACTGCTGCACTCGTCTTTGCAGATTGCTGAAGGAGAGCGCGGGAGCGCAATGCTTGTTTACGTCAATCAACAATGTGCCGCTAATGGCAGTGAAGAGCGATGGGGGCTACGGCTACGACTCGACGGACCTTGCGTCCATTCGACACAGGTCAGTGTGCCTAAAATTGGTTCCTTCCGGGGAGATGAGGAGAGGACTGGTTGGTTGCCTTGAGTCTTGCTGCGTGGGGACTTTTGCATGGGGGCAATTCGTTCGAAGAAGAGTGCCTGTGTTGCAAGGAGTCCGTCCGGGAGATTTGGTGAAGTGGCATTTGCTGCACACGCTTTAGGAAGGCGAGAGAAAAGAGCCGTTGTGTAGGCATTTGCAGTGAAACCATCAGATGCCTCTCAGCCTTCAGATGCCGAATGACCTGTCTGGAGGACTTCGTGGGTAAGCGCTCCTTCAAGCAGGCATTCGAGTGAAAAAAAAGGGCATAGAGGTATGACTTGTACGGGGGGCGTTGCAGGCTCGTGGAGTGTCGCAACGACTGGGTGATCTACATTACTGACATGGGCCAAGAAGAGCACTTCTTGAAGCTTTTTGAGGCCGCTAGGATGGCAGGTCCGCTCTCATGCTTACAATGCACCCACTTTGTTGTATCCCTTTGCAGGGTCTTTCTGCGTTGCTTGCACTATCTGTGGGTGTTGTAGCTTTCTCCCCAGTGCCCTCCCCTCTTCCTCTATTCAGCGCGCAGGTGCTAAAGGAGACCAGCAGGAAGGGTGCTTGCTGCAGCCCGCTGCTTTGGCGGCTTTAGGTGTATAGATCAAACATGTGGGCTGTACAGGCGAAAAAGCCCGTTCCAGATTCTGTCGAAGGGGCTCTGTGGCGTTAATTTAAGGCCTTGGGTGTCCTGTGGCGTGCGTAACTGTTGCGCAGGTTGGCATACCCCTGGTCAGACTAGATGCTCGCACGCAGGCTTTGGCGTGGTGCAAGGCTCCGACGGGAAGAAGTTTAAGACCCGCAGCGGAGAGGTGGTCAGACTTGTCGATCTCTTGGATCAAGCTGTGAGCCGAGCGAAGGAGGAACTGGACAGGCGCGCACTCGAGGAAGGAGGTCCGCCCCTATGGCGTAGGGAACGTTGCGCGTTGAGCTTTCGGGAACCCACGAGCGAGGGAGACAGGGAGGGATCGAACGATTTGTTGAGCGAAAAGAACAAACAGCAGATTTGGTAGGAAGGGTCTGAGAGTCATGCTTTGCCTGTGACAGTGTGGCTTATGCGTGTTCATCACTCGGATTGCAGAAGAAGCGGCAGCGTCCTCCATTGGTGTCAACGAGCGCGCGGAAGTGATGGGGTATTCGGCCGTGAAGTACTTTGACCTGAAGCAGAACCGCACGACCGATTATCAGTTCTCATTTGACAAGATGCTAGATCCTAGAGGTAAGGAGGCTTTTTGCAACAAGGACACCAGCGGCTGCTGCTGCAGCTGCTGCGGAGGTCATGAAGAGGAGGAAGGGTATAACGAGTCAGATACAAAAGTATAAAGGGGCGAAGGAAGCGATAAGGGCTGGCCTGTTGCGCGCATTTTCTGCTATGATTCCACACGTGCCCCACATGCTCAGGAGTTGGAATCTGTTTTGGGGGTCTTTTCTTGCGCAGGCAATACGGCTGTATATCTGTTGTATGCCTACGCCCGCATTTGTTCCATCTTCAGAAAAGCCGGGATGGATCCCAAGACGCTAGAGCCAAGTAATAATTGCGCCTCTTTGCTGCTGGCTGCTCGCGCTGCTTGTCGTTGGCCTTACATGTTCTACCGCACGCATGTATGTTGGTGGTGTGTGCGGTCGTATCATGGTGGTTGTAGGCTGCCTGCGAATCGGCGAGCCGTGTGAGAGGCAGCTGGCCTTCCTCCTGCTGCAGCTTCCGGATGTCCTTTATGGAATCCTTGACGACCTCATGCTCCACAGGTACACTGGCCAACCACCACACTCGTGGCTCTTGCCTTGCCGCCCCACCCGTAGCATCAGCAACAGCGGGCGAAAAATTGCAGACTGAGCCTCACTTTCGCCGGCCTCATCGTGATATATGCTCTGGGCTGGCTGCATGCGCCTTCTCTTGTGCCCAGGTTGGCAGAATTCACATATAGGGTGACCTGCCTCTTTTCGGACTTTTACATGAACTGCAAGGTGCTGGATCAGGATGAAGAGACACGCAGCAGCCGCCTTCTTCTCTGTGAAGCTACGCGAAAGGTCATGTGTGTTGCCTTTCATATTCTTGGGATAATTCCGCTAGAAAGAATCTAGAGGAGGTTGGAAGATGCCGATTAAAATAGCCTGAAGAGCTTGTGCAGGAAAGCATCACCCATGATTCAGGCTCCAGAAAAAATGGGGGGAGGGTCCGCTTTTATCTACAGCCTACTGACCCGTATTTGAACAGCAGCGTGTATACGTCCGTGTATGGGCACAATAAACGCTGCACGCATCATCCTGAGGAGACAGGAAGCATGATGGGCAGGCTAGTTCCCAGCATGCACTAGGGAAATTACCATTTTTTGCCACTGTTAGTGCTAGGGGAGCAGCAGCACTTCCACTGAATAGGACACTCGGGGGGGTGGGACGGGCGAAGGGTGCTTAGGTCCTTTTGTTTTCTGTGGCTCAATTGCTTCTCCAGTCAGCTAATTCAGTTGCGCCCGGAACGCTTAGAGGGTTGTACGCCAGCTAGTGCGATCCAATCAACAAACGATAAGGTGCCCACCATATACGAGCTACTGTCGAGGACGCTGCGTGGGACCCTAAGCATTTTGAAGTTTTGTGCGCAAGAGAATGGGATACTTGATCATTCTCCATGTAGCGACGTGGCCTAGGGGGCTGGCAAAAGCAAGTTTGCAGGCTGGTGTACATTTGGCGAGAAGCCTTCGTGTCTGCACGCACATGGGGAGGACGACCCCATTCGTGAAGCAGGAGAGTTTTCAATGCTTTCCTAGTTGGTACAACTGGGGAGGGCCCAAAACGAGGCTTACGGTGCCCGAAAGGGGCCTCGAAGCGCTTGCATAGCCGCGTTCATGGCATGCACCCCAGTGCATCTGATGACGTTTCTCCATATTGACTAGTTCGCTAGTCTTCTTATGAGTACTCCTTGTGTGGCGCACAACGTGTCTAGGCTTTTGCTGCTATGAGGTTCTTTGCGACGCGCCTGCACGCTGTGCTCTGGAGACATGCGGTTTTGCGGGACAATAGGGAGAGACACGGGAGAGGCATGTCCCTTGAAAGGATTTTTTTTTTTGCTACCCGAAGGGCTCTCGTCAGGTAGAGGTCACATCTTTTGTAAGTGTCAGGCACTCGCCATCCGTTGCACGGTGTGCGGACAAGGAGAAGGGCCTTTTACTACGAATCTTCCTGCCTACTTCTTCTCTCTACGCATGGTCTTGAGAACTGCAGTACTGTGTGCTCGTACGTATCCGGGACCCTCTGGTCCTCGGCACTTCGCGAAAGGGGCCCCCCGGGGTCGCTTTTTGGTTTCCCCTCGGCGCAGAGCTGCCTGCACGCTGCAGCTGCCCTCTAAATGCAGCGAAAAGACGCAGGCCTTGTCATTGGTGCATCCTCAGCCCCCAACACTAATAACCGGGAAACGATTGTGCGCCCTTGGTGGTCCCTCGGAAAAAGAGGCTAACTGCGTCTTGTGAAGTCTGACAGATCGAGCTGCGCGCATTCTTACGGAACCCTATGAACAGACGGAAGGCCCCAGCAGGGCTAAGGAGCCTTGTCCTTAAAGGAATGCAGACTGAGCACCCACCTCTGGCCTGGTGTAAGCGGCAACGCTATTCTCTCTATCTGACAAACAGTTTTGCGAGGGTGTCGGATGGGACTGCTTGGGTGTGGCGAAACACGTGGAGGGTCGAAACTGGGAGAGACTATGGAGTGTGTTTCATTTTAAAGGGCCTAGGAGTACTTTTACCGGAGCGTTAGGGATTCTTTTCCTGCCTCCCAGTGAAATGCCATCATGGGGCTGCTACCCAGACACAAGAGGAAGGATGTATGTCTGTGGCGATTGACCGTGCTCGTTCGTGCTCTCCTTTGGGTGCGGCCCTTCTCAGCGTTTTGTAAGATTGAGAGGATTTCTCTACCTATTATTTCCTGTCCATCGGTGTGGTTAGCTAGTAATAGGCAGCATTCTCTGGAGGACAAACACGCCTCACGGCCGCTCTCCGCGGATGACTGCTGCGGCGCAGGCAACGACGCGCCTCTGAACCTCCGACGTATGACTTCCCCAAGTGTAGAGGATAGCAGATAGGCCAGAGTATTGCATGTTTAGGGTGCGAACTGCTGACACATTGCGAGCGATGCGGGGGGGGCCAGTGGGGCTGCTTTTCACCGCTGCAGCGCAGCATCAACAGGGGCGAAAGCGCCTGAAATGGCAGTCATGGAGTCGGGGGATCACGCGTTGCCTGCGTCCAAGTGACATCGGCAGCGTCTCCGTAGAGCTGATGGCTCCCCCTTCTCTTCTCGCGGAGGTTCTGTAAGGGGGAAGGGCCCTACCCGGGCGAAGGAAGTCGGCCGATGCGAACTCTGCATGCTGCGGTACTGCTGCCCTTTCGCTGCTGCATTCCTTCAGACGTTCTGCGGACTTAGTGCCAGCGGGAAGGCGCACTCCCCTTCGCTCCCCGTCTGGCTGGAGTTGCATCCGAAGATGTGGGATCGCATTGCCGAGTCTTTCAAGAAAGTCAAGAAGAAGGCCGATGAGGTTCGAAGACTGCATCTCGCTCCCGCTGCTGCTGGTGCTACCGCTGAGTCGTCCTGCCGAATTTAGGGGTTCGTGGGTGGGGTGCGAGCCGGCACTCATGTAGGAACGATTTCTGCCCATGTTTCCACAGGTAGCTTCCTCCGTGCAGGGCAGCACAACTTTCCTCTCGCGAGCCAGAGATGTGCTGCTGACCCTCGGAGGAGGAGGAGAAGCAGCTGCTGCAGCAGCAGCTGCTGCCGTCGTGTCTGGCTATACAGCGGAGCAGCTGCTGCTGATGCTCGAGGAACAAGCAGCCAGTGTTCGCTCTGTCGATGAGCTGCAGCACCTGCTCCACCTTTGGACGGCTCTTCTGAATCAGGAAGGTGAGGAGCACTTTTAGGGGCCTCACCAGCCCGCTGCGAACGCAGCAGGCGCGACGGCGCAGCGCGCAAGGCACCGTGGAGAGGCCACACCAGCTGTCTACACGCAAAGATGTATCTTTGATGCTGCTGCAGACGACGTGGAAGCTCCACGCTTCCCTTCTGGGGAGCTCGAGCAGCAGCTGCAGCAGCAGCAGCTGCAGCAGCAGGCAGACCAAACGCGCACAGGCAGCAACGCTGCCTCTGCCGCCTCTCCTCTCACGACGAAGCCCAGCGAGGGGAACCTCGCAGCAGCATCACCAGCAGCAGCAGCAGCAGCCCACCAGCAGCAGCAGCTGAACGGCAGCGACTTCGCCCAACAAATTCTGGTAGAGCAGCAGCTGCTGCGGGAGCTTCAGCTGCCCCAGAAGCTGTTGAGTTCCGACTTTGGATTCGGAGAGGTGAGCAGCAGCAGCAGCAGGCGGACGACAAACATCCAACTCAGCATATTCTGAAATGCGAGCACTTTGTCGAGCCTGACACAGGCAGTCGACTTGCAGCCTTGTTGTCGGTTGCGACACTCATGCACGTACACCCGCCTTGCGTTTTAGGCCTTGTGAGTAAATTTTCTTGGACTTATTCCGCCGTCTGTGCTGCTCACGCTGCTGCTGTGGGCTGTTTGCTGCAGGTTGTGTTGCGGTCTGCTGCAAGCCAGTTGCTCCTCAGATCTGTCGCTAAGAGGCCTGCGCTTCGAAATGCGATTCTCTCCAAAGTTCAGCAGCACTCACTCGTCTCTCAGCGCGTGCAGCAACAGCAACAACAAGAGAAGCAACAACAAGAGAAGCAACAACAAGAGAAGCAACAACAAGAGAAGCAACAACAAGAGAAGCAACAACAAGAGAAGCAACAAGAACAGGGGGTAGGAGGGGTGGTAGATCCTGGAAGAGCACCACCCCCTCCTCCACCAGGTATGCCTCGGGAATTTTCTCAGCAGGATCCTCAAGAAGCTCCCCAACTGCAGTGCGCTGCTTTTGAACATTTCTCTGAGGAGGATCTATGGGAAGAAGAATCGCCAGATTACCTCGAGTTAGTGTTTCGACAACTTCTTCTGCTGCTGCAGCAGACGCTGCAGGTCACCTCGCAGCAGGGACTGCGCCTCCTGCATGCGCTCCTGCTGTCTGCTGTGACAGAGGCTGAAGCTGAAGCAGCACTCAGGCGTCTTAGTGGACGTGCAGCGCTTAAGCAGCAGCAGCTGCTGCAGCAGGAGCACCCGGAGCCGCAGATAGCGTCCTCTTTCTCCTCCTCGAACAACTCAAAAAGAGAGCTAGAAGGGCAGGAAAAAGGAGAGCTGCAGCAGCAGCAGCAGAAAGGGCAAGAAGGAACGAACAAGGCTTTAGATATTGGCAGCGCTGGCGGCATTGACGCGGGGGCTGCTGCTGTTGCATCTCCTGCCGCTACTGTCGGTTCAGCGATTTCTGCTGATGCAACCGCTGAGAGTTTTCTCGCGGAAGAGGAGCCGCTGCTTCAGGAGGTGACTGTTGCTGCTGCACGGGGGGTGTCTGCCGCACTTGCTGCTGCAGCGCTGCTGCAGCGGCGACAGCCCCTCTTGCGCTTGAATCATCATCTTGCCCGACTGCAACAGGATGCGGCGACCTTGAGCAAGAAAATAGTGTCTTGCGATCTGCCTCTTGCTGAAGACGCAGATGTAGGCTGATGTAGTCTGTTGCCGGCGAGCCTTTGGGCTGCTCTTAGCAAGCGGCGATTCGCTGGTGATTCGCTTTTGCCCTGCGTCATCTCTACGCTGCTGTTGTTGTTGCTGCTGCTGCTGCACCTCGTCTGTCGATGCTTCTGCTGCTGCTGCAGGCCGAAAAGCTCCTTATTCCCCAAAATATGCGGCTGCGCGCAAGTACCCGCTTGCTGCAGCAGACGGTGCTGATACAGCACCTGAAGAAGCAGCAGCGTGAGCTGCTGCCTCGAGCAGCAGCTGAGGCAGTGGAGGGTATCAGCTTGTTGCAGCAGCAGCAACAACAACAGTTTGCCGCATGGCAACAACAGCAGCAAGCATCGGATGCTTTCCTACACAAGTTAAGAGTGAGAAAGAGAGAATAAAAACCTAGGGCTCACATTGCTGCTGCTGCTGCTGTTGTTGCTGCTGCTGCTGCTGCTGTTGTTGCTGCTGCTTCGAGAAAACGCATTCTTGCCCCGCGGCACCGTTTATTCCGTGCTGAGCGGTTAGCGTGTGCGAGTTACTTCCATGGTGTGTTGGCTGCTGATTGCTGCAGAGACACATGGAAAATTCTGCAGAGGGTCTCGCTACCCGAGCTGTCTCACTGGAGTGCCGACGTTCTGAAGCGCAGAAGGCACTTCAGCAACTGGAGGAGAGGCGTCGCTCCCTGGAGCGTCAGTTGGAGAACTGTCTGGCAGACGTATGTTCATCTGCTGCCACGGGCGGGAGCCTTTTTGGAGAGGCAGGGGAGAACTATTCTTGGCATGTTGCACTCCCGTCTGGCGAGGCCTATGTGCTGTTGCTCCTTGTACCTACGCATGCTGCGCGGAGGGGTTCCGCAAACACTGCTGCATTTTGGCGTGGTGTGTCTGTTGATGGCAGATAGAGCGCGTTAAAGAAGGCTTGCGCAGTGCGCATGCGGCGGAGGAAGAGCTTCATGTGGATGTTCAGCGGCAGCAGAGCAGCAGCAGGCGGCTCGAAAGGAGGCTGCTGCAGCAGCAGCAGCAGTGGGAGACTGCGAGGGACAGCTTGTTGCTCTTTCAACAGGCAGCGGCAGAGGCAGCAGCAGCGCAGCTGGAGGGAGCAGAGGTAGCGGCTGCAGTCGCAGACGCAGATGTAAAGGAAATCGAGAGTGAGTTATTGGCGTCAAACGTGGGCAGTAGTAGGGGCTGTGGCGATGGTGGCTGCAGCAGCAGTAAGAGCACGAAGGCCTGTTGCACATGTGATTTGGCATCTCTGCGTATTACGCGTTGAAATCTTTACGTATGCCCTAGAGGATGTGTGAGTGTAGTGTGAGTGTAGTGTGCTATGGCATTGTCGCTTACCGCTCTGTTGTTGCGCTGTTGGCGTGCCTGCACAGATTCCTTGCAAACGCTGGTGTGCCGACACTATGCCTTTGAGAAAGGACGCGTGCAGCAGCAGGCAGGGGCCTTGCGTCAGTGCATGCGGACGTTGGACCTGTTGCAGCAGCAGCAGCAGCAGCTCCCCTGTGGGGCTGCTGCCGCAGAAGATATGAGTGACTATGCGCTGCAGCTGCAGCGGGAAGAGCAGCAGCAGGAGCTCGATCATGTTCGAAAGCAGTTTCTCAAGGGCATGCAGCGGCTAGACGCCGCATTCGCAGAGTCCCAGGCCTTTCTGGAGGCGCATGCGGATACACTGCAGCAGGCGCTGCAGCAGCAGCAGCACATACTGCGCCAAAAGCAGCAACAGCACTCGCGTACACCAGGGGCTGCAACAGCAACAGCGGCGGAGGCAGCCGCCTCTTTCGCTGCTGCTGAGGATGCGGAGCATGAAGCAGAGGAAGCAGCTCTTGCGGCTCTTCGGGAGATTGCTGCTGTGTATAGGCAGGTGCAGCAGGAAGCCGCGCCGTATCTCAACGACCTCCGTAAGGCTGTCTGCCGCTGGCTCCTGCTTTCGGATAGCGTCGAGCAACAAGCACTCTAGCTAGCTGCTGCCTCTGTGTAGCTTGTAAGCAGAGCCAGCTTCTGCGTACACCAGTGCGGCGTAGCGGTAGGAACGCGACTAAGGGGTTATACCAGATGTGCCTCGCGAACTTGGGCGTATGCGTCTGTCTCTGCAGAGTCTCACCAACCACCTGCACCCCCAGAGGAGGCTCGTCCAGCAAGAGACACTTTGCCATGCATGCCAGTGGCAGCGCCAGGAGTCAAGGCATTAGCCAACCCGCAGCCTGCAGGCACATACGTTGTAGACGTGCCTCCACCACAAGCCCCACTGGCACTTGAAGCAAAGGGGAGGGAAACAGGATTTCAGTTCTTCACTCTTGACGCGGACAGCGGCCCTCCCACGCCGGCAATGGGTCCAGCCGATTTCCCAGTTCAGCCGTCCGAGCAAGCCAGTGGCGATGGCGATACTCCTGCTGCTGGTGTGGCTCTGAGAGAGCTGTAGGAGGGTTGACAGCTCTCTCAGCTTGAAATATGACTTTTTCTGTGCCCTGCTATTGTTGCTGCCCGCCCAGTTCTCGTTTTTGCAATCCTTTTTGCTGCGGCTGCTGCAGTCCCTAAACGGGTGGCTGCTGCTGCTGCATCCTTTCCCCTCCTTTTCTGTGCCACATGAAGCGACTTTGCATCTTAGCATCAGGGCCATTGAGCAACGCCCTAGGAGCACACTTCACTTTCTCCTAGAAAAACGTCGCGCTGTGTGCGCAGGAGGGGGGGAGGGGGAGGAAAGCAGGGGGTGGCTATCGGTGGCACTGCACGTCCGTCTGCCCTCCCGATCTCACTGGGAGTCACCCTGAGGTTTGCAGCGCACCTTAATTAGGAAGACGGCCCGAGCATGCGTGCTGGGAAGAGGTGGGGGGTGGGGAGGGGGCCTCTACAGGCTTCACAGAGGCTGGCAGAACTGCAGTGGGAAAGCTTTCCGTTCACGTTTGCGAATTGAAGTCAGAGGACATAGATTTCGAGTCTCACCCGACCACCCCACTGATGCATTAGCAGTGCGTTTGGAAGTCGTGGTGCAAATACTGAAAGAACGAGACCTATCGGAGGAGGCCTCGTGAACTGTCGTGCCTGAGGGTTCCAAGCAGCAGTATATTAGCCATCGCAAGGGCTTACGCCTCCATGTTGTTGCCCTCGGCCTTTTTATGTGTTTGGCCGATAGAGACGAGTCACCTCAGATGTACTTCTTTAAGAGGCCCCCGTGCCTCCTACTTTGAAATAGTTCGCAAATTTACGTGCATGAAGGTTTGCCCTCAGCACAGAGCATGCAAGTTGAGGATAGAGTCAACTCAGGCGAGCCGACGAAGCCCCCCAGCAGTTGAAGCATCAGAACGTCTCGCCTGTTTGCCGTTTGCCCGATGCTTGTGGTTCAAATAATGCACAGAGAGGGAGCACGTCTGCCCTCTACGTGCATCGGCTTCCAGCCACCGCGAGGTCTTGGAAGGCACTTGCACTAGAATTTACTGCAGCTGGTAGCAAGCCAAGCACACGCATTTACGTCTTTAGTACTGGGGGACGCACCAGGGTTTGCCCGTTTTGCGATTTAAGTCAACCCAGAAAAAATGCTGTACCTGAAAGCCAATGCGGAGGTCGAGTCCTTGCCCTATTGTGCTCGATTGTAGAGGTACCAGTGGCTCTCCTGGTAATTTCTGTCCCTCAAGTGCTCGTCCTCCGCAGCGGCAACTCGCCTCCTGCATTGACAGGGGCTTAACCCTCTTGAAAGCTAAGGTCGTCTGCTTTGTACCATGCACCTAAGTACCTTGTTCGTGGTGTCTCTTGCCTCTTTGGAGGGGCGTGTGCGCGTGGTGGTTCGCAGGCTCAGTGTGCTTTTTACCCGTAGTGGCGTAGAAGGATGTGAATGGCACGCGCCTGAGCTACCTCCTAGGGCACCAAGGAGAAGGGAGCGCTGTTGCCAGCAGCTACTTGTTACCCACGGAAGAGCTCCCACTGAGAACGTTCTGCCTGTGTGCCACTTGAGTGACTTGTGGTTTCCAGCGCTCACAAAGGGCTATGCAATGCGAGCCCAAAATGCCATAAAGGACAAGGAATAGAGAATGGCCGAACTTTTGTCCCTCAGGCTCATTAGAATGCACTGCTGCAGGAGGCGGTAGCGGTGCGAGCTTCAGGCATTACTGCAGAGGATTTGCCTCGAGGAAACAGGCAGACAGACACAGGATTCCTCCTGGTGGTTTCCTTGCTCTCTGTTCCCCTTAGAATCCCTCTAAATTGCGTACTTTTATGTGGAGAGACTGTATAATGGTGATTTGGACAGGCCGCTTGGCGGCTTTCACGGATAACACCTATGCGTGGCGTTCCATGGCGCAACAAACTGCTACCCCTCGTTTTCTCTCGGGCTTCCCTTGCGCGCCCCCCTCCCCTTCTCCTCCCGAAGCCTCCGCCTTTCACACCAATGCAATGCAAGACAATAAAGCCTGTAGGCCGAAGCCTCATTCAGCTGAGTCTCGCCTTCACCCTAGATAAGGCAGCACCGAAGGAGTGCTCTTGCAACAGATGTCTCTTTGGCTCCGCACGGTGCTACGTGGACAGCTAGGACTCATAGCGGGGGCTGTATCACCCCAGAATTACGCATGCACTGGCCTTTGGGGGCTGCAGTGCCTCTTAGAGGTGAAGACCTAGGAGATGCCATTCCACGGATGTCCAACTGCGGAAGTTGCGCTACCACGCTTAGATATCCAATCGCAGCAACTCGCTTTTTTCAGTCTACAAATTCCAATTTACTTCCATTAGCGTTCCCCCATTGATAGCATCTGAAAAGAAAAGACACGACAGACAACGGGCTGCATGCTGAGATGGCCGTAAGGACGAGTGGCTAGATAAGAGGCGGCCTCTTGCATTGGGGTGAGCTCCGCTGCGTCTCATGTCTTCCAAAACGCAAAAGCTACCCACGAAAGGTCATTTCTGAGAGCGTGGTCGGTCCCTTTCGCATTCGTGTAGCGTCGGTGTCACAGTCCTGTGAGTCGCTGCAGCCAACGCGTCCGACGGCATCAGCATTTGTGTTTTTCGCCGAACATGCAGCTGGCGCCTCCTCTTCCCGTTTTCTGAGGCACAAGTGATGCACCGGAAGGGGCTAGGAGGCTCAAGGCTGGCGAACTGCACTGCAGCGGCACCAGCTGTCCGCACAGCTCCCGAGCTGCTGCTGCTGCTGCTCTAAGGGCTCAAGATTTCCGGATGCTCCCGACGCCTTCAGGTATTTCGGGGATGCCCTTCGGCAGCGGTGGGCTCCCCTCCAGTATCCCTTTGACCAACGGCCACACGACAGCGTCCAGCAGCTGCGACTTCCGGTGTGGAAGCAGACCCCCCGCATGCACGCGATTGACGGTTGGAGGTTTCAGCGACAGCGGACTCATCACGCTCCTCACTTCAGACAGGCAGTCCTTCTCAATCCCCAGCTCTCTCATTCCCGGTCCGACGCAGCGCACACCCCTTCCTCTGCAGCTGCTCTGCTTCGCTAGATGAGGCAGTAAGGAAGGCCTCACGACTGCATGCTAATACCCTCAAGCCCGAACAGTGGTTTACTCGCGGAGGAGTTGCGGAATCCCTGCTGCTGTTGCTGCTGTCCAAATGTTCCCTCAGACACCCTCGAGGTCGGCAGTGTAGTGACGCTGTCCATTAGAAGGAATTCTTCCGAGGAGGCCGCACGGCGCAGTGCTATCCTCCAGGTGTGTAGAGTGACGGAGGCTTTCTCCCCCCCTTTCCGTGGCATTTCTTTCTTTTGAGATCTTCAGGCCACAGATATCGATCTGCCGTCTATTTTCCCTTCCTTCATCCTTAGAAATCCGCGTTTTTCCTGTGTGCGTCGTCTGCGAGGGGGTCTCAGCTACAAACCGACATACTAAGAAGCATTGACAGCCTCAGCAAGCCACGACCAAAGCGACTCACAGACCCCTTGCTGCTGCTGCCGGACGACTAGAAGCAGCGGCACTTGCAGCAGCCGCTGCAGTAGGCGTGCTGCCCCTGCAGGCGAACTCCTAGCTCCACTCAAATAGAAGCTCCTTCGTCGGCGTAGCATTCTCAAGCGTGACGACAGTCGAGATCAACACATCACCCGCAGCGCTGCAGAGCGCACGCGCATGAACTTTCGTGCGGCGACCCCAGTGATGATGGATCGGCAATCGTCTGGCAAGGAAGCAGCAGCAGCAGCAGCGGTGCCTGCTGATGCAGAAGGCCACGCTGTTGCCGCTGCAGCTGTGGCAGAAGGAGCATCAGCAACGACGGCGCAACAAGCAGCAGTATCTACGGAGAATGGCTGGGCAGAAGTGCCCGCACTCCCCCCTTTCAATTTCATCGATGTCTTGAGGCAGCAACAGATGATGCTCTCAAAGCTCATTTACTGGAGCAGCAGCACCAGCAGCAGCACCACTACCAACGGGGTTTATGCCTACCTGCATGTGGATCTGACTCACAGCAAAGGGCCGTCTTTGATGCACGATAAACGGGAACTTTCTCTGCCTTTTTCTGTCTCGCAGTCTCTCCTCGATCCTCGCGTTGCCTCAGAGCAGCAGAAGCTGTGCGACTCAGAGGCGGCCGACACCCCCGCCACGTCACAGGCAACAACTTCTGCTCCTGGCTGCTTGTTCATGTTGGAGGACTTGTACTTGTGTGAGCCATGTGGGAAGGTTTTGTCGCCTCTCGATGTACGTGAAACTCCCCCAGCAGTATTTGCCCTTTAGCAGTGGCTCCCTTCGATTGATCTACGTCTCGTGCCTTGCGAAGGGCCAAGGCTTGAGAGCTTGGCTCAATAGTGCAACTTCTGTCGGTGCAGGTTTTCGACGAGGTCGAGTGCCACATATGCCCAGGGTGCTTGGATGTTCTCCCGCCTGGAGAGGCCTCCGCTTGTGGCTTGCGCTGTGGCAAGTGCTTTACCTGCCCGAGGTGTCTGCACACCTTGTCGCTCGCTAGAAGGCGGAAGGACGAAGAAGGGCGAGGGCATCTCGGTGCGTCTCCTTTGGACGGTGCAGCTGGAGCCGCGGCAGCGTTCCCATTTGCACAGCCTGAGGACGAAGTGGAGGACCCTGCCGTTCTTGCTGCGCGCTTCGACTCTGCGGCTGCAGCGGCGGAGGTCGCCGCTAGAGCTGCTGCTGCTGCTGCCTCGGACTGCGATCGGACGTTGGAGACGCAAGCAGCGGGAGGAGGAGAAGCAGCGGCAGCGGCTGCTGCTCGGGAGGGTGAGCGCTTCGTTATTGCTGCATGCGAAGGAGACGCTGGGGAGGTCACAGAGCAACTGGAGGAAGCGGGGTGCTTCGCCAGTTTTGTCGCCCCACAGCGCTGCGACAGTCTTTTATCTGTTCCCAGCCTTGATGGAGATGCAGCTGATGACGCCGAAGGGGCAACTGCTGGAGGGGAAGATCCTATTCCTGCGCCTGCACGAGCAGCGTACTGCAGCAGGGCGCATCTCTACTTTTACTCCTGTGCCCACTGCAGTTGGACTTCCGAGGCGGCAGACATTGCGTCTTCCATACCTGCAGTGCTCCCCTTACTGGCTTCCCAGCACCAAAGAGAGGGCCTCGGCGTCATCGTCTTCGAAGAACTGATGGAAGTCTTGCAGCACAATGCTTTCGAGAAGGAAAGAAGGAGGCAGCTGCAGCAAACCGTCAAGAGCCATGCTGTCGCTGCGCTTATTGCCGCTGCAGCCAATCCGCACAGCAGGGAACCTGCGGCGCTTCCAGTAACAGCAGCAGCAGCAGCAGCAGCAGCCCCTTGGAGGCTTAAGGACGCTCAAGAAACGGAAGCACAAGGGGAAAAACAACTCAGAGAGATGAATATCTGGACGTACAGAAGACCCTCGCGGTGGGCCTTTGCCCCTCCCCAGGTGCCACTTGCTGCCATCGCGGAGGGCCAGCACTTGCAATGCAGCGTGAAAAACACTCTTGCAGCCGCTGCTGCTGCTGCTGAGCGCGTTCGAGCAGAAGATGCAAAGGAAGCGGCGGCAGAAGACGCGTCTGCCACCTACTCGCTCTCTGCCGCAGAAGATATGAGGCGTTACCCCGCATACACGGAACCTCTGCATGCAGAACAGCTGCTGATAGATACAGGACACCCAGACATAACTCCCGTATACAGTACAAGCCGTGTCTTTACTGCAGCTCGCTGCCTACGCATGCACGATAGAGTAGGGCTGCAGGAGCTGCTACAGGCTCCCGAGGCATTTGCCGCTGCCGCGGCGGGCAGTTCTTTTCTGCCCCTGAAGAGGCGCTTGCTCTTGCCACGCTGCACCAAGCGCTGCTGCGATTGTGAGCGCATTATAGTCAAGCCTCAGCTTAGTCCAGAGGCTGTGCCGCCATTTAGAATAAATCATTCGGCCGCTTTGCTGCTGCCCTCCATCGACTGCAGAGTGGTAGGCGATGTAGGCCATCTGCTGCAGGGAGAGAAGGGAGTGGTGCTCCTTGCCCTCACCAGCTGTGCAGACTCCCCCGTTACTGTCACTCTCATATCCGCTACCAAGGGCTACATGCAGCGCGGCAAACAACTGCCGCAAAAGCAACAGCTGCAGGGAGGCGAGACAGAGGGGCAGGCAGGAAAACGAGACGCCTGGTGGAATCTAGACTGGAATGGAAGCTTAACGGTCGAGCTTGGTGCCTATGACGAGCTTCTAGATGAGCTTGGGGGCGCTCAGGGGGAGGCCTCAGAGAAACCCCCGGATGGGCTGGATGAGGCTCTCACCGGCACCGGAGACGCCGTCCTCGCTCAGTGGGGCAACAGTGCCTTGCTCAGGCTTGAGGTCAGCGTACACCCCAACTGTAGCGACACAGTTGCAGTGCTACCATTTGCTGCAGAAATCTTCTCGGGCAAGAAGGATTCTGCGCCCATCTTTAGGCTGCAGTATGTGGGCATAATGGGAACAGGAGCTCGGCAGGCAGCCTCCTCGAGCGTGAAACGCACTGAAACCATCTAGCCAACAAGAACGTTATTTTTTTACTCTGCGTCCTTTCTTATGCACCGCGAAACCTGTGGTGGGTGGCCTAATGAGCGATGGGTTGTAAAAACTCAGGTGCCTCCCGTGGTTAGTGAACGGCGTTCGGTGGCGCGTCGTCCGCTGCTTAAACACTTGTTACTCTTTAGGGAGCATGGTATGTGCGATCTATCAGAGAGGCGTGAAGAGGCACTCGAAAGTCCTGTCTGCCCGATGCACATCTCTCGTGGACCTTAGTGAGAGGGTGAAGCGTTTCGTTGCTGCACGGTTGTTTTCTACAAATTTATACAGCCCTTCCCGATGTGTATGATGTTTAGGAGCCATCTAACGGCTACTAGATTTAGACGGACGACCTCGAGGCCGCAAAAAAGTGGGAAGCTCTGCTTTCCGAAGTGTCTTCTGCCTGGTCTTACCCGTGGCGTGGGGGTCGTTCCTTGCTTTTCCTCACTTTCGCTAGCTTGCTACAGCCAGAGGATACACTAAAAGCTAAAAAGAGGATGAAAAGAGGCAAGGAGGGATGGAGTGAAGGTGTCAGAGTCTTGAGGCTTGTGTCATACTACCTGGCATTTGCTCGTGCATTGCGCCAGTGACCTCTGTGCGCATTATTCACATACGGAGCCCTGCGCACGCAGCACTATCTTAATGGGTAGCATACAGTGGAAAGGCATATCAGAACAATCTTTGAAACCACCGCACCCCGTATGAATGCTAGTGGACGCACACTTCGCTGCTACCTCGGCACTCTACCACTGAGGTGTCTGGTGCCCTGCGAGTCCGGAGATGCTCCGTGGCTGTGTCTTGCCGCCGGATGCGACCCTCGTGCTGCAATTATAGCTGATCTACAGAGGAATTCGACTCTTTATATTTCTAACACTAGATAATACGGTTGTATTTGCCTTTCTCTTTCTCTTGCCAGAGGTCACTGGAGCGCCACTGGTTTGCAAGGCCTGCTGGTCCTCTTTTTGTTCGTTGCTGCACCCGCCTAGGCTTGTTGCAGTGCCTTTCTTTTGCTCACTAATATAAAATTTCCTGAATACTTTCAGCTCATAGGGGGATTCAGCCTATTTCGAACCCTGCCCTTCCAGTCGTCGGAGCCTTGGACCTCCCACTCCGGCGCCGAGGGATTTTCTGAACTCTGTTATTTCGTTCTCATGCACTCCACGAGAGCCCACTACAGCCTTTAGGGTCAAAAGTACTATTCTGGGTGTGTGGAGTGCCTTTTAAGTGCGTCTTTCTCCCCACTTCTCGTGTGTCCCTTTACGCCTCATCTTCAGCTGACGGGGACACGCACGGAGATGGGTGACCTCACGAATCAGTGGGGAAGGCTGTGGTGCGCCACCTTCATGTATATGCTTCCTGCTCTTTATGGAGGGCTGATGCTCTGGGTTGGCTTTAACGTGAGTGCCACTAGCACGACAGGCAGACTCTTTGTCTTCTGCTGCATCATCTTTGGGGTTGCCTGCTGTAGCACAGCAGCAGCGGGCCTCTTCGGAGTTTGGGGTCGAAACGAGCCTGCCATTCGCGCTACCATGGTGGTTTTTATTGTGGAAAATATATTGGCCCTCCAGGTGGCCATTATCTTGTCGGTACATATGTTAAGGGCATACTGGGGGACCCCGCAGTCCTGCACCGCTAGACCCCCCGTGCACGCCCCTGATCCGAGTTCCTTCCATGCATCCAGACCAGACTCACCAGAAGCAATTCTGGGGGGGAGCGAATCCCATGAAATAACCAAGCTAGGGGTGCACGATCTGGTTTTTCTGCTGCACTGTCCACCATGGCACGAGGCAGCGGTAGATGTTATTTGTGTAGTCTTGCTCCTCTCATGCATCATAACAACCTGCTATGTTGGGGTCTTGTCGGATCTACAATCAAACTTGGACGCCGAACTGCTACTCGAGGATTCCCAGGTGCTCAAGAAAGATTTCGATGATCCTCATATCACAAAGCCCTTCCTCCCTCCCCCGGAACCGATAAGCACACCATCCGTCAGCAGCAGCAGTAGTAGAGAAGAATTGTCTGCCAAGCCATGTGTTACACCAAGTGCCGAGACCTTCAGTGCCGGCTCCGAGCACTTGGATCCCCCGCCAGGATCAAACAGCAACGTCTAGCGCAAGCCTCAAACTCAGGACAGTCCCAAAGCAGCGAAATATGGAGGCACAGGACAGCTCCGTCTGCTCTTTTTATGACCATCGAAAGCTGAAAAACAAGGAGTTAGACAGCAGGTACTGTACAGATTTCCTATTTCAGGGCTGCTGCAATACGAGGGTATAGCTTGGGTGGAAGGTGGAATCGCGCTTTTACATTAGCCCAGACAGCTTGTATGCAGTAAAACCCCAGTGTGTCTAACTCACCTAATGGCACGAAAGCCAGAAGTCCGGGAAACAAGGCAAGGGCAGCGTCAGCTACTATTCATGCCGTACCGCCAACATTCGTTGTGGTCAAGTACTTCCTTTCAGCACCTACAGCCTAATGCAACCAAATCCATTAGAAAAGCGCATGATCTCTTTTTTATTACCACCACACGTAACTCCACTGGCCAAAGGATTCTTCCCACTCTGAGAATCTTAGATATTTTAAAAGCAGTGTGAGCGCGTGCACCCATACATTAGCATGTGCATGCTTGCATAGCAGGGTGGAGGTCCCGTAGGCAACGTGGGGAATCCAATACGCCGAACCAAGTAGAGGTTCCAAGGCAGTGGTTCAAAGTCAGCTTAGGCACATTCCCCCATAGTAGTTCTATTTATACAGGATAAAGTCATACGTTGACTGTTTGACGTGGTTGCTTTGCTTGCTTGCATAAAAGGTATACGTAGCTCCAAACTAGCAGAGTGAGTGCTGTAGTGCTGCGCTAAAAGCTACCAAGTGCTCCTGCTTTGGTTACCCAGAGTGCTTAAAGGGTGAAGCAGCACGCATCCCAGCTGTCCGCCGTCCCCTCAAGCCGTGCAAGTGTGGTGGGGGCAGAGCTTCGGGCGAGGCACGTCTTATATAAAGACACTAGGGAGCATTCCCTGTGCTCTTGAATGGGGTGTGGGGCCAGGGGCCTCCTTTTAATGGCAATAGAACAACGGCTGCGATGTGCCAGCTGAGCCCGCCAAAGCCTGGGGTTTCCTGAGCCGAGCATTCCTCCCAAAACAGTGTCTCTCCCTGAAGGCATGCCGTAGCACGCAGCTGTGCTGCAGGTCACTTAATCAAAGAAACGCTCGGGCTTTCCTGAATTCCATGCGAAAGGAACAGTGGAAGTAGGCAACGTGTTTTAAGGCTTGGCAGTAACAGTGTTACAATGGAGTATTCTGTCTTCTGGAAACAGTAGCGGGAACCAGCTCCACTACATATGCCATATACAAGCAGATTTAGCACGTATGCTTTCCACGTGGAAGCAGCAGGGGGTTCAGGTGTGCTCTCACCTGGGCTGACACTGATCTTCTATGCGGATCAAAAGATCCAACCCTCTAAACGTACAAAAAACATGAACAGAACACTGCACAACCGTGGCTGAAAGTTTCAGCTCAGTGTGCGAGCTTGCAACATGAACAACCTAACGGCTCGGATGCTTCCGACGGCTCGGAAGGGCCCACCAGCACAAATGGCAGTCAAGTGACTGACTGCCGAGCCAAGCGTACGCCACTGAGGCTGTGTAAGGAGTTTGTTGCCTCCTTTCAAGTTTATTTACTAATTAGGTAAATATTGTCGAGGTCCCATTAGAATCGCAAGGATTAACCGCTAACAGACACAGGACGCTTCCAGCCCTCCTCAAAGCAGCGCATGGCTTTCGGCAGCAGCGCTTTTTTGGAAGCTAACTCTAGACCCTGCCTCTCAATATCCAGAATCTAGGACTTGAATTAGATAGGGGCTTCGAGAAGAGGCTCTTGCACCCGGCAGGAAAAGCAACATCCGGCGCATCTACAGCAGCCCCTGCATCCGCCGAGTCCAGAATAGAAACAATCCCGACGTATCTGTAAACTTGCCCAGGGAAAGGCACTGGGTTGGGATCAGATTCGCTATCAGGGTGTTTAAATCATTTAGTTTCTCCAAACCCCGCAGACACTCATTCCGCAGGCCATCAGCTTCAATTTCGTCAGTTGCAACAGCTGCAACCGCAACTCGGCCCTAAAGGTTTGCTTGCGCTTTTGGAAGGAGGCGCGTCATGAGAGTCTCAGCGCGGTGGTCATTTGCGTCGATGTTTCCCCCGTATTCACGGAGTCTCTACACTTAAGAAACAGCTCCATCGTGTGTCTGCCCACCTCGGGGTGCTAGGAAGCACTGGACCAGGTGTTTTCGCGAAAGGTTTCTGGTCGATTTGCGCCCCCTCCCTCCTTGCATGAGCCGTTCTACCTCTATTCCCAAATGTATTTCCTTGTAAAATGGCTCTGCGTGGCGATCGTGCGCTCCTTCTTCAAGGAGGTCGCCGTCATCTACAAGGAGAGGATACCCCTTTACGGTCCAGTGCGTATTGCACACACACACAGCAACCATTCACGTTCGTACCGGAGAGTTTATTCACCCTTATCCTTCATAGAGACCTCTCGAACCCGCTCCAATGAGGCTCTCATGCGGCAGCTGATGCCCTGCTGCGTACTATGCCTTCTGCCGTGTGCAGTTTTCTCCGGTGCTCCTTGTATCGTGCCTGCCACCCCTTTCATCTCTCTCTCGTTTTCTCGCTGTTCATGAGTGTCACAGTTCATTCACGCGACTAGAAACCTCCTCGTTTCTTCAAAGAATCCGGCCGCCGTCCACTGTCTCGTTGAGTGTTCCTGCAGGTCATCTTCGTCGGAAACCATAATAACCAATTCCTCGATGCATGCGTCAGTGCACACCTCTGAGTCGCTTTTAGATTCGCTGTAGAAGCACCGTATGCAGCGCTGTTAAGGCCCGCGGAAATCCTAGAGAGCTTCCACTTGGCATTGCACTGATAGGACCTTAACGCATGGATTCAACGTACCATCGCCGTTCAGGTTATTTTTAGCCTCTATGTGCCTTCAAACATATACAAGCAGCTCTGCGTGTCTCCACATGCTTGCGTTGAATGTATACACCGCATGTGTGAAGGTGCTGATGCAGAGTGTTGCATACCATGCGCGGAATGCACGTCTGGTTTTTGAGTCTCTCTGTCTGTAGCGTTACACGCATATACTTGTATGTGTATATGATCCTTGTTTTATCACTCGGATATTCCATGCGCTTTGTTCTTGGACTGATCCGTAGCCACCCCACTTTTGCAGATGATCGAGTCCTCCATGAGCATCGATCTTTAGTGTAGGGTGGTCCATCGACAGTTCATGCTTTTAGCAAGAGCGTGAAGCTGTTGGCGTCTTGTGTATGTATATGTATATGTTTGTATGTGTATATGTATATGTACATGTTTTTATGTGTGTATGTATATGTATATGTTAATATGTATGTGTATATGTTTTTATGTGTATATGCATATGTTTTCATGTGTGTATGTTTATGTGTGTGTGTTTGCGTGTGTGTGTGTATGTATGTGGCTGCCTCAGATGCTTGTTTCCATCATTCCCCGCCAGGTTCGGTTCCTCATCGCGGCGAAGTCGCTGAAGCGACGAGTTGTTGGATGCCTTGCCAGGATGGCTGCCTGCATTGGCGTTCGCAGAGGTGAAGACGAGAGCCGCAAGGGCAGTGGAATGCTGAGAGTTATGCCGGGTACCAAAATTTTCGACGAAGGCCTCGTGGGAGCTGACACTCAGCAGCAGCAAAACCATCCGCAGCAGACACACCAGATGCAACCTCTGCAGCCTCCGCTAGGAGATGGCGAGGGCGCGACGGGTGAAGGAGCAGCCAGCGAGAACAATCAGCCCAGAACATGCCCAAGCACCAGTTTTACCAGCAACAATTCCCTTAAAAGCGTGCAGAATTCAAGTTTGAACGGCGGCGATGGACTGGAGAGGCCTCGTGCTGCGGCGGGAGCAGCAGCGGTTCAGGAGGCCAGTCGAGCGGCTCAATCGTTTTCCTCTCGTTGGATATCTCTGTGTGTGAAGGGCATAAATACGCGCTTTACAAAAGAAGTCTCCACGGGTGACACGATTATAACGCCGTCGGGGGCGTACCACGTGAAGGCCGTGTTCAGCGACACCAATATGCTCGTTAGTGCAGATCCGCAGCCATTGCCGCCCTTTTCGTCACTGCACCGCAACGAGTCGTGGGGTGTCCCTACACTCCACGCCGCTGCTGCTGCTGCTCCTCCTCATGCAGATGAGGTCGTTGTTCCCAGTGCTGCTTCCGCCACAACGGCGACAGCAGCAGACAGCGAGCTGCTCGCAGGCGCCCCCTCCGCCTCGCCAGACACCGAGCACGACGCTGCAGTTTTCGTTTGCGGCGGAAACAACAGCCACAGGGGAACTGGCGAGGGTGTCGGCGAGCTGCAGAGGGAGCAGGGGGGAGCTGCCCATGACGAGGTGCCGCTGCAGAAGGCCGTGGAAAGATCTGAGCGCGCAGCAGCAGGAGACTCCGAGGAGTTCTCGTCAGATGGCGTCTTCAGAGATATCCGTGCGACTGCCGCAGCAGACGCAACGGATGCAGCCGCTGTGGCGGATGCAGCAGCAGAAGAAGCGGCCCGCGTTGCTGCTGCTCTGGCAGCAGATGCAGCCGCAGCCGCAGCTGAAGCGTCTGCTGCAGCGGATGCTGCAGCAGACGCAGAGTATGCTGCTGCTATCGCCGAGGCAGCACTAATGTTGAATAAAAGGGGCACTGGCAGCGGAGGCAGTCTGGGGAACAGCGCGCATCACCACCACCATCACCAACAGCAGCAGGAGCAGCAGCAGCACTTTAAAAAGGCAGAAGACGACACGGGGTTGAGGCGCCGGGTCGTCTGTCAGGCGTCAAAGGAGACAGCAGCCAAGGAAGTTGCAGCTGTAGCAGCGTCTGCGGCAACAGCTGCACACGGCCGTGCAGCTAGCTCGTGCAGCAGCGCAGGTGCTGCAGCAGTCGCTGCAGCGGCTGCCGCTGCTGCGCAGGCTGCGGAGGCAGCCCTGGCAGCAGAAGCAGCAGCGCTAGAGGTGTCTGCTGGAGCAGCAGAAGACGAGGATGACGCGTTCGGACCACCCGTGGAGTATAAAGTAAGACACACACAGAGTGAGAGAGAGAGAGAGACCTTTTGAGCTGCACATGCCGTGGGAGGGGTTGCATGCGTGTCTCGCACGTGCTCTTGAGATGGGAGAGCAACAACAATGCGATGAATGGGCTGAGCGCTGAGTGCCCCCCTCGAGAGCTAAGGCACTGCCACTGGACGCAGACTAGCAACATGGGGGTGTATAGGTGGGCATGGCGGGGGAGAGATGGATCGTATACATATACATACATATATCTATATATTTTAGATGTTTCGCGTGAAAGCAACAAAGCCTCCTGTCAAGGCTTCTCCAGTCTGCCGGTGGTGGCCGATTCACCTCGTGCGTGTTTTTTTTGCAGATTGCACCGCGGATAGATCAATCCAAAGTGTACGAGTCCGTAACAGAAAGTCTCGTCGAAGGCGACACTATTGGTATTTTTCCTGAGGCAAGTTGTTCTGTGCCTGTGTGTATTTTGCGTGCGTGGGGGCGTCTTTGGTTTGTGTGCCGAGTTGCTGTTGCGGTGGCTGGCACGAGAAATGCCGTCACGAGCAGTGAATCGCTTGTTGAAGCGGTAATCTGAGCGCCCTCTTTCCCCCTCCTTCCCCCTCTTTCCCCCCCTCCTGAATGTTTGAGAAGACTCCTGTGTCGTCCCCTTCTGCAGGGGGGAAGCCACGACCGAACAACGCTGCTGCCGTTGAAGGCGGGAGTCGCTATCATGGCGCTTACGGCGATGCAGCACGGGGCAGAGGAAGTGCTTCTCGTCCCCGTCGGCTTGACTTACCACAACCCCCACAAGATGCAATCGCGAGCGAGCGTCCACATTGGCGACCCTGTGCCTGTCCGTCCTTATGCGTGTTATGCCGCGTTTTCTCCCAGAGATTCTTGCTTTTCCGTCTTGTCGAGCAAGCGATAGCCGAGTGCGTTCTGCTTCCTGCACGCATGCGCTTGCCGCTTCCACTGGTCTCGTGCTGCGTCTCCCTTCAGGTGACTCGCGAGATGGCCCTCGACTACGCCGTCGATCGGAGAGGCGCAACAGCAAAGATCCTCAACCAAGTCGAGCGAGTAAACTTGGCTGCTGCAGCGGGTGCTCGTGTTGCAGCGGGTGCTCGTGTTGCAGCGGGTGCTCGTGTTGCAGCGGGTGCTCGTGTTGCAGCGGGTGCTCGTGTCGCAGCGGGTGCTCGTGTTGCAGCGGGTGCTCGTGTTGCAGCGGGTGCTCGTGTCGCAGCGGGTGCTCGTGTTGCAGCGGGTGCTCGTGTCGCAGCGGGTGCTGCAAATCGTTTTAGCGCGGGGGGTTTCTGGGGCAGAGGCGTCTGCAGCTGCAAACAAACTCTCTAGTGTCTGCTGCAGCCTCTCTTCTGCCTCCAATCAAGCGGAAAATCTCTAGCGCTGAGTGGCGTGTTGCTGTGCGCAACAGGGCCTTCGCTCCTGCATTGTTACCGCTCAGGATTATGAAGCCATGGCACAAATTCGTCTTTGTGCAGTGAGACGAGTTCACTCTGCCCGTTGCTGGCCTTCTCCATACTTCCATCACCGTGCCTAAAGACGTTCCTCCACCAGCATCCCTGGTTGTTCGACCCTCTTCAAACGCTTGCAAAAAATATTCCCCTCTCTGCGTCCATATTTTCTCCCCACCGTGTGCCCCCGCCTCACCATTGCACACCTGCCCCTTGCATCTTATTTCTTCCCCACCCCCTCTCCCTCCCTTCTCGCTTTTTTTAATGGCTCGCCGCAACGAGTCTTTCAAACGCTCTTGGTATGCACCGGTAGCGCCCAGTGCATGCACATGCATGCATGCATGCAGCGGCCCTTTCCTCACCATTTTTTGATTGTTTGCTTTCGCCGTATTCGAGTCGCTTGAGACGCGCACTGCCACCCTCTTCTCTTGCCTTCTTAGCCAAACGCTTCTTCACACGACTCCATCTTCAGTTTGACCTGCTTGCCTGTCTGCCCCTGTCCGTTTAGAGTCTGTATCCCCCGGAGCGCCTGCGGCTGGCGGAGGCACGCTACTTCCTCTTGATGCAGCTTATCAGCAAAATCTTCTGGCGCGCTGCCCACAACCCCAGTGAGACTTGTTACGCAGAACACTGCCAGCAGCGAGACATCGGACTCCTCACGCTGCCTCTCCGTCTGCCGCCCTCTCCCCATCCTTTCCCCTTCATTCTCCTCTTGCAAAGAGAGAGAGAGAGCGAGGAAAATGCTCAAAAACACTGCGCCCGCCTCTTGCTAGCTAAGATAAACCCGCTTCAAAGTGGCATCTGGCGTTAATGGAAACAGTTCTCCAGTCCCAACATTTTCGCTTTGTCTGCTTCTCGCTCGCTTGCTCGCACGCTCACTTTCTTTCTTTCTCTCTCTCTTTGCGAGCGTCTGTCTGTCTCTCTCTGTGTGTGTATGCGCGTATTTGTCTCTCTGTGTGTTTGTCCCTCTCTCTCTGTCTCTCTTAGTGTGTATATATGTATATGTCTGCCTGTCTGTTTTTGCTCTGCCGCTCGTTGTCTTCCTGTATGTCATCTCCTGTGCATATGGCGTGTTTGTGCCCTCCCCTTTCTCCCGCCAGCCACCCGTGGAGTGCATGCGAGGCCTCATTGTGCTGGGTTCTTGTACTGCGCAGTACTGCTGGACTTGCGGCAGAGCCTCACGCATTACGCCTCTGCATTAGAGACTCGACGGCTAGCTGACCGTCAAGTTTGGTTGCTGAAGCAGTCGCCCTCTGGTGCCACACTCTGCCTAGCAGAGACGCTTGTTGCTATAGTTTACTGTGCAGCAATTGTAAGTTCTCGACAATGCAGTGTGCGTATGTATGGGTGTATACATGTATATATTGTACACATACATATATATATGTATATATTTTGGCACTGGAAATATTCTGGGAGGCTTGCTCGAGGCCTCTTCCTGCCCCCCGTCGCTGCCTTCTCGCCGCTTTGCGGAGACGCAGCTCCACACAGCGCACTGGATCCCCGATCCCTCCTCATCTGACTCTAGCCGTTGCCACGTCTTAATACAGCGAAGGCTGTCTGAAGGTTCCATGTTGGCGGTCGCTGTTTCTCTCTTTCTCTTTTTTTCTTTCTCTCTCTCTCTCTCTACGCACCCCAGTGTCTCTCTGTCTCTCTCGGTTTGTCGACAGCCAGCTGGTCGGCTGTCTGTCTGTTTGTCTGTCTGTCTCTCACGCTGTACACTATTCGGCTGCACGTCTCCGCGCGCTGCTCCTACCCTGTGCGCCACAGGGCCTCCCCCTACTGCCTCTCTGGGCCCCTCTGCGAATTATAGCCAACATCCTCGCCGATAAACAGAGACAGAAGGTTCGACGCCGCAACCCCCCTCCCCTCCACGTACTACTACCCATCACCACCCACCACTCATTTTACCTTCTCTCCCCATGAACACGCTTGTCCTCTTTTTTTCGTTCTCTTTTTCTTCTCCTCTCTTGATTCCAAGCGCTGCTGCTGGCTCTCGCCGCTCTGCCCTTGTCTCTCGAAAAGCCGCAGTCCGCCTGCAAGCATGAGCAGCTCGTCTTTTCCCATTCAACGGCTACCCTGGCACGTGTTTCCTTTCGAGTTCTAGTGCATTGTATTTTCATGCCTCTGCTGTCTCTCAGGCCGTCCGGGAGAGCCGCGTGAAGCTGAAGGGGATGGACGTCGTGGCAAGCTACAAGATCATGGTGCTCCTTGTCTTAGTCCCCTTGTTCAACCTCCTCTATGGCGCAGTCTTTGGGCTCGTCTTTTTAAAGTGCGTCCGCTGTCTGCAGTGCCGACCTTCTTGCGCTTGGCTTGCGCGCCTCGATGCGCCTGTGAAAATACTTTTCATCGTTCCCCCCCCCTTCCGCACGAGAACTCTTGACTCTGTCTAATCCTCTCACGCGATTCTCCTTGTGCTTTCCAAAGAAGCTTCCGCTTTCTGCCGTATTTCCTGGTCTCACGGGATCCGAGTCTCTTTGTTTCACGAGCTAGCACTGTATGTGTGGGTGTGGGTGTGTGCCGCATCTCGTGATAACTATGCACCTAGCTTCTCCCTCTGCCTGCCTGCTTGCTTGCCTGTCTGTCTGTCTGTCTGGACGTCAGTCAGTTTCGAGGGGCTGTTTGCCCACTCCGTACCGCCTGCGCGTAGCGCCACTTCATGCATGCTCTGTGCTGCTCCCTGAGTGTGTGTTGCGATGTTTTCGCGCATTGGCATGCAGGACGTGGCTCGACTTGGTGCTATCGATGCTCACCGCGGTAGTCCTCCTTCCAGTTCTCTACTACTGTGCGCATGCGCCTTTTCCCCTCGCTGTGTGCATCCACCCTTGCGTCTTCCCCAGTTGCTCCTCCCGTAGGCGTAGACTATACATACATATGTATATATACTGCATATACCAATGTCAACGTGCGCGTTTTCAGCGGATCTCTGTCTGTCTGTTCAGCCAGTGCTGTGGGGTGTTTCTTGTTGGCGATGCTGTGTGCTGCGGTTTTAGTTAGCATGCGCAAAGCGGAGCGCCTTTTGCCGCTTTTCCAGCAGCTGCGCATTGTCACGATGGTGGTAGTGGGGAGCGTCAATATATGGAGGCAGACGGACAAGGAGCTTATCACGCAGCGCATCCTGATGCAGATCAAGGTTGGAAGCCTTAGCCCACAGGCAGAAGAAGAAGAGGGTCCTCGACTGCTGGCGTCCTGCTCATCAGCGCTAACTGCATGACTTGCCTCTTGAGCATTGCATGTCGCTTTGCTGAAGTGCGCGGCGGCTCCCTTGCATGCGCGCTGTGTGCTGCTCAGGTCAGAGACGCAGTCCATCAACTAGGACCAGCGGTGTCTCTCACATTTGCGCAAGACATTCAAAGGGCCTTACCGACGGTATGCGTAAAAAGGCTTCTGTTAGAGAGCGCATTTGCGAACGACGGTCCTCTGCGCACCTTCGCCAAGCGGCGTAAAGGAAGCGGGGAAAGGGGCCTCGAGCAAGTCTCTAAAAGGCCACCCGATTGTATTTGCGCATGCACACCTCGTTGCCGACAGATTACGGCTCTCTAGGGGCTTGCAGAGGCTCGCGCTGCAGTGCCGCGGCGGTGTCTCGTGTTTTGGCCTCCTGCTGCTGCTAAGCGTTTCTTGCCGCTTGTTCCTTTTGGCTGTCTGTGGGGTTTTCCGAGCTACGCAAAACACCCTACAGCGCGAAGCGTTAGGGCGACAGGCCTCGACCTCACTTCCTGTACATATATATATATATATATATGTAGAGAGACAGACAGACAGAGCACGCACCAAGGAGGCTGCGCACCTGCTGCGGACTGCATGCGCAGGTACTACTCGACTTGGACACGAAGCGTCTTTTGCGTCTGCGGCGTCAGTTTGCTCCTTTGCAGATGAAGGCGCCCTTCAATGGCGTCACTGAGATCATCTGATATGTGCGACACAGGGGGAAAGGGTAAAAGGCCAGAGGGGGCGGGGAAGGGCCTCTCGAGAGAGTGTGGGTGTACTTCTGTGTCTTTTCTATCCTCGACCCTCATGTGGCGAGTTTCGCTCCTTCTCACCCTCCCCCGCACCCTTCCCCCTGATGCCCTCAGTTTCTGCGCCGCAGCGTCAGTTTCCGTCTTTTCACTTTTGTAGCGGTCACTTGGCTGTCGCAGTAAGCTGCCGGGCACCTGCTGTTTCTTTGGAAAAGTGCCTGCGGGGCACCTGAGTCTTGCTAGTTTCCTTATGGTTAACTATGCATCTAAAAAGATACGACTCTGGCAATTTGCATGCAGCCTCTGCTGCACCGCCACGGCATGTGTGCCAAATGGGCAGTGTCACTCTCCGTCTCGCTGCTTCTTGTGTGCCGCTCCGTTTCGTTGGTGCTACCTCCCCCCTCCCGCCCTTCCCTCGACCCGACTCCCAATAGAGCATGTGTATGTGCGGCACCTAACCCGCGCGGCATTTCGCGCCAAACGCGATTGTGCCTCAAATTGCGACAGTACAGCGACCATCGTAAAGAGGAAAGCCTTACACGGCGGACCTCGCAAGGTGCCTTTCGTAGGCTTCCTCCGCGTCTCTCCGACGGCTGTGGTGCCCGCACCAATGCGTCTGTCACTGTGTATGTGTTTGTGACCTTCGCGATCTGCGGCGCTGCTGCCCCTGCTGCTGCCGCCGCCCAGCAAGCAGAGCTTTGCAGCAGCATGCTGTACAGAATAGCTTGACAGCACTGGGGGCTTTGCGCGCTGCTGTCTTCCCTCCAGTGCAACGCCGAAGCTCCTGTAGCTGCTGCTGCCGTCACTCTGTGAATCACGCCAGTGCGGCTGCTCTTCCGTACGGGCAAAGAGATGCGCGCTTGACATCTTCAAGTCCTCGAGGGCCGCATCGTCCCCAGTGCCTGCTGCAGCTCCTCCAGCCTGGCCCTTAGTTTCTCCTTAATAGCCTGAGGGGCTCGTGTGTCAAAGCTGCGGCGGTGGCACACACAAAAGGACCAAAGCAGTCCCTCCTTCTCTGTCTATACCCATTCTATGGATGCGCCTTTACAGTCTAATATCCATCTATACATTCACCCTCAGTTGTACTCTGCGTGAGAGCGAGGGGGGCCAGGATCTCTCCAGAGAGCTTCTGGAGCGCATAGGTTTTAGAGCACGTGCGTGAGGGTAGTCTTTGCCTACTGAGGGCCTTGCATCCTGCGCTGGAGGTCCTCCAGCTTCCGTTGTAGCGACAGCCGGTGCCTGATGGGATGCGCTACGGGAGCCTCGGAGGTGCTTCCGCCAAAGGAAGCGGCCCTGCCTCTGAAGGAGAGGGAGACGCCCAGGGTTACTGCGCGGCATTTGCTGCCTCCGATCTCCGGCAGCAATAGAACGCGTGAGAGAAAGGAAGGCTTCTGCTCCTTCCGATTCGACAATTCCACGGTCAAGCATTCTGGCGGAATGCCGCAGAGGCCAGCCATCAGAGGAATGGACGCCTCTAACGAGTGCGAAATAGTTTCATCACTGCAGTGCAGTGAGAGGGAGCACCCGCGGAGTGCCTCTTCAGCCTCGCTGTTGGGTGTGGTGGACGCTGCAGCAGCGGCAGTAGAGCCTGCTTCGCTGTCACGCTCCTGCCGGGAGGGCTGCTGCACCGACTTGTTAGAGCCCTCCTGTAGCGCCCGTCTAATGCAGGAGACTGCAGCTTTGATAACGGAGAAGGCGGCCTCTGCGTTGGCATCCTTGCAGTCTGTGAGGAGAACAACGCAAGGAGACACGACTGTGGGGTCCACCACTACCAGCACCAAGGCGCCCCTCGAAAAAAGTAACAGTACACAGCACTATAGGCAACACGGTGAGGCAGAGAGAAGGTTTCCCATGTGGGAGGGAACACAGTGGCTTTGCATGGTGTTCGAGTCAGTGATATACCCTCTGTTGAGGAGGGCCAGGAGCTACAGAGCAACGGCCGTGCACCCCATGGATCTGCCTGGTGGTTGCTGCTGGTGCCATCGTGCTGCCCCCTGGCGAGGCTTCTCTCGTTCCAACGCGCCGTCCCGGAGGGAAAAAAATCACAGAAAAGGGCTAGCGAAAGCGCCTCGGAAATGAAGGGCGCAAACGGATGAAGAGCTCGCAGCATATCCCTAAAGATCCATCCAAGGATATGAGGCCATAGTCGCCCTTGCAGGGTAGTGCTGTCATCAGGGTGCCGCTCTTGGTGCTGCCTCTTGTTCCGGGGGTGAAGATGACGGCGTTTGCAGATCTGATCCGCCAGTTCGGTTTCGACCTGTGCTGCGGGGAGAATTCCCTCTGCGAGTTCGGACTCCCAAAACTCCCAAAGACGTGCAGCAGCGGCAGCGACGTTGCAGCCCTCGAGGTGCATGTACACTTCCTCACACATCCGACTGCAGCTACTGAGGAATGCACACGAGACAGCAGAAGCCACACGACGCGCGCGCATCGGCGGCAAATAATCCCAACGGCCGGTAGCAAAACGCGCCGAATTAGGGGCCATTTTGCCGCTATTCAGCAGACAACCTCGACCGCTTCTAGGGGCCGCAGCAGACTCAACGACTGGACCTAGAGGCTCACCTTAGGGCGCAGCGCTGAGCAACAGATAAGAACTCAGACGATGGAGCACAAAGATTTACGCTGCTGGCTGTTGCGGTGCAACGGCTGCAGCGATGCAGCTTCTCGCGCATATGCAACAAGAGCCTGAAGCGCATGAAGACGCAGCTTGTTGCCCGGTTACGTGTAGTGCCAATGCGCAGAGCAGCGGCCCACCCATGTTGCGGCATATCAAGGAGCAGTCGCATCAAAAGATGAAATTGCGGAAGGGGTGGCAGTAACAAATGGTCGGCACACGATCAAAATAATAGTGCACAGACTTAGTGATCAATGTAGCAACAGTAGCAACATCAACCACATCACCTGGCGCCGTTCCACAGCTTAATGAGGCCTCGTGCTGATCGCTGCACTTTCCGCTCTTCGATAAAGGCCATGCGGCTCGCCCCGCAGCACGCGAGCAGTGAAAGCCTGCAAAGAGGTCAAAGTGATTACAGAAGTCCAGCCTTGGATCTCCCAAAGCCAGGTGTTTTGCTCGAACCCCTGTCGCAGTCTCGCTGCCTGCTCGCTCGTCTCTCCGATGGAGTTGTGTTGGCAACAACACACGCGCGAAAGGGCGTTCCACCGCTTACCTTACTGCATCTGCCCCATACTTTTTCAGCCACTGATCCAGTTGCCCCTTGGGCGCATTTCCTCTTGATTTGCTGAGCTTGCGACCCCCGGCATCCGTTAGCAAGGGGTGGATCAGGATCCGCGAGAACGGCAAGGCGCCACACAAAGCCACACAGAGCAGCAGCTGTCTAGCCACCCAAAATGGGAGGATGTCGTGCCCTGTAACCAGGCACGTATACGGATACATTCGGGGTGCAGGGAAACAGGATAGCAACCCTTCGCCTTGTGTCTCTTCGTGCTGTCGTTGTTGACGCTTCTGGGAAGGAGGACGGAGGGCCTCCGCTGGCTGCTGCTCCTGCGGGGGCACCACTTGTCTTGGCGGCGAGTCGCTCTGCATGCCCTCACCATGTGACTCTGGTTCATCTGTTGGCGGTTGCTGTTCTTGCACTTGCTGCTGCTGAGGCGAGCGGCCTGAGAGCGAGGGCGCCTGACGGTAAAGGAGCTGCTGGGCTGTCTCTGACAGAGGGGGCTGCAGCAGCTCCTCGGCATGCGCAAAGGAGGTAAGAGGCCACAGAGCTGAAGAAAACCATGTGTCCAGCACATCTGTATCAGCTTGCAGCTTAAGCTCTGGTGGACGGAGGGGGTGACGCTGGTGGCAGGCCTGCTGCTGCTTCTGGATTAGGTCCACAGCTTTTCGTCTGGCAGACTCCTCGTCAAGAGCCGCCACTGTAAAGGTTAGTCCCTCTGCATGAGGGTCAGTTCCAGCTGCTGGGGAACGGCAGCTGCACGAAGGCGAGGGGGCGTCAACGCGAGGAGGGCGACAAGAACCACCTGAATGCTGCCGTGGCATTTCAGGGACCGTCCGCTCCAGAGGTTCGTGTTGCTCCTGCCTCTCGGCCTGCAGATTTCCCCCAATCCTGCGTTGAAAGGCCTGCAGCACAAGTTCCCTCTCAAGACTGTGGCTCTCGCGTTCTCCAGACGCATCAGAAATGTTGCCCCTCGGAGACTTAGGTAGCTTCATGACTTGGCTCTGCTGGAGAACCTGTGCTGCCGCGCGGATACGCGCACAAAGCGGCACTTCCTGCTGCACTTGCTGCAGCTGCTGCTGCAGTTGCTGCTGCTTGTGGGGCTGTTGCCGCTGCTGCTTGAACCGGACGAGGTACGCAGGGACTGGAATCCCCCACCAGCCTTGCCTGCTAATGCACCAGGAACGTCCAGCCTGTAGCTGCTCCAGAAGTTCGGAGCCATACCGCGGAGGCACTACTTCCATCCCCGTAAGCTTGACAAATGCACCGCTGGTGCTGCTGGCAGACATTCCATGGCTCCTAACAGGCGAGTCCTGAGGGGAGGAATTACTCGCAACGCCCGCAGCTACGCATACTCCTGGTCGGCCCTTCTGCTGCTGCTGCTGCTCCTGCTGCTGCTCTTGCTGCTGCTGCTTCTGGGCGTATTGAGGATTGAGGAGCTTCACGACATCGGGGGCAAGACGGTCTGCTGCAAGGATCCACTGCTCCTTTGCTCGAGTCTCCGTCTGTTGCTTGGTCAGAGAGGCGACAAGATGCCCGGGTTGCTGCTTACTAAGGTGTACGGGGTGTTTCTCTGCAAGCAGGAGAACTGTCAGCAGCGCCTTCTCCCGCGCGTCGTCCTCCTGCTGTTTCTGCTCTAGCTGCTGGTCCGCTTCTGGCTGCAAGCATCCCTGTTGCAGTGCCGCGTCCTTTCGAGACGAAGCGCCATCGATGGCGGCTGTTACACAAGGAGGCAGTTGCGGGTCGCCTGGAGTCTCGATCCACTGGAAAGCAGCGAATGCAGGCTTCAAGCGCTTCTTCGTCTTGCTGTTGCCAGAGCCGTCAGCAGCGCTGCTGCCCTTCGTGTTGCCGCACATGTCGCCGCTGGTGCTTCTATCCCCGCTGCAAGCACGCCGAGCCAGGATCTTACTGGCTGCTGCAGCGTGGGGATGCCTCCAGTCACCCCGCTCCTGCAGCAGAACAGGCACTGTGCGCTTCACAAGCGGCACGAGGGCCTTGCGGGAGTGTACTGTTCTGAATGTCTCGGCGTCATCAACCACAAGAGCCGTGATCTGCATCAGCTCACGCACTGATCCAACAGGCACAAGCAGGCCCTCAACGCTCTTTTCACCCTTAGAAATGATGTTCTTGCTGTCTCTATTCGACGGGTTTGCTGCGGATTGGCAAGACACGAGTGGCATCTCCACAAAGAGGCCTCCAGCCCACTTCCCACTCCGCAACAGCGAGGCCACAAGCGCTTCCTCCTCGTCCCCCTGTGTCTCTACCCCGCCAGCAGTCCCTTGCTGCTCGTGCTGCGGCGCTTCAGATAAAGTGTCTTTGAGCTCAATCAGGTCGTTGGGGATGACGATCGGGGAGCCCCCGTCTCCCCTTCTTCGCTTGGCAACCTGCAGGGGAATCGGCTGTCGCCTTATAAGACCCATGTCATGCAGCAGAATAAAGGCGCTTCGCGTCTGAGACACTGCATGTGCATCCAGAGTGCTGCAGGAAGCCTTCCACCAGCAACCCGCTCCCATAAGGCGCTGCTGCCGCTGAATGGCCCCTTTACAGAATCGCACCCACCGGTGCAACAGCAGCAGCTGCCTCTCACACTCGCTCTTGCTGCAGCAGCAACCAGAGATACGCCCGGCACTGTCGTCGCATCGTCGGCTGCCGTCTGACCCTCCAGAACCCCGTTCCTGCTGCTCCTCCTGCTGCTGCTTCTTCTGCAGCGGCTGGAGGCCTTGTCCATCAAGGATGGCGCTGCTAACAATTCGGCGGAGGCAGCTGGTGCAGCACTGCGAGACAGGCAGCCCCCTCAACTGTCGCTTGTTGAAGTGCCTTTCTAAAAGCATCTGGAGGCCTATGCCCGCATGATCTACCCCAGGCACCCAGTAGGGCCTGCAGTCCCGCTGCTGCTTATGCTGCTGGGGTGTTTGTGGAGTCGTGCGGAGGCTTGAAATGGATTTCTGCCTCTCAAATCGAAAAAGGGCATCTTGTAGCGTGCAGCTCAGAATGTGCCCCGCATGAAGGGTCCCTGTCAAATTTGGGGGAGCCATGCAAAAAGAACTCCCGTGGCCTGCTGCAGGTGCTGGTGCAGTTGCTGACATGTTTTGAGGTGGCGCGATGGGGTCGAACAGGCCCTGAGCCTCCCACCACTGGAGCAGCGTCGATTCCAAGTGGTTAAATGGAAATATGTGGCAGAGTTGCAGCGCCTCGCGTGCTGCCGCAGCTACAAACGTCCCGTGGCTAGAAGCGCTGTTGGTGCTACAGCCATCATGAAGGGCAGCATGTAGCCCTCGAGAGCAAAGCCTTCCTTTTGATAAAAGGTTCCCCAGCGATGCTGGGGAAAATAGGGCCCTCTGTAGGGAGTGCTGCCGTGGTAGGTCCCATCCGGCGTTCCCCCACCCCGCTGGTGGTGTAGCGACGCCTTGAGGGCCCCTTAGGGGCCCCCAGGGACGAAGAGAGATCCATACTGCCGGAGGAGCAAGGCAGCAAAAACGTGGGGCCACAGCGGTTGCAGAGGCGGTAGCTCTTCTCCCGCTGAGGAGCAGCAGTATGTACACCAGAAGCAAGGAGACGTTACGATCCCTAACGCAGCAAGGGCTCATCGAGGTAGGCTTGGCTTGCTGCAGATGCTGGAGTTGCTTCTGTTACTGCTAGGATGGCGTCGGGGTAGGGGTCCTTCAGGCTATGTCCATGAACTACTGGGCCTCCATGGTAATGGGAAGCCATGCTCTGCGTCGGCTTCGAGCCAGCCACCTCAACAAAAAGGCTTCTCCCGCAGTGTCTTTGGACGTGGCTGGGATGGCACGACAAGGAAATAAGCACCCGAAAATGCGCTTACAGTGTACGGGGGGGCCCTCTGTCTGTACACACGGGCTCCTCGACGCAGGCGTCGGCAGGGTGCCTCGGTATTCCTGCCGCAGAAAAAGACGCCTCTTAAGAAAGAAGGAGGCGTTAGTCTTTGTCTTGTTCGTTTCTTGTAAGCCTTTAGTGCTACATCCTCAAGGGACTCGTGCCCTGGGTGGTCGGGCTGGGGTCACCTCAGCGGGGGGCCTTGGCCCCCTTGAGGCCATCATGTATGCGACGGGAAGCTGGTGCAGGAAAGGAAAGAGTGTTAGCTAGCTCTCTGCTCTACTGAAAAATTGATATTTTGCAAGAGGGCAGCCGGAAGTGTAGCGGCGCCAAGGGTCATGAGCCTCTGATAACCCTCTTTTGCTTCTCTAGGGAGAACGGCGGAAGTACAGCAGGTACCCCCCACGGCTTGGTTGGCTACTCCTCAAGAATCAGCGGCACTCAGTGAGTCCTTGCCTTCTAAGCAACGACCAACGAGGGGAAGCTTGTTTCGCTCCTTTTCGCGCGCCCCTGTGCTCGCCTAACTCGGGCCAGTTCACTCTGATTCTTGAGCCTCCTCTCCTCACCGCTGCATACAGCATGTCACGCTCTCTCTCCGCTATCGGTGTACTACGCCCATGCCAGGTCGTTCCCGTTGAGCTGAACTGGCCGAGGGAGCGCCACTTGACATCTACGCCCGCCTCAGCCCTCTCCAGCCCTCGTGGGGGCAGGTTTTGAATATGCTTGAATTTGTTCGCTTCTCTCAGAGCAGCCAGCTCCGCCGCTCCCCCAGGATCTGCTAGAGCAGCTGCTACGATGCGTTCCATCATCTGTGACATTGGCACGCTTGTGGGGCCCTCTAGAAACAGCTGCAGTAGCGTGCCGTGCTCTCTCTGCGACGCAACCTACTGCTGCCTAAACTCCTTCCTATTAGCTTAACCTCAAGAGTTTCCTGCTACTTCAGTGACGCACCCCTCCAAAGCCTCTTTCTCTTAATTTGCTCGTGCTTGCTGCCCCCCTCGTGCCTTTTAGCCCGCGAAGCAGCCGATTCTTGCTAAGAAGCAGTTACTGGATGACCTTCACTACGGCCATGTGCACTCGATCCCCAATGTGCAGCTAGCCAGCCACCTAGGCTCGGGATCTCTCCAGGAAGTGCCCCCGCTAGCCTTAGCTTTAGCTCGCTCGATACGCGAAATATTGACAGAGAAGTGAATTCGCGGGCAGAGAACCTGCCGAGCCTGCCCACTGACTCACGTTTACAAGGCGTCCTCCTCGTCACTACTGTGGGGCCCCTCCTCGTAGACCCCTTCTCCCTGATCTCCTTGTCCGAGTTGCACGGGCTGAAGATCCTCAAGGGTGAGGCCCTCTAGCAGTTCACTAAGGTCCACTACTGGTCCTGCATCTGCCTCGTCCTCCTGGTCGTCATCGGTCTCTGAGTGGCAACTGCTGTCGCTGCCCTCTGCTTGCTCTTTATTGCGTTGCGCCTTCTGCTGTGCTTCCGCCAGTCGTCTCGCCTTATTGGCCTCCCGTCTCTTCTGCCCTTGCTGCTTTTGCTTCTGCTTTTTCTCGCCGCTGATGCGTATTTTCGCTGCCCCTGCGGCGGCCGGTTTGGTGGCTCTGCGGGGGTCTCTGTACAAAGCCACTTGTTTGCGCAGCTCTGCATCTTCTTCCAAGTCTCGCTTGAACTCTTCCATGTCTTCATCCTCCGCTGCGGCAGCTGCTCCCCCACGACCCGCGCCACCACGGCGTTTCCTACTGTCGCCAGCTGGTCTCCGCGGGGGAAGCCTCCCCGTTCCCTCCGATTCTTCCTCCATAGCCGTTCCGTCGTCTTCATGCTTCTGCAAGGTGCGCAACACCCACTCCCTCCTGCGGTTCGACTTCCTATTCGGAAAATGCTTCTTCACGAGCATCACCGGCCACGGGGCAGTGGCAAGGCCCACCTCCTGCTGGGGCCCTCCCCTACCACTGGTGTTGCCACTGTTTGCCTGTGGCCAGTGAAGATTGTGCTCGACGCACGAATCCGCGAAGCCGGAGAGATTTATGCGATGCAAGTCAAAGCCGGCAGCAAAATCCCCCGCTTGCAGCAGATGGCCAAGGTGCGTCATCGTGACTAGCAATTCTCCCTCCGGGACCCCACTGGCCGTGCAGCGCATGATCTCCGCTTCTGCGAGCAGCACCCCGCTGCTGTTGTTGCTGCTGTTGTTGCTGCTGTTGTTGCTGTTGCTGCTGTTGCTGTTTCCGCCACGAGTGACCGGAGCCGCAGCAGCATTCGCTGGAGCCGTCATGGAATCCACAGCCATGTCGTCACTTGCAGCAGCAGCAGTTGCAGCTTGCTGCTGTTTTTGCTGGTGGCGCTTCTTGCCGCTGCCTTGGTGATGGTGTTGCTGCTGGACTGGCGTGACAGAGAGTATCAGAAAGTAGGACAGGTGTTTGCGCGTACAAAGCGGAGGAAACGAATCCCTAAAATACACCATCGAGCTCATTTCGAGGTGCCTGGCAGAGAAAGGATCGACCAGGTGAATAGTCGACGCGATCCTGTTGCACAGGGAGAGCGAGGGGAACCCCCCAAAGTTATCCTTTGCCTTCTTTGCCGGGATAAATACCAAATCGTCCTTGCAAATAGGGGCTAGCTCTACAAAGGTCGTGTGCTTGTAGTTATACGTGTTGCTGTTACAGTCATGCGATATGAGCTGCTTGCTGCTGCGGCTGCTGCAGGGGAACCTGCTGCTACAAAAGGCAACAAAGGAAGCCGCTGCTTGTTTGTTAGGGAAGTGGAAGTCCAACCCATCCCGCCTCCGTACTGCTCTCAGCAATTTCTGCAGCAGCATCGGCTGCTGCAGCACCAGCTGCTCTAAAAGCAAAAAAGTCCTCTTGTGCTCGCAGCGCTGGCGTACCTGCACGCGAGCTCCCCAACCTGCGTGAGGCGTGAAAGCCTACAAAAAAAGAGGCAAGCATCGCACCGGATGCACAACACGCACGCTACACCATACTACACGCATAAATATGCACTAAAAAAAGACATACACATGGACAAGGGTAGACCACAGAATGCAAATATATATCCATATATGTAATATGTACCATGCATTCCCATATACATCCATCCACCTACATAGCAAGAAATACATACGCACATGCCTCCTACCTAGACGTACTGCAAAAGAATCCAATAGAGAATATATATCCATACTACATACACATATATATATATATATATACGTAGTCTTGAGTAATATGTATAGAGGCATTCCACGTGGCACGCCTTCAGTGATTGCACATGATGTGCATCGTACATTTGAGGCATGTAAGCAGTTCAGGTCTCTACACAAGACGGATCACGAGTGGAAGGCGTAAAATTTTTAAAAAAGGAACAGAATTAAGGAGTGGTAAAGACAGAAAGAGATCTCTATGGCTCTCTCTCTGAAACGACTGCCGTGCATCTGCAGTCTGATGGTGGTAGAGTCAGCCCTCTCGCCCCCCCCAAGTATGTTCCTCTAAGTGAATTCGTGTATGTTTGTCTGTGTGTTTTGTACTGCCGCACCTTCTTGCAGTCATCGCATTGCATATTGTGTAGAATCCCCTGCACATTGAAAGACTGCTCAACCTGGGCACTCCCGTCTAAGACTTCAGCCCTGGCAGTGATGCGAATGAGCAGCTTGTTGCTGTGGACCTCAGTAAAAAGCCAACGACAGTCAATAATGCGGGAGAGCGATTTCAAGCCCCGAATCTTCTTCAGGCAGAGTGCCAACAGCTCCCTGCGAGCATTCACAGAGAGAGAGACGAAAGAAACGCTGTCAGCGCTACACCCCGATAGTCCTGCTACAGCACGACGTACAGAAAATGGCCCTATTGGCTGACGCGTAAGAGGATTCAAGAGCAGGGTTGTTGAGTGGTGGGTAGGTAGGCATGAATTGAGGGATGCGAATCATATGCATGGATACGCAAGTGGAGGCAGACACGAGAAAATGGGAGGAAGAAAGGCAGATGCATGTGGAAACGCGGAGACGTAGACAGCCCCATCAACAGGTCATGATACGCACATCCACGGAAGGAGGGTGTTTATCACAAACATGTGGATGTAACCCCTCAGCCCACTCCCTCCGTGGTCTTTCAGCAGCCTCCCCGTATGCGGCAGGGGCTTGCTTGTTGCGTACGGACCTCGACTCCGGCTGGCACGGTAGCCACTTCCCCTGCGCATCTTTGTATCTGTCGCACTGTCTGCAGTGATCCACGACAAAGTTCCTGCATACGTAAGTGCTGATGTCTATCTCTTCCTGGAGGCAAGACAGGCACTTGTTTTTCGGATGCGGGGGCGTTACAGCCCCGCAGATGCAGCACAGGACATAAGCTGCGGTTAGAGGACGGCTGAGAGGCTCAGACGCTGTTGCAGTGGCATCACTCAAGGCTGCGGCTGCAGCTACACCAGGAGCTGCCCCCGCCATCCTCAGGCCGACACAGCGGGAAGAAGCAGGCAGCCAAGAAGAGAAAAGGGGAGAAAACGGATGAACTAGACCCTATATCACCCTGATAGCAGGCGGTCGGCATACAAACATATATATATGGAGCCACAGGATGCCCAGACCGACTGACAATACACGCTTGCTCTGCCCACGACCAGCGCAACGAAGGTTTCTGCGCCAAAAGCACGAAGAATCTCGCGAGGAGGAAGCCGGAGAGCTTCCGCCCTTTGCCTCACGTGGCTAGCCGAAAGAGATCTGTACAGGGCTGGCAGAGAATATTCAGCACAACGAAGGCACCTCCCCTCGCCCCGCAGGCTCCTTTCCGCTTCCGAATGTCGCGTCCGCAAGCTTCTGAACGTCAGCGGAACAGCAAACTCACACAGAGGTCACATGGAAACAGAGGCGTTGAAGGCGCCTTTCACCTCTCTTGCTGCAGAAGATCGAGTCCGTTGTGGTCCAGCAGGAAGCCCCGCAGCCCCGACCGGAAGCACTCCACGCAGGCGCAATTCATCATGAACCAAGGGAAAATGAAAGTTGACTCGAAATCTTGCGCAATTCACAATCATCAAGTGATTTCTGAGTGGATTGCTGTCGAGACTGGGGATGAAGAGCAGTGTGACATAGATATGTCAGGCAAGTGCCTCTTGGGCTTTGCGGCTATTCCTTGTAGGGACCCCTCTTGGAGGCGCATGTGAGGCTTCTTTGGTGGCTCAGATGGGCCCTTGATGGGCCTTTATAACGGTTGATCCGGGAAACGCTGAAAGGTGGTCTTGGCGGTGACAGGAATGGCATTTTCTGGAGGGCCTTTGAGTGAGCCTAAAAGGCGTCAATTGCCTGACCCCCCAAAATGCCTTTCTTCAGCTAATAAGCAATTCCCTGTACTTCGTGGAACTATTGTGCCTTCTCTTTCCAAGATGCGCAGTGATAGCCCCCCTACGAGGGGCCGTGAGCCGCTTGTCATGATGTGTCTGTTATCCACAGAGTAGCTGTCGCGGGCTAAGATACACTTGAACACTTTCCACTACACTAGTTTTTTTTCTAAGGAATAGTAGAGAACTGAACATTTGGTTGGTCTTGGTATACCTTATTCATTGCAGAATACTGGTGGCTCAACGGAAGGAGATGCAATGCTGTGTGCATGTGCGTTTTGTGTTATGTGCGACTAGCTACGAATGCTCGGAGCACTTAAAGGGTCCAACTACGCACACTCTAGCTGTCCCTCTGAGCTCATGTCAGGAACCTTGAAGGGTGAGGGGAGGAGGGGGGCCAATGAGGAAGCGTTGGTCGCTAAACACATTTTTCTATCAAGTTGCACTGAATCTGAATTTAAGTGTCTCTCTGAAGAGACTTTAGGTGGGAGCTACAGATGGTAGCACCGCATAGCTCGATGCAGCTGTTCCTTGCTGAATCTCTGGCTGGGAAAGCAGTCGGATATCAGGTTTCCTTGCCACAGTTGTCTGGTTTTGATCACGTGATTTGGCAATTCAATAACTTGATTTTCTTTGGCAATTGTCTGAGAAAACAACCCTTGTCAATGGAAGTAAACCGTGGCTTAACTTCTGTTCGGGTGGTGGGTTTCGGCCCGAATGCTGATGTGAACGCAGCTTGACAGTTGATAGAACAACATGATTCATAAGACGAGAAAGCGCTTAGGGATCTACTTGTGAGAATATTTGACCAGAAAAGAGTAACAGCCGTAAGGTTGAGCATGTACCCGAAGAGTTCATAATCCAACAGGAGACGCACCTCGCTTAGTACAACTGCTCCTTGTGGCATGTTTATTGCGGAGAAAAGCAGTTCAATGATTGCTATATTACTGTGGAAGCCGTCTGCTCCGGCCGGAATTTACTAACGTTCAAGCTTTACATAACCCCACCTCATCGGTTTTTGCCCAAATAAGCTCAACTGCAAGCTTGAGACAAGTAAGAAGGTCAAAGCCTAAAATTCCATCACCAGATTGGGAAATTGAGAGAGAAAATAAAATTTTGGCTTTCAAAAGTCACAGCACAGACGAACAGCTGCTTTGTCAGTGGTTCCTGTGAGGTCTATCCAAAGTGTTACGTCAAGTGGTCGCGAAATAGGCCGCGTCTCAGAAATTAAACCACTGCCCGGCGGAGCTTCGACAAATTAGGGACTACCTGGGAGAGTTAGGGCAAATTAGCGCAAGTCCGGCGGCTGTGGCTGAGCACGGAGGGCCAAGTCGTCATGTAGAAAGATTATATGTGGAGCGGCGTCGATTGGCCCTATCATACACATAAACCAGAAAAGGAAGCCAGAGGGGACCCGCACTCCTGAGCAGTTTCAGACAGCTCCAGCCCATCGATAGTGCACTTGCTTCTGCTGTCGGAAAATGGTTCATACAGTCCGGAACTGCAGGCAGTGAAAAAGCCAATGGAACATGAAGAACGGGACTAGGCTGAGCGGAAGCAGGAGGCTTGGAAAGCAAAGGAGATGCACCACGGAAACGACAAGCCCCCACGAAAGCTGCGCCGCAGTGATGGGGGATACAGAGGATACAGCCGGTGTTCGGAACCCACCAAAGGTCACATCTGTGCCAATGTAAACTCACACGATTGGTCCAGAATTGCTAGCGTAACTTGACACTAGATACAAAACAAACTTGTTATTCTATGGGGCTACGAAGAAGTGCAGTGTTTGCTCCACGTTAGAGCAGTCCTAAGGACCCGAATTCGCTGGAGTGTGGCAGAACGCAAAAACCGACAAGAAACTTGCATTGAAATGCTAAGTTGAATTAGAATTTGGTCCAACCAGCATGGAAAGTGAATCTCAACGATCGGCCCGTGTACCAGCACGTAATTCTGAGGATGCCCTGGGTGGCC